CATCCACAGCTCAGCACCAGTTCATTGTCTCGTGCTTTGATTAAAGTTGATTTACTCACTGAGCTTCCGCGGTGCTCTGGCTGCTCGTATCTGTTCATTTTGGCATCATACACATGTTAAAGACATATGTGTCAATTTCTGTTCTTACATTCTTCCTCCCTCAGGCTATGAAAAGACTGCTATGGCGGACGGTTTCTGCCGTGGGATTTGAACAGCTGCATGAAGCTCGCGATTAGGCTACTTCTCACGCCCTACTCCCATAGGTAAATTCATGATCAACTCAGGTGAGTTTCTGTTTCAACCAAATGCGCATTGTCAACTGTGATCTCGTGAGTACAATTTTCTTTGCAGGATATCAGCGCGCATGACAACGCTCTATATTAGCGTACTCCCGAGATTATCGTGAACCATCCAAGATTTTTTGTCGCCAAGATGTTTTCCCAGAAGTTTCATCGCCATGTTTTTGCCGACCTTATCACGGTTCTTTCGCCATGTCGGCAGGTTTATGTCATCCGTTTTATGGTACGTGTGCTGTCTCTGTGTTGACCTAACTATGCTGCGTGTTTTGCAGAAATCTTGTTCCGTCTGAAAGATGTTAGTTCATGCATGTTAACGTACCTGCTGAGAGATGGGGCGGCGGGTAAGGCAGCGGTGGCGCCACACCTCATATATGTGGGTGTATTTTGTTAGGTGCAATTTAGTTGATAGGTGGACTAGGTATTGTTATTAGGGCTATCCTTGTTGTAAGGTTAAGAAATGAAAGAGATCGGGCTTACTAATTCCGAGCGTAGGATTCATTTGCCATGATTTTGCTTTTTGCCCAGAACTTATTTCCCATGCTGTATTTTTTTTATTTGTAATTATTTATAATGAGATCCTGTACTGTGGTTATTGACCGTTAAAGATATTCCTTGTATGATCTTTTTCAGCAGCTTTAGTGAGGATGAGCAATGTCGGGTGCATGCAGGTGCATTCCTTGCCGAGCCTGCTCAATATTGCTCAAGCAATGTTGGGTGTATGCTGGTGCATTCCTTGCCGAGCCAGCTCAATGATTCCTCTAACAAACCTCAACTGTTGAGCATTCCACATGATAGACCACGAGCATTGATGGCAAGGGAAAACATCAAACATTCCCCCTGAAATCTTTTTGCATTCTTTTTTCGTCCCACATTTTGTAGAGCCGAAGGTAGGAAGCTCCGTTCTGGACGGGCCCTCCAACTTTAATCTCCTGCTTGATAAGACTTCTGCTTGAAGTTCTGGCACAGCTGTCTCAATCTTGTATTGCTCTGTCTGATCACGATCCTCTCCAGAGGCAGCCCTTTCCAAGCTTAGCGTTTGGTGGTCAATCAGGCGTCGCGGAAGCCAGAGCTTTAGCAGGTCATTCCTAAGACAATGTCTACCATGATCCATTGTCTTCCTGACCATGTTCTTGTCAGGATCTTCTGGCATTCCGACGTTTTCCGGCCGACCGCGTCATTGTCTCTTTCGGATTACGTTAGAAGGGATGAAAACGAAGATTCAGAGCCTGACCCGCATTTTTCGACACCTCCTGCCTCTGCCGATGTCGCTCACGTTCTCCTCAATCTGCCGTCGCTGGCGGAAGCTCGCACACGAATCCGTCACAACGCTTCACGTTTTACGAGATCGTCTGGTGTCTCGCGAGTATCTCAAACGCGTTCTGGTGTCCTTCCCGAATCTCACTCGCCTGCACTTGAGCAACGGAAGCATGGAAACGATGGATGACGATTTCCTAGCATTTCTCGGCTCGTCGTCACCAAATCTAACCGCTCTTCATGTCGGCACAGGAATTGCTCCATACGACGACCTTGATCGTGACAAGGAGAAGGACAGGGACGAATTTGGCGAACTAAATCACCCCGTGACGACAGCTGGGTTGGACATCCTCTTCCGCCATTGTCGCCGCTTGGAGCAGCTGTCACTCCAGTGCCTCCATTGGACAACAAAGCTTCCGGCTTCGTTCTTCATGTTGACACACTTGCACACGCTGTCACTGGGAGGGATATCGCCTTTGGTGGATCCCAACTTTGCGAATCTGTCTTCAATTACGAGGCTGTCTATTCAAAAGCTGGACATGCGGTTACATCAGATGTCGCCGCTAACTCGCCTTCCGAATCTGACCAGCCTGTTTTTTCCAGGAGCGACATTCTTCCACAGTTTCGAGGGGGATTTCTCATTTGGTCAACTGACAGCTCTTCGTTCGCTGGGATTCGTGCGGGGAACAACGGACTTCCCTGCAATGTTTCCTCCAGAATCACCGTGTTTCCGTCTTCAACGTCTGCTGCTAAGCGATATTCCGAGCATCCCGTCTGAGGAGCTTGGAGAGCGGTTCCCGGTACTTCGCGAACTCTGCCTTTCCGGTAGCCGTATTTTTACTGAGATAATAGTGCCAGATTCCCTCACAAGCCTCAGCACCTTGGACGTTTTAACCATTTTCAACTGCAGCATATCTAGCCTGCCCAAGAATTTTGGGGATTTCCCAGGGCTGAAGTCCTTAAGGTTGAGAAGCTTGTCGCTGAAGAGACTCCCAGATTCTGTTGGGTTACTCACAGGACTTCAGAATCTATCATTGGACCATGTGAGCATTGACATCCTCCCTGCAGCGATTTCCTATCTGGCTGCTCTTGAATCGTTGAGCATCGCGGGAACAAGGCTGACTGCAATTCCGGACGAGATAGGCGAGCTGATTAATCTCCGCGATTTGGTGCTAAGCTGGTGTGCAAAACTGCAGCAGCTGCCGGCGTCATTCAGTCGACTCTCTTCTCTAACACGGCTCAATATCAGCAAGTGTCCCATTGGTAACCTTCCTGAAGGTATAGGCCATCTTGGTGACCTGCGGGAGTTGACCTTGAGCTGCTGCAATGAGCTGACAGCACTGCCAGCATCCATCACTCAACTGAGCCGCCTCAAGACTTTCAAGGCCTGCATGTGTATCAAGCTCGCGTCTGCACCTCGAGCTTTGGGAAGCCTCTCATGCCTGCGGGACCTGGATCTGACCGGTTGTGTTCTTTTGCAGGAGACTTTAGAATCTTTGCCAAGGTCTCTGGAAACTTTGAGCTTGGGAAACGACACCAGCAGCATCATTCTTCCAGACTTGTCAACAACTCCGAACCTCAAGAAGCTGAATTTGGGTCAGGTTATCATCATGGACGCAACAGCGACCAGCGGTTGCCTCTCTCAGATAGAGCACCTGGAGATGCGCATGGGCTCTGAGCAAACTGAGTTTCCACTCCTGCTCGGGTTCCTTTCACGTCTCCGTGATCTACACATCTCAAATGCCGTGTCCTTGCAACGGCTGCCTCGTGATATTGGCTCTGCTCTGCCTCAGCTGCGACAGCTGCATGTGGAAGGAGCTGAAACTCTGTCGGAGATTCCAGAAAGTGTAACCCGGTTGGTGCAACTCACCTCCCTTCGTATTGAAGCTCCAAGACTGACCCATCTTCCTGACACCATCTCTTCTGTATCGAGATTGGGCCGACCTTGCCTGCATAACTGCTCCTCCCTGACAAGCCTGCCCAGTTACCTCACTTACCTGCACAAATTGGATGTCAGCAAGACGGCACTTCACTTCCTCCCTCCCGACTTCCACCATTTGACACGACTCAGAGATCTGGACCTGAGTGACTGTGAGCACCTTCAGTTCCCGCCACAACAGCTGTGTAGCTTAACGTTGCTGCGAGTGCTGGATCTCCAGGGCTGCAAGAAGCTTGGGCCGGATCCGATGCCTTTCGATCTTTACATAAAGCTTGGACTCAAGTCGTACCAAGACGAATCATGGTAGGTCATGTCAACATAGCCAGCCATGTCAAGGGTGGGAACGTGAGTGACAAGAAGAAGGGGTTGGTACTAAATGAAGTTGGCTCCTTGAGGTTGTTTGGGTTTGCATATTTGTATATAACTGCTGTATCCAGAGATCCGCACAGCACATGCCATACTACAGTAATGCAATGGTTCCTAATTGTAAGACATGCACGGGTGGATTCGGGACTCCAAAACATTTCCAATATCATATTCAGAGCTGTGAATTCGGGACTGCACCTTGTTTGGTTGCTGAGCAATGCAAGTTGACATAAGGTATATGTCTGACATAGGTAGTTCTAATGAATAATGGTTTTGGTCAATGGTGGAGAGATGAATCGATATACAACACAGACTGTACAGCTGTGAGGAAGAAAAACCTGGGGTACATCCAGGAATAAACACAAAAAGCACCAGAAACATGCACCGCCCGGTCATGTGCTTGGGGCTGCTACTGGTACGGTACCTTGTAGCCCTCTGCCTTGTTAAAGGTACCTATCAGAACAAAAGTAGCCCTCGCCTCAATATAAGATGTCTTCAGACACTGGAAGCTCTCTGCCGCATTATGAGGTGCCTGAAGACACTGCTAGCTCTCCGCTGCCTCAGTATCGGGCCGCAAGAGAGTGTAGTTGAGGGCGTTGAGTGTGAGCTGGGAGGAGGGAGGGAGAGGGGCGAGGGAGTGGAGAGAGGGCAGAGACGATAAAGCGTGTTTGACAGCAAAGGAATGATTGAGAGGGAAACGGCATGGGTGGTTGAGGGGAAGACTGGGAGAGCAAAAGAAGAGGACAGAATCGAGTGTTCCTTGTAAAAGATTCGAATAAGGGTGATGACAGTGGGTAATCACTCAGAAGGTCAGGGAAAAGGAGGAGAAGAAAGGGGACAAGGGGGGAGGGGTTTTACGGAGGAGAGAGAAGTGTATACGGTGGGAGGAGGGATTGAGCTTCAGAGCAGTGGGAGTCCGCCAGGAGAGAGGGGAAAGCGTAAGTTGTTGAGGGCGTTGAGAGGGGTGTGAGGTGGAGCACAGACGAGAGGCAAACTGAGGAGGGGGAGCAGTGGTGATCACTCATGATGGATTGGCAGCATTGGTGCACGAGGGAATTGGTGAGCAGCCAGCAGCAGAGCCCGAACGAATAGAGAAATATGTGCAGAAAACGGATAGGAACAGGTGGCATGAATAAGGTTTGCTAACGAAGGGACACTGGCGGCAGGGACACAGGCGGCAGGGACACAGGCGGCAGGGACACAGCCGGCAGGGACACAGGCGGCAGGGACACAGGCGGCAGGGACACTGGCGGCAGGGACACTGGCGGCAGGGACACTGGTGGCAGGGACACTGGTGGCAGGGACACAACACAACACAAAACTTTCGGTTTCATCCCACCATGCTTGTTTCATCTCGCCGTGCTCGTCACCGTGAACACATCCTTCGCCACCACGCCCTGCATGCACATGCATGGGAGATGAACGATGGTAGGTGGGTATGGGGACATGGTGGTCAGTGCATGGGATGTGAAGAATGGTACAAGTCCGTAATCACATCGTTCGCCACCACCCCTGCTCACACATATATGGGCAATGGGTCACAAGTGGTGAGAGAAGGGAGACAGTGATCGTTGTGTGAAACGTGCATGCAGCATGGTATGACATGTAAACACATCATTTGCCACCACTCTCTGTGCATGCACATGGATGGACGATGGACAAAGGGCTATGAGACATAGGAGGTGCTGATTGTTGTGTAAGATGTCAAGCATGGTGTGACATGGAAACACATCCTTTGCCACCACTCCTTGCACACACATAGATGGACGATGGGCAATGAGAGATGGGAAATGGGAGATGGTGTCTACACTGCAGCATGGGAAGCGCGATACAGATAAGTCTAATCTAATGCACAGCACACATGCACAGTGGCACTCACAGAGAGATGCTGGCGCTGGCACATCCTTTGCCAACATATGCTGGCAGGCAATGGGCAATGCGCAATGGGCGTGCACCGCACTCACCTCACCCGCCTCACCTCAGGACCCGTCCCCACCCACCTCGGTGTCGACCTCTGCTGACGTCACACTAACAGACATCCCCGTGAGCAGGGAGCTGATTATCAACTATCTCCATGAGCAGCAGCCGCACCCCATCTGCTGCCTCCGATGCACAGCATAGCTTTTCACCACAGCTTGACAGCACAGCAAACTCACAGCAGCACTCTGCACCACCCACCTCGGTGTCGACCTCTCCCTTGCGGAGCTTCTGTGGCGCATAGCATACACACAAGTACACCATGACCTCCCAGTGGTGCACACACCACCCAGCACCCAACACCCAGCACCAAGCACCAAGAACCCAGCACCCAGCACCTTCAAATTCCTGCCACCCTCCCCTCTCTCACATTGCAGGGCGGCGAGTCGCATGTGAGGCCCATGGCCAGCTGTGTGCCTGACTCCTGCAGGTGGGGAGAATGGGAAAGGGGGAAGGGGAACAGATTGAGGTGCAGGACGGTGGGGTTTGGTGCAAGGAGGTGAGTCGCATGTGAGCTCCGTGCCTGACTCCTGAAGGGGGGAAGGGTGGCGGGAAGGGTGAAGGGGAAGGAACGGATAGAGGGGTGCTGATTGGTGGGCTTCGGTGCAAGGAAGCGAGTCGCGCGTGAGGCGCATGTGAGGCGCATGTGAGGCGCATGTGAAGCGCATGTGAAGCGCATGTGAGGCGCATGTGGGGCGCATGTGAAGCGCATGTGAGGTGCATGTGAAGCGCATGTGAAGCGCATGTGAAGCGCATGTGAAGCGCATGAAAGGGAAGCGGGAAAGAGAAAGGAAGAAAGGGGAGGAGGAAAGAGAAAGGGGAGAGGAATGGTGAGTGGAAAGGGAAGGGGAAAACGGGGAGGGGGAAAGGGGGATGAAAGTGATTGCTTGTTGCTTGATGATTGCATGGGTGGCCGGGGGCCATTGAATTCAGATGGTTTTGTTAAGAGTGACAGCGTGCGTATGAACACAATATCCAAGGAGCAGCAGCAGCAGGCAATCCAATCCACCCACCGCGTGGCATGCAAACTACATACTGGTTGTAGGCAAGTAAGCAGTGCACTCACAGGGTGGTGAGCGCGCAGAGCTGGATGACGTCGCTGTTGCCAGGGCTTAGGTCGCCAGGCAAATATTCAATATTGGTGACGTCACCCAAGGCGTAGCTGCACGTCACCCCAAAACATTGCTAACTTCTCGAGAATGCGATGCATCCCACAGGGCTTTTTAGTGCGTCGATGCTTTGAAACTCGGTGCGACGCACCCTGCCAAGACGTTCTGATCTGATTTTCTGGACTGCTTCCTATCGTCGGCTATTTCGTACACCCATACCTCTCTGCCAGGCCTCGATTTCAAATGTTCCCAGCTGGAGTCATTCGCTACGTGCCTATTATCGGATTCTTTCAGCACACTAGTCTCATAACAAATCCACTGTTTTATTATGAGCCATATAACAGCCTTTCTCAGATGCACCAATTTTGATTTTTTGCCACCCCCCGTGCAGTATCTCTGCCACAGTTCCACCACCACCCAATCCATTCACAGCGCGAAGCCCCCAGGTTTGGTGCTACTGTTGACGTCTCATTGTGCGGTTACCCCAACATCCGCCACTGCCCCGTTGTGCTTTTGCGAAACCAGACTGGCATGCGTTGCTGTCAGTCAGAGGCTGAATTTTCGAGGTACCATTTCCATTTCGAGCTGCGTCGATATTTCAGTAAGTGAGGCTCAAAATCCCACTTTGTTTCCATGTATCCTTCGATCTGCAGTTTTTTCGCCCCATCGTCAACCAGAGAAATTATTTTCCAAGCACAAAAGCTGGAACTTGTAAACGCAAGACGAACCGCAAATATATTTGCGCAACAAGGACACGCCCCACGTTTTGTCCGATCTCCTTCCTCCCAGGGCGGCGCAGATTCCCATCTCACAGACAACGCGCTTCCACTTTTCGCCGTTTTCCCGCCAATCCATCAACCCCATAGCCCCTCCACGAGCACTGTTCAAACGGTCACCGAACAGGCTCGTTCGCTTCGCTTCACACGCACCACAGCACAGCGAAGATTGGAGCAGTCACATTCGTCCAGGCGTTTCCTTTTCAAGTCCAAGTCAGCGCAGATCTATGCATTTGCGGGTAGGTGAGCTCCATGGGCAACTTATAACAGTGTTCCTATGGCACGTGTGGGTTATTTTGTCGTGTGGGTGTCTGAAGTGAACACAGCTGAAAACGGATGTCGAGTTTCGTCAAGGAACGTCGACGAAAGTTTCGTCGGCAAACGTCGAAATTCACTTCAGACACGCCCTAAACCCTGCTTCCAGGGTCCAACACGGCACAGCGCCTCCAACACAGTGAAGCCTGCTCGAGTAGGTTGGGGCCTAAAACCGGCCCCTTTCCAACGCGCCATTGTCTGTGGCTGTGGGCAGGTGGAACAGACCGCGCGGGAAGCTAGTTGCGGCATTGCGAGGAAGTTACGCTGGCTTGAGTGTGCTCGTGGTGCTCGTCGTGGCATTTGCTGGTCAGGCCTTCATAGACTTTCGGAAAGTAAAGGATGGCTTATTTGTACCAGATTAGTTCTATTCTAGCCGCCAGCGCGCAAGTCGCCGTTTCTTGTCCCAATCAGTCTGTTTATAGTAGCAGCCGGTCGAGTCGCGATCACATCCCGTGCTCAGTCAATAACTGTCACTCCGTGCGAAACAAAAGCCTTGGAGGTATCAACAACACTTTTGCGCGAATTCCCACGTTCGCCATGGCTCCTGGTATCAATATTGCCACTTGCGCTCCGAGAGTACGAGCAGAGTGCCTAGATCGGAACGTACGGTCCAGATCTCACGGCCTGCCTAGCATCTCCCAGCCGGCTCCTGCCAAATCCAGCCAATCGTTATCCCTGAAGAACGCCGCCGCTCGGGCGCAGTCCCCCATTCCCGCTCTTTCCTCGCGACGCCTCGATCAGGACCAATCAGACGCCGCTACGTTGTCATCCGTCCGAGCCGCGTCGGCGCTGCAATCACTCGACGCGCCGCTCGCCGAGATGCCAGATGCGCTGCCGCCAGAAGTGCCGTACACTGTAGTTATGAAATTCGGCGGCTCGTCGGTGGCGAACGCGGCGCGCATGAGGGAGGTGGCAGATCTGATACTGTCATTCCCAGAGGAGAATCCGATCATCGTCATGTCCGCCATGGGGAAAACGACAAACAACCTGATCAAGGTGCGGCATGCTCTGCTGACCGTGTCTCGGTCAATAGCGCGAATGCTGGCCGCTTCATGCGATTTCTGAATCCGAAAACGTGCTACGAGGACGTCTAGTCGGACTTTTGAGAGCCGGTTTCCGGCATAAGGAGACTGACGGCCGTCTAACGGAGTGGTCTTCGTAGCCGGTCTTTGTATTGTTGCCCCTGTGCCCGATCTAGGAGAATTGTACGTTTGCAGGCCAGTCACTTCGTCGATCACCGTTCCTCCAAGGACCGACATAACAACAAACGTACCTTTCTCTTTCGACTCGTCATGCCTTGTTTCTTCTCCACTGAGTCTAGCCGACAGCGACGGCGAATTCACAGTTCTCGCTATCTACATTGCATCCTACTGGCAGGTGGGCGAGAGGGCGCTGACGTGCGGGTCCGCCAAGTGCGCAGCGATCGACGAGCTGCGAGTAATCAGAGAGCTCCACGTGTCCACCATGGAGGAGCTCGGCGTCGATTGCGCTGAGGTGCATGGTGAGCGGTGTGGGTGAGGCGATTGGGTCAGTTATGAGGGAGATTTGGGTGCGCAAGCGATGGTTTTCATGTGCGCGTGCGAGCTGGCCCCTGAATTCATGGGCGAGTGCAGCTCAGTGACCCTTGAGGGTTAAACCCTGTAAAACCCTTCGGACTGTGTTGAACTCTTCCGCTGCGCTCTGTGTTGTGCGCAAGCTGCTTTCTGAATCCTCTTGCGCTGCTTATGTCAACCGTCCACTCAGCTCCTCTCGTCTGCTCTTGATTTCCAAATCTAATCTGGTTCCTCACTCAACTCTTCCTCTTGCTTCAACCATCTCCATGACCCCTCTGACCAGAACTTATGCACGAGCTGCAGCAGCTAGTAACGGGGATAGCGCTCATGCGCGAGCTGACTCCGCGCTCCTCGGATTACCTCGTGTCGTTCGGCGAGCGCTGCTCCACGCGCATCTTCGCCGCCTACCTCAACTCCTTGGGTGTGCCGTCCAAGCAGGTACGACGCTGTTCAAGCAGGTATGACGCAGACCAGACCCTCTCGCCCTTTCTACACGTCTCAAAAGGCGCTGCTCCACGCGCATCTTCGCCGCCTACCTCAACTCGCTGCGAGTGCCGTCCAAGCAGGTACGACGCGGACCAGCCCCACTCTTCCCCACTCTCCCTCCCTCCCTCCCTTTCTACCTTACTCCCTCCCTCCCTCCGTCCCTTCCTCCGTCCTTCCGTCCCTCCGTCCGTCCGTCCGTCCGTCCGTCCGTCCCTCCGTCCCTCCGTCCCTCCGTCCGTCCCTCCCTCCCTCCCTCCGTCCCTCCGTCCCTCCGTCCCTCCGTCCCTCCGTCCCTCCCTCCCTCCCTCCCTCCCTCCCTCCCTCCCTCCCTCCCTCCCTCCCTCCCTCCCTCCCTCCCTCCCTCCCTCCCTCCCTCCCTCCTCTCCCTCTTCCCTCCCTCCCTCTTTCCCTCCCTCTTTCTCTCCCTCTTCATTCCACCCCTCTTTCCCTCCCTCCCTCTTTCCCTCCCTTTCTCCCTCACTCCCCGCCTCCCGCCCTCCCTCCCACCCTCTCTCCCACACTCCCCCCATCCCTCCTCCTCCCTCTCCCTCCCTCTTTCCCTTTTTTCAAAACGCCACGGGTGGCACCACGGACGAGTTCACCAACGTGGACGTGCCCTGCTGCTGTTGACACAACCGGTGCCGACAAATCCTTCCCTCCCTCCACTCTTTCCTCCCTTTTCCCCACCCGTTCCCCTCCCTGCCCTGCCCTCCCCCACACACCCCGTCAGTTCGACGCGTTCCACATGGGCGTGATAACGACGGATGAGCTCACCAACGCGGGCGTGCTGGGCGAGACCTCTATTGCTGCTGAGTCACTCCCAATGTGCCCTCCCGTACACACTTCCCCCTCTCCCTCCTCCCGCTTCTCCTCCCCGCCCTCCCCCACACACCCCGTCAGTTCGACGCGTTCCACATGGGAGTGATCACGACGGACGAGTTCACCAACGCGGACGTGCTGGACGAGACCTACCCCGCCGTGGCGGACTCCCTCCTCTCCGCCTACGATGCTCACCTGGAAAGTGCTGCTGGCAGTGCGGATGAGAGCAGCAGGGCGTTCATTCCGGTGGTCACAGGCTTTCTGGGCCGGGTGAGTGGATTAGGGAGAGGGTGAGGGCGCCAGGACCAACTTTCTGAAAGGTGTGTGTGGGCATGCACGTGCAAGCATTGGGTATGTAGTGGACCGTCTATAACCACTTAGTTGCAAGAACGTGGCTGGCAAACCCCGATGGATAAGCGGTGCCTATGCAATGCAAGAGCGCCTCTGTGCTTGGTTGCACTGTGGTTGGGTTCATGTGATCAGCTCAACTACCATCAACAACATGTCGTACCTCCTCTCAACCATCTCCCCTCGCCCCTCGCCCCTTGCCCCTCGCCCCTCACCCCCTGTTCCCTCCCTCAGGGCAAGAAGACGGGAGCGACGACCACACTGGGCCGCGGAGGCAGCGACCTGACGGCGACCATCATAGGGCGAGCGCTGGGGCTGCAGGAGGTGCAGGTGTGGAAGGACGTGGACGGCGTGCTCACCTGCGACCCCAACCTGCACCGCAGCGCCGTGCCCGTGCCCTTCCTCACCTTCGAGGAAGCTTCCGAGCTGGCGTACTTCGGAGCGCAGGTGCTGCATCCGCAGAGCATGCGGCCGGCGCGGGAGGGGAATATTCCAGTCAGGGTGAAGAACTCGTATAATTGCAGCGCTCCCGGGACATTGATTACCCAAGAGAGGGATTTGTCGTCGGCGCTGCTGACCAGTATTGTGGTGAAGCGTGGGGTTACCCTGCTGGATCTGGTCAGCCTGAGGATGCTCGGGCAGTTTGGGTTCCTCGCGAAAGTTTTTGCGATTTTCGAGGCGCAGGGGATTTCGGTGGATGTGGTGGCAACGAGTGAGGTGAGCTTGTCGCTGACGCTTGACCCGGCGAAGCTGTGGTCGCGTGAACTGATTCAGCAGGAGCTGGATAAGATGGTGGAGGAGCTCGAGCAGGTGGCGGTGGTGAAGTTATTGCAGCGGCGGTCGATTATTAGTCTGATTGGAAACGTGTCACGGTCGTCGGTGATTCTGGAGAAGGTGTTTGGCGTGTTCAGACGAAACGGGACCAACGTGCAGATGATCTCGCAGGGAGCTTCCAAGGTGAGAGAGAAGAGCTTTTTTGAGTGTGACAGGTGTTTCAGAGCAGAGTAGTGTTCTAGAATCCAGTTTTGAGCTAGGTGTTTGTCGAGTGATTGCTCATTTGTGACTTGTCTGTTTCGCCTGCAGGTGAACATCGCTTTGGTTGTGGACGATGATGAAGCCACAGAGCTGGTGCAGCTGCTCCACAAGGAATTCTTTGGTGTTTAGAATTGCTGCAGTGTGTTATAGCGCAGCACAAGCTGTGCAGGTAGATTGGGGTGTTATGAAATTTTGGGCATTGTATCGTACGGGATGTTTGTTCAATAAGTGTTTCTGTAGGACCAGCTTTAAGATTAATTCCAGCCTGATAGAATTTAGCGTTTGAAAAGTTCGGATGTAATTTAATGGAAGGGTTTTATCGAGTTCAGAGATCCGCCTTTTCACGGATGCAAAGGAGTGCCACGTAAGAGATTCATCTCGGGACCCAGGTCAACATGTTCTCCTCCAGAAAGTATCGCCATGTGGCGTAGCTGACAGTGCGAGCGACAATGCCAGCGTGGAGGAATCTCCAAGGCATTTGGACACACTCGCCATTGGTCAATGTTGAGCCTTCACCACCAAGTTCCTTCATTACAGTCACCTGCCTTTCGGGATTCTTCATTTGCAGCACATTCCAAGGGGGGACGTCCTTTCCACCTCGAGATCCTCGAATTGCTAGTCTTAGGTCAGTGCAGCAGCAGGAGCGGAAACAGCAGGGCGAGGTCAGTTGAGATTCCAATTTCCACTCACCCAGTCTTGCCTACTTCCCTCGCATTTCACAGCCACTCACATTGGTCTGTATTCAGCCATTGCTTGCACAGTAGCACAGCGTCGTTGACAGAAGATTGCGTACCTTGGCGCATCGCGTGTTGCCAGCAATACTTTCGCGCTGTTGACATCTTGTCCATACCTATTCTCCGACATGGCTGCCGCCTCCGCCGTCTCCGCGGTTTCTACCGTCTTTGCGGTGTCCTGCATCACTGACGTGGCAACGAATAATTCTTTCGTGCGGGCCACCACATGCAACAGTCCCGCCTTTTCTTCACTAAGCAACAGTCATCGCGGGCAAAGAAGGTATGCAGAAACAACAGTGTTTAGTCTTACCGGTAGTTTATTCTCTTCTCTTCCGTTTCTCGCATGCGTGTCTTTTTTTTCAGACGAGCGTGTGCTTGTCCAACCGTGAACAACAGCGCTCGAATGGGCGATATTCGTGCAGAATTCCGCCTGATGCGCGAATTTCGCGCATTTGAGGCGAATTCGGATGTCGGGATACAAGCGAATTTGTTTTCCTTTACGCAACGTGTAGCTTCGTATAGCGTGTATAACCTGCGTTGGAAATGAACAGGACATGCACGGTGACTCGAGTGGAGTACATTTGTACAGCAGCGTTCATTCTCCCCTCTTCGTACTCCCCCAGTTCCGCATGTCCTCGTCTTTACTCCCCCAATTCCATCACTTTTATTTCTGCGAAGTTTGCTGCTTCGATCTCCACGTACCCTCCTCGAAATTCATGCCAGTGCTATTTGCACACCATTTCAAACACACCGCATCCGCATCAGTCCTCTCCTCACTCTCCACTTGTTTTTCCTCGCTCTCCCCAGCGCCGTCCCCCCTGCTGCTTGCCCAGCTCCTTCGGCCCTCTCCGCCTTTGCGCCTGTTAATCCACGATCTCTGCGGAAGGTGAGTGAGACGCATGGCATGTCGTGGCATGCCATGTCGTGGTATGGCATGTCGTGGCATGGCATGTCGTGGTATGGCATGTCGTGGTATGGCATGTCGTGGTATGGCATGTCGTGGTATGGCATGTCGTGGTATGGCACGTGGTGGTATGGTATGTGGTGGTATGGTATGTGGTGGTATGGCATATGGTGGTATGGTATGTCGTGGTATGGCATATGGTGGTATGGTATGTGGTGGTATGGTATGTCGTGGTATGGCATATGGTGGTATGGTATGTCGTGGTATGGCATATGGTGGTATGGTATGTCGTGGTATGGCATATGGTGGTATGGTATGTCGTGGTATGGTATGTGGTGGTATGGCATATGGTGGTATGGTATGTCGTGGTATGACATATGGTGGTATGGTATGTGGTGGTATGGTATGTCGTGGTATGGCATATGGTGGTATGGTATGTCGTGGTATGGCATATGGTGGTATGGTATGTCGTGGTATGGCATATGGTGGTATGGTATGTCGCGGTATGGCATATGGTGGTATGGTATGTCGTTGTATGGCATGTTGTGACTTGACTTGAATGCCAGGAACATGGTGGCATGGCATGACGTAACAGCATGGCACAGTATTAGCAGCAGTAGAGGGGTTGCTGATGAAGAGATGGGGCCGGTCACGGTGGCGGTGGTCAACCATCAGAAGAAAGAGTGCGGTGATAAGAAAGAGTGCGGTGATAAGAAAGAGTGCGGTGATAAGAAAGAGAGCGGTGATAAGTAAGATTGCGGTGATAAGTAAGATTGCGGTGATAAGAAAGAGTGCGGTGATAAGAAAGAGTGCGGTGATAAGAAAGAGTGCGGTGATAAGAAAGAGTGCGGTGATAAGAAAGAGTGCAGTGATAAGAAAGAGTGCGGTGATAAGAAAGAGTGCGGTGATAAGAAAGAGTGCGGTGATAAGAAAGAGTGCGGTGATAAGAAAGAGTGCGGTGATAAGAAAGAGTGCGGTGATAAGAAAGAGTGCGGTGATAAGAAAGAGTGAGGTGTTAGAAAGAGTGTGGTGATAAGTAAGAGTGCGGTGATAAGTAAGAGTGCGGTGATAAGAAAGAGTGCGGTGATAAGAAAGAGTGCGGTGATAAGAAAGAGTGCGGTGATAAGAAAGAGTGCGGTGATAAGAAAGAGTGCGGTGATAAGAAAGAGTGCGGTGATAAGAAAGAGTGCGGTGATAAGAAAGAGTGAGGTGTTAGAAAGAGTGCGGTGATAAGAAAGAGTGCGGTGATAAGAAAGAGTGCGGTGATAAGAAAGAGTGCGGTGATAAGAAAGAGTGCGGTGATAAGAAAGAGTGCGGTGATAAGAAAGAGTGCGGTGATAAGAAAGAGTGCGGTGATAAGAAAGAGTGCGGTGATAAGAAAGAGTGCGGTGATAAGAAAGAGTGCGGTGATAAGAAAGAGTGCGGTGATAAGAAAGAGTGCGGTGATAAGAAAGAGTGCGGTGATAAGAAAGAGTGCGGTGATAAGAAAGAGTGCGGTGATAAGAAAGAGTGCGGTGATAAGAAAGAGTGCGGTGATAAGAAAGAGTGCGGTGATAAGAAAGAGTGCGGTGATAAGAAAGAGTGCGGTGATAAGAAAGAGTGCGGTGATAAGAAAGAGTGCGGTGATAAGAAAGAGTGCGGTGATAAGAAAGAGTGCGGTGATAAGTAAGAGTGCGGTGATAAGAAAGAGTGCGGTGATAAGTACGAGTGCGGTGATAAGAAAGAGTGCGGTGATAAGAAAGAGTGCGGTGATAAGAAAGAGTGCGGTGATAAGAAAGAGTGCAGTGATAAGAAAGAGTGCGGTGATAAGAAAGAGTGCAGTGATAAGAAAGAGTGCGGTGATAAGAAAGAGTGCGGTGATAAGAAAGAGTGCGGTGATAAGAAAGAGTGCGGTGATAAGTGCGGTGATAAGAAAGAGTGCGGTGATAAGAAAGAGTGCGGTGATAAGTAAGAGTGCGGTGATAAGTAAGAGTGCGGTGGTAAGTAAGAGTGCGGTGATAAGAATGAGTGCGGTGATAAGTAAGAGTGTGGTGATAAGTAAGAGTGCGTCGTGGGAGATTGCGACCATGTTGGAAGAGCTTTTAACATGGGAAGGAATAACAAGATTACGTTTTTACTCTGTATCGTTCCTGTCCCATTGCTCTGCTTTCTCCCTCCCTGCTTCTCCTACCAGGTCAGCCACACCTGAGTGGCCGCAGCAGGAGCCGCAGCATAAGTGGATAGGGAACGGATGTCAACAGGTGGAAGGCAAAAGAGGATTTTATCATGGGGATAAAACTGCACCATCACCATCACCAACAGGTGGAAGCTTCTACTCTGTTTTTTTCCATCTCTCTGCACTTCTCCCGCGCTTCTCCCACCACCAGGCCAGCCACACCATAGCGACATCAGCAGCAGCCACAGCAGAGACGGCAACAGAGGAGGTGCCGGTGCTGTTGGTGGTGATATGATATACAACCACTCAGAGGCCAATGCGACCACGTTGGAAGGCTTACTGCCTTTGGGGGGAATACCTCATAACTCCCATTCCTCATCGTTTCACTGCCTTCTCCCACCTTCTCCCGCCACCAGGCCAGCCACACAATAGTGACAGCAGCAGCAACCACAGCGGAGGCGCAGACAGAGGAGGTGCCGGTGCCGGTGGTGGTGATAGACAACCACTCAGAGGCCAATGCGACCGTTGTGCAGCTGGAGTTTGGTGACCGGCTGGGGGCACTCATGGACACGGTGAGAGCAGGAGGGAGGTTGAGGGATGTGGTGTGGTGGGGTGGGGTGGGGTGGGGTGGGGTGGAGTGGGGTGTGGTAGAGAGTGAGGGGGTGCTGGTGGAGGTGATAGACAACCACTTGGAGGCGAGTGGTGCAGCTGGAGTTTGGGGACAGACTGGGGGCTCTCATGGACACGGTGTTTTTTGAGGCGCCTCAAAAGACAGACGGGGGGCTCTCATGGACACGGTGAGCTGGTGGACAGCAAGTGTGGAGGGGGGGGTTGGGTGTGATGAGAAATTTGTGGGAAGTGGGGGGCGGGAAGCGCAGGCTGCGGCGATTGAGGGAAGCTAGGGGTGTGTTGTGGTGCAGCTGGAGTTGGGCGACTGGCTGGCTGGGGGCACTCATGGACACGGTGAGCTGGTGGGGGGCCGAGGGGTTTGATACGAGGAGCAGATGCATCTGGTGGGTGTGAGGTGTAGCCATCTTACCTCTCCACCTCGCCTCCACCACCGTCCCTACCAGATGGCAGCTCTGCACACTCTGGGGCTGACCATGGTGAAGGGGCGCGTGACTCCCAAGTCCGCTCAGAGCTCACCTCACCTCTCTCTGCCTTGCCTCCCCACTCCCTCACCGCCCTACCAGATGGCGGCGCTGCGCAGTCTGGGGCTGACCCACCCTGTTCTCACCACTCTCCTTGCTGGTAGATGGCGGCGCTGCGCAGTCTGGGGCTGAATGTGGTGAAGGGACGCGCGACTCCCAAGTTCGCTCAGAGCTCGCCTCACCTCTCTCTGCTCACCACTCTCCCTGCCTTCCCACTCCCTCATTGCCCTGGCAGATGGCGGCGCTGCGCAGTCTGGGGCTGAACGTGGTGAAGGGACGCGTGACCACTGCCGGCACCGTTGCTCGCAACACCTTCACCATCACTCAGGAGTGAGTGCCGTTTGGGGGGGAGGGAAGGGAGAGGGGGGTGGGCAAGGACAGAAGAGTGAGTGAGGAGGGGGTTGGGAGGAGGATGGCCAAAGAGGGGAGTGTGGCGGAAGGTCTGGGAAGGAAAGGACGAGGGATGGTGGTGAATACATGGGCGGGTGATGATAGCAAGCAGTGTTGCAAGCAGTGTTGCAAGCAGTGTTGCAAGCAGTGTTGCAAGCAGTGTTGCATGCAGTGTTGCATGCAGTGTTGCATGCAGTGTTGCATGCAGTGTTGCATGCAGTGTTGCATGCAGTGTTGCATGCAGTGTTGCATGCAGTGTTGCATGCAGTGTTGCATGCAGTGTTGCATGCAGTGTTGCATGCAGTGTTGCATGCAGTGTTGCATGCAGTGTTGCAAGCAGTGTTGCAAGCAGTGTTGCAAGCAGTGTTGCAAGCAGTGTTGCATGCAGTGTTGCATGCAGTGTTGCATGCAGTGTTGCAAGCAGTGTTGCATGCAGTGTTGCATGCAGTGTTGCATGCAGTGTTGCATGCAGTGTTGCATGCAGTGTTGCATGCAGTGTTGCATGCAGTGTTGCATGCAGTGTTGCATGCAGTGTTGCATGCAGTGTTGCATGCAGTGTTGCATGCAGTGTTGCATGCAGTGTTGCATGCAGTGTTGCATGCAGTGATGTCACCATCATCCAGGACTGTGAGGAGAGGCTTGGAAGGGGGAGGTGCACAGCAGATGTTGGCGCATTGAGTAACGCTCTTTTGAGATGTCTCAAATCCCTCCCTCTCTGCTCGATCCCTGCCCTGCGATTCTCCAAGAGGCCCCCCCTCCCTCCCTTGCCTCATCCTGCAAAAGAAAATCAGCGGCGAAAAGAGAGAATGCCAACATGCACATGTCATATGTCACACTTATTGAACCATCCCCCATCCCCTACCCTGCCATGCCACCCCACGTACCCTCCATGGGTGTGCGACACGATTTGACTTCGAATAGAAACTCTCATCCTCTGCCCTACCCTGCCCATCCCATCCCATCCCATCCCATCCCATCCCATCCCATCCCATCCCATCGCATCCCATCCTTTGCTCTGCCACCCCACGCACCACGCACCATTCACAGGGGAGGCAAGGTGGAGAGTGTGGAGATGATAGAGGCCATTCGAGGCACCATCATCGCCAACCTCCTCAAGTACCACCCTGTGAGTGCTGCTCGCCACCCCGTGAGTGCTGCTCGCCACCCCGTGAGTGCTGCTCGCCACCCCGTGAGTGCTGCTCCTCAAGTACCACCCCGTGAGTGCTGCTCCTCAAGTACCACCCCGTGAGTGCTGCTCCTCAAGTACCACCCCGTGAGTGCTGCTCCTCAAGTACCACCCCGTGAGTGCTGCTCCTCAAGTACCACCCCGTGAGTGCTGCTCCTCAAGTACCACCCCGTGAGTGCTGCTCCTCAAGTACCACCCCGTGAGTGCTGCTCCTCAAGTACCACCCCGTGAGTGCTGCTCCTCAAGTACCACCCCGTGAGTGCTGCTCCTCAAGTACCACCCCGTGAGTGCTGCTCCTCAAGTACCACCCCGTGAGTGCTGCTCCTCAAGTACCACCCCGTGAGTGCTGCTCCTCAAGTACCACCCCGTGAGTGCTGCTCCTCAAGTACCACCCCGTGAGTGCTGCTCCTCAAGTACCACCCCGTGAGTGCTGCTCCTCAAGTACCACCCCGTGAGTGCTGCTCCTCAAGTACCACCCCGTGAGTGCTGCTCCTCAAGTACCACCCCGTGAGTGCTGCTCCTCAAGTACCACCCCGTGAGTGCTGCTCCTCAAGTACCACCCCGTGAGTGCTGCTCCTCAAGTACCACCCCGTGAGTGCTGCTCCTCAAGTACCACCCCGTGAGTGCTGCTCCTCAAGTACCACCCCGTGAGTGCTGCTCACTGCACTTCTGACGCACTGTGTGGTTTGCATGCCTCCCTGTGGGAGCTACTCACCATGCCGTGAGAGCTACTCACACCCTGTGAGCGCTCCTATGTGCATTGCATGCCACCCGTGATTGCTGCTGCTTACATGCGTCGCCTGCCACCCCGTGTTGTGTAGTATACTCCCTCGTGCTCTACCCTGCTCCCCCAACCCCTCCTCACTCGGGAATGCAGCGTTCAGCTAGCCGTGGCCCTCACATGCGATTCACCTCCTTGCATCATCAAACCCCACCATCCTGCACCCCTCTCCTCTCCTTCCCCTTCCTCCTTCCGCCTTACCCCTTCCCCCTTCCCCCTTCCGCCTTACCCCTTCCCCCTTCCGCCTTACCCCTTCCCCCTTCCTCCTTCCGCCTTACCCCTCCCCCCTTCCCCCTTCCGCCTTACCCCTTCCCCCTTCCTCCTTCCGCCTTACCCCTCCCCCGTTCCCCCTTCCGCCTTACCCCTTCCCCTTTCCCCCTTCCGCCTTCCCCCTTCCCCCTTCCCTCCCCCACCTGCAGGAGTCAGGCACGCAGCTGGCCATGGGCCTCACATGCGACTCGCCACCATGCAACGTGAGTGACGAGGGCCGGGTGGGGGGACTGGGGAGGGTGGTGGGAGTGGCGGGAGGCTGGGAACGGTGGGAGGGTAGCCAATGATGGGAGGAATCAGGCATGCAGCTAGCCATGGGCCTCACGTGCGACTCGCCACCATGCAACGTGAGAGAGGGGAGAGTGGCAGGGGCTGGGGTGCGTGGTGCGTGGGGCACTGGTTGAGGGTTCGGGGAGAGGGGTGGGGAACGTGAGGAGGTTGGGATTGCAGCGAGGGTCGAGAGGCTTGGGGGGAGCACTGGTATGGGTCTACCGTACTTGTTTACTCACCCCACATGCATTGTACAGGACAGGTGTACTCACCCCACATGCATTGTACAGGACAGGTGTACTCACCCCACATGCATTGTACAGGACAGGTGTACTCACCCCACATGCATTGTACAGGACAGGTGTACTCACCCCACATGCATTGTACAGGACAGGTGTACTCACCCCACATGCATTGTACAGGACAGGTGTACTCACCCCACATGCATTGTACAGGACAGGTGTACTCACCCCACATGCATTGTACAAGACAGGTGTACTCACCCCACATGCATTGTACAGGACAGGTGTACTCACCCCACATGCATTGTACAGGACAGGTGTACTCACCCCACATGCATTGTACAGGACAGGTGTACTCACCCCACATGCATTGTACAGGACAGGGGTACTCACCCCACATGCATTGTACAGGACAGGGGTACTCACCCCACATGCATTGTACAGGACAGGTGTACTCACCCCACATGCATTGTACAGGACAGGTGTACTCACCCCACATGCATTGTACAAGACAGGTGTACTCACCCCACATGCATTGTACAGGACAGGTGTACTCACCCCACATGCATTGTACAGGACAGGTGTACTCACCCCACATGCATTGTACAGGACAGGTGTACTCACCCCACATGCATTGTACAGGACAGGGGTACTCACCCCACATGCATTGTACAGGACAGGGGTACTCACCCCACATGCATTGTTGAGGTGTCAAATCTCTATTAGCGACTGCACCAGCGGCATCGTGTGGCTGTGTGAGCTCTCAGAGCAACATGAGCAACACTTACCTGAACCAGTTTTCTCCTCCGCACTGACTACTCTTGAGTTGACTGCCTGGTCACTTAATTGACCCTGTTTTCTCCTCCGCGTTGACTGCTGCTCCCTTCTCCCTGTTCTCCTTCAGCCGTCACCCCGCTGTGCTTCCCCACGCTGCCACCCTGCTATCAGGCTTCTTCGGTCTTCTGAGTGCTCGCACATCGTCTCGATTACTCTCGATAACATCCTTCACAGGCGAGCATGCCAACACGCATGCCATTCATGCCCCTGACAGGGCGGCGAGCAGATGGTGGAGGCAGCAGACCAGCAGACCAGCAGACCGGCAGACCAGCAGACCGGCAGACCAGCAGACCGGCAGACCAGCAGACCGGCAGACCGGCAGACCGGCAGACCGGCAGACCGGCACACTGGCAGACTGGCAAATGATGCGTGCATCCCCTCCCTTCATGTGTGCTCTCTTCTATGCACTCCCATTCTCCACCCCACAGGCGAGCGTGCCAACGCGCATGGCGATTACGGCCCTCCCCGACAACAGCGGCAGCGAGTTGAGGGTGGAGGCGGCGGACCGGCCGGGGCTGCTTATGGAGATCGTGGATGTGCTGACAGGGATGTCCGTCAGCGTGACGTCAGCAGAGATCGACACCGAGGTGGGTGCAGACGAAGGCTGTGTGCTCTGTGAGTGCAGTTGTGGACCTGTGTGCTGTGCTGTGCTGTGCTGTGCTGTGAATTGGTACGCATGCACGCCTTCACTCATGCCCGTCTCCCAACAGGGTGTGCTGGTGCAGGATGCGCTCCCTGTACCGAACTTCCCATGCTGCACTGTAATCACCATCTCCCATCTCCCATCTCCCATCTCCCATCTCCCATCTCCCATCCCCCATCTCACATGGTCCATCGTCCATTTGTGTGCATGCAGGGCGTGGTGGCAAAGCATGTGTTTGCGGTGTCATGCCTTGCTTCTCCCCAACGCCCATCTCCCGTATCCTGCCATCCATTCATGTGCATGCAGGGGATGGTAGCGAAGGATGTATTCACGCATTAATCACCCATCTCCCAACTCTTATCACTCATGTATGTGCATGCAGGGCGTGGTGGCGAAGGATGTGTCCACAATGATCACCGTATCTGTCTCTCATGGCTCATCTCTCATGGCTCATCTCTCATGGCTCATCTCTCATGGCCCATCTCTCATGCATGTGCATGCAGGGCGTGGTGGCGAAGGATGTGTTCACGGTGTCGTACCATGGGGGGCCACTGGATGATGAGATGACCACGGTGAGATGAAACGAGCATGGTGAGATGAAACGAGTATGGTGAGATGAAACGAGCACGGTGAGATGAAACGAGCATGGTGACTTGAAGCGAGCATGCTGAGATGAAACGAGCGCGGTGAGAGCACAGAGAGATGAAACTAGCGTGGTGAGAGTACAGAGAGATGAAACTAGCGCGGTGAGAGCACAGAGAGATGAAACTAGCGCAGTGAGATGAAATGAGCACGGTGAGTTCAAACGAACATGCTGAGATGGAACAACCACCATCGGGTTATTGTGCCCACCAGCATCATTTTCATCTTGCAAAGCTGTGGATCTTACTTGGAGGTATACATTGTTCCTTAGACTCCGCTCAGGCCACGAGACGTGCAAATGAAGCACCCACCTGCTCCTTAGAAGATGCACTCCCTGCTCTCGTCTCCTCATCCCATCATTCTTGTGCCTCCTCCCCCTTCACACCTCCTTCTCTTTCTCCTTTCTCCTGCCTGACTCCTATGGCTCTCAAGCGCAATCCCTCTCTTCCTGAAGCCCCTCCTTCCATTGTCCCTCTTTTCTCTTCTAATCGGTGCCCCTCGTTCCTTTCCATGTCATCCTGGCTGACAGCCCATGTCATCCACCTTACTGAATACTTCTGAGACTTGTTATAACTACCTCTCAGTTCTGTCCCATACCTCAGTTCTGTCCCATACCTCAGTTCTGTCCCATACCTCTCAGTTCTGTCCCATACCTCTCAGTTCTGTCCCATACCTCTCTGTTCTGTCCCATATCTCTCTCCTCTTCCCCTTCCTCGACTCCCCCTCAGTCAACCCATTTTCTCTGATTTCCCATTCGGTTCTCTTTCGTCTCTTCTCAATCTCTCCCTCCCCCCCTCTTCCTCTCCCTACCCCCTTCCAGCTCACACTTAACGCCCTCAACTACACTCTCTCCCGGCCAGACATCGAAGCCGAGGAGAGCTACTAGTGTCTTGAGGTGCCTTATAACGAGGCAGAGAACTAGTAGGGACCAGCAGCAGATCCCGGCACGTGATAGAGCTGGGCATGTTTTTGCTGGTCTCGTTACAGACTGAATGGTCACCGACTAGGCTTTCCGCACTGCTGTACAGTCTCTATTGTGTATCCATTCGTCGATATACGGTACCGTGCTGTGTTTGCTGTATGCCTTTCCTGCACAGCACACACGTGTGGGCGCTTAATGCTATTGTTCTCAGATGGTTGCTTTCAAGTGGCGCTAAAGATTACTATTCTCTCGACCGCACAGCTGCCATGGCTGACTGAAACTAAACAACCAAACGCTTGGATGGCTTTACACTCCACATTTATATTACCGTATGCATGGTTGCACTCTGCACACAAAGAATGTTTCAATCTTGACTTGTGAAGTGGAGAAAGAATTGCCAGAGGAGAAATATGCACACATTCCCTCCACAAATTGATACAAAGATCCTGGGATTGATACATCCTACTGCCCACACTGTCTGGCTGCTACAAGCTTGGACGAAGCAGCACTACACGGATAGAACCGCGTGCATCCGTGTGCGTGCTGCTGCACCCAAGCTCTTGCAGCAATGCCACCACTACAAGTCACCTGCACGAAATGCCAATCTCCGGTACCAGCCACTTGGCAAAGCCACCTACAAATGGTTCTTTTACTTTGTGCCGTCAGCATCCCATGCCCCTACGCTGCGCATTCCACAACCCATGCCTCCTCCAACACCGCCATCCATGCCTCCCCATGACCCATGATGCCAGGCTTGCATCAAGGAGAACCTGGTCCGCCCATACCACCTCCCATGTTGCCCCCCCCAGGCCCACCCATCCCTCCGCCCATCCCTCCACCCATCCCTCCACCCATCCCTCCGCCCATCCCTCCGCCCATCCCTCCGCCCATCCCTCCGCCCATCTCTCCGCCCATCCCAGGTCCACCCTGGGCGGGTGCTGCCTGCGACCCTGGAGCAACCCACCCTGACCCACCCATTCCTCCGCCGCCCATTCCTCCGCCGCCCATTCCTCCGCCGCCCATGCCTCCGCCACCCATTCCGCCGCCGCCCATGCCTCCGCCCATGTTCCCCCCAGGACCCTTGGCTGCTAGTGATCCGGGAGCAGACCCAGGTCCGGCCATACCCCCTCCCATGCCGCCCCTGCCGCCCATTCCGCCGCCTCCCATTCCGCCACTTCCCATTCCTCCTCCACCCATGCCGCCGCCGCCCATTCCGCCGCCGCCCATGCCGCCGCCACCCATGCCGCCTCCGCCCATCCCGCCGCCGCCCATTCCGCCACCTCCCTTTCCCCCGCCGCCCGTGTTCCCCCCAGGACCCATGGCTGATTGTGATCGGGGAGCGGAGGACCCAGGTCCGCCCATGCCGCCGCCCATTCCGCCGCCGCCCATTCCGCCGCCGCCCATTCCGCCACCTTCCATTCCGCCGCCACCCATGCCCCTGCCGCCCATGTCCCCGCCGCCCATTCCGCCGCTGCCCATTCCGCCGCCTCCTATTCCGCCGCCGCCCATTCTGCCGCCGCCCATTCCGCCTCCGCCCATTCCGCCTCCTTCCATTCCGCCGCCACCCATTCCGCCGCCGCCCATTCCGCTGCCGCCCATTCCACCACCGTCCATTCCGCCGCCGTCCATTCCGCCGCCGCCCATTCCGCCACCTTCCATTCCGCCGCCACCCATGCCCTCGCCGCCCATGCCCCCGCCGCCCATTCCGCCGCCGCCCATTCCGCCGCCTCCTATTCCGCCGCCGCCCATTCCACCGCCGCCCATTCCGCCGCCACCCATGCCCCCGCCGCCCATGTCCCCGCCGTCCATTCCGCCGCCCATTCCACCACCGCCCATTCCGCCGCCGCCCATGCCGCCGCCGCCAATTCCGCCACCTTCCATTCCGCCGCCACCCATGCTCCCGCCGCTCATTCCGCCGCCGCCCATTCCGCCGCCTCCTATTCCGTCGCCGCCCATTCCGCCGCCGCCCATTCCACCGCCGCCCATTCCGCCGCCACCCATGCCGCCGCCACCCATTCCGCCTCCGCCCATTCCGCCGCCGCCCATTCCACCACCGCCCATTCCGCCGCCGCCCATGAGAAACTTAGAACGAGAATGAATGAACTAAGGAATGAAAGTGATACAAATATAAAACCCTAGAATTGTGTACCCCTTAGTATCTAACCCGCTACAGCCTACACAGGCTAGATCATATAAGTTTGACACACCCCCATAGGCAAAGTGGGGGAGAACAAGGGGTCACAAGACCAGTCAAGCAAAGCAAGGCAAAGCAAGCTCAGGGTGGATCACAACGTCACCACACATTCCGAGCACAAGTTCAAGGCCACAAGGCCAGTTCACATACATGAGTACACGCATATATATAACGCTAAACAAGTAAGAGCAGGTATATATATATGTAACAGTACAAGCAAGGTCAAGAAGTGAGCAAGTGAGGCAAGGTAGGTACAAGACCTAACAGAGTACAGAAGCGCTGATGGTCACAAGGCGCAAGTGCCTTGGTGAAGATATCAGCAGTGTTGGCCTCAGAGGCCACGTAAGCAAGACGCAGCTGACCGCGCTGCTGCAGCTCACGAGCAAGGAAGTAGCGAAGAGCGATGTGCTTCGTTCTGTGCTCCAGTCTGTGCTCCCGACACAAGGCCAGCATAGCCTTGTTATCTACGTACAGAACTGGAGGAGAACGAGGCGGCTCTCCTAGGTCAGTCAGCAGGTAGGTGAGCCAGCGTAGCTCCTGTGCAGCCATGGCCCCTACGTAGATCTCAGCCTCACAACTGGAGCCGAGAACAGAAGACGAGCGGGTAGACCGCCACGAAACAGAGCCGGAGCCAAGGCTGAAGGTGTAACCCTGTGACGACCGCTGCGTAGCCTGGTCGTCAGCCCAAGAAGCGTCTGCGTGACCAGTGAGGACCACTGGACTCCGCCCTCCAAGCACGAGCCCCATGCCCGACGTACTGCACAAGTAGCGCAACACCCTCTTCGCTGCAGCCATGTGCTCTGGTCTGTGTCTCCCAGGAGCAACATAGCGTGCCAGATCGCTAAGAGGGTATGCAAGGTCAGGTCGAGTGCAGGTCATTAGGTACATGAGGCAGCCAACAAGCTCTGGGTACGGGCCACTCGACTCTACGGACTCATCCGAAGGCAGAGCTGAGAGCGAGTGGCGAGTAGACAGAGGAGTGGCCTGAGGCGAGGAGTACGTGAAGCCGAAGCGCTGAAGGACCTGCTGCACCATGTGTGACTGAGTCAGGGTAATGGTGCGCTGTGCTCTGTCCCGGGTGATCTGCAAGCCAAGGTAGCTGCGCAGTTCACCCAGGTCTGTGCACATGTGTCTCTTCTGCAGCTCTGACTTCACGTGGGCGAGTCCAGCAGTGTCAGCTGTGGCAAAGACCAAGTCGTCGACGTACACGAGGATGTAGAACGGCGGCAAAGAAGTGTCGGTGCGCAGAAACAGTGACGGGTCGGCAGTAGAAGGAGCAAACCCAAGAGCCGCAAGTGTAGTCCTCAGTGTGTCGTGCCACTCACGAGGTGCCTGGCGGAGACCGTAGACTGGCCGCCGGAGGCTCCACTGGGTACCAGGAGGAAAAGACCCAGTGAAGCCAGGTGGGCGGCGCAGCCAGATCTCCTCGTGCAGGCTGCCCTGCAAGAAAGTAGTGCTGAAGTCAAGAGAGTGAAGCTCGTAGTCACGGTGAGCGGCTATGTGCAGCAGTACCCGAAGAGTGGTCATCTTCGGGGTGGGAGAGAAGGTCTGAAAGTAGTCAACTCCCTGCCGCTGACTGAAGCCACGAGCCACGTAGCGCGCCTTGAAGACAGGCGGAGAACCCGGCGGCCGCTTCACCCTGAAAATCCACATGCCACTGACGATGTTCGCCCCAGGAGGGGGAACCTCGTCGACGTAGGTGCCTGTGGACTTCCAGGAAGCCATCTCTGCATCCATGGCTGCCTGCCACTGAGAGGAGTAGGGACCCTCTATCGCCTCCGCGTAAGAGCGCGGAGTCGGGATGTCTGGTGCATCCGGGTCTCCCTCAGGGGCAAGCAGCATGGACACGAGATGAGGTGAAGCAGCAGCAAAGCACTGGAACTCCTCCTGCCTGCCCTCAAGGACGTCCGTGCCAAGGGCACACTCACCCCCGACGGACGGAGGACAAACAGACTCAGACTCAGCGACAAGACTAGCAGCGTAGTCTAGGCGACAGCGAGCAGCGAAGTCGACAAGCTCAGAAACTAAGGCAGACGCAGCAGCGGACTCAAAGGAAGGGTCAGTGACGACAGTAGCAAGGAGACGCGTGACAGTAGGACTGGCAGCACGAAGGGAGTCCGACTTCGGGTCAGCAAGAACAGGAAGAGAGGACTCAGGAGGAGAAGGCAAAGGGGCACGCAGCGGAGCAGTGGAGGGACGCAGAGACATCCGGTGCGTGCCGGGGACAGGGGGAGGACGCTGACGCGAACCACGACTACTAGTGCGAGCAGCACGGACAGGCGACGCAGGACGAGACGCAGGCTCACGACGCTCAGCAAGACCTCCAGTAGGACCAGTGTAGGGAGAATGAGCAGGCAGAGGAGAGGTAGGCTGTAACTGTGACTCGGACTGGACAGGTGGTGGACACTCTAAGGGAGGAGCCGGACTAGCAGAGGGCGGAAGACCAAGAACCTGCTCAAGGAGCGGAACGAAGTACGGCCGCGGCCGCTCAGCACCACCACCACCTGAAGGGACAGCACCAGCACCCCGAACGACAGCACCAGCGCCAGCAGCACCCCCAGCTCCAGCAGCGCCAACTCCAGTACCCTCAGAGGCACCAGCACCAGAGGCACCCTCAGCGCCAACACCCCCAGCAGCTCCAGCTCCAGCCGGACCACCAGAAGACGCAGCGGGTCCAGCTCCAGCACCCTCAGTAGCACCGACGCCCGCAGCACCACCAGCTCCAGTACGAGAAGCACCCGTAGGCCCAGCAGCTCCAGTACTCCCAGTACGAGCACCTCCGGGACCCGCGGCACCAGCACCCTCAGCAGCAGCAGAACCTCCAGCACCCGCAGCACCTCCAGCTCTAGCAGCTCGCCTCCAGCGCCGAGCAAACCACTCACGCAGCTCCTGTGGAGAGAGTAGCTCCCGCCGGGACGAAGCACCCGAAGAACCTCCAGGCCCAGCACCGCCAGACGCCACACGAGCAGGTCCAGTACCCTCAGACTCCGCACCCCCAGACGCAGCACCCCCAGGCTCAGCACCCCCAGACGCAGCACCCCCAGGCATAGCACCCCCAGGCTCAGCACCCCCAGGCGCAGCACCCCCAGAGTCAGCACCCCCAGGCTCAGCACCCCCAGAGTCAGCACCCCCAGACCCAGCACCCGCAGGCTCAGCACCCCTAGCAGCACCAGAGTCAACAGCTACCTCGACAGGGTCGACTGCGTCTACCTGAGACGCACCTGAGGGGGCAGGACCCTGAGGGGGGAGGGGGTCTACCGGAGGGGGACCTGGCGTAAGGAAGAGCGGCGGGGGGGGGAGGGACGCAGTGCGGTAGGGGAAGAGACGGTAGTAGGGAACCGACTCGTCAAACGTGACGTCCTGGGAGGACAGAACACGGCACGAGGTGGGGTGGTAGAACTGCCAGCCCGGCGCGTCAGGGGGGAAGCCAAGGAAGACGCAGGGAACAGCACGAGGGGACATCTTGTCCGCAGACAAGTCGCGGACAAACGCCCGAGATCCCCAGACACGGAACGCAGACGCATCGCCAACCTTCCCCGTCCACAGCAAAGCAGGGGAGGTCTCCGTCATGGAGACCCTGGGCTGAAGGTTGATCTGATGCGCCGCGTACCGAACCGCAAACGGCCACAGAAAATGGGGGGCAGCCGCATGGACCATGGACGTACGAGCGACGTCCATGACCATGCCAATGCGGCGCTCAGCAATCCCATTTTGCTGCGGAGAGTCCGGAAGCGTGAAGGTCTGGCGGATGCCTCGTGCACGACAGAAGGCTCGCAGAAGGTCAGAGGAGAACTCTCCGCCTCTGTCAGAGTGCAGACGCAGAACAGGAAAGTCCGAGCCGAAACTCTCTCTGAGCTGGAGACGAGCTGCGCGGATCCAGGCGATCAACACCTCAGTGACCTCACCCTTGCTGCGCAAGGGGAAGACTGCGGTGTAACGCGAGTAGTCGTCAACCACCAGCAGGAAGTAACGCTCGTGACCCTGTCCACGGACGCGGGCTGGGCCCCACACGTCCATGTGAAGCGTCTGCAGCGGAGCCTCTGTCGGAGGAAACTCGGAGGAGTGAGGAGCAGCGCGCTGCCGCCCCTCGACGCAGGGAATGCAGGTGGGGGCAGGCCCCGGAGGAAGGGGAGGGAGGGACCGGGGGAGACCAGAGACAAGGACACGGGAGGCCATGCCTCGAAGACGAGGCAGGGAGGGGTGACCAAGGCGGTGGTGCCAGAGGAGAGTCTGGTGAGACAGGAGACGACACGAGCAGGGGGCAGACTCAGGACCAGACCTGGACGCCGCAGCAAACACCTGATCCGACGCGGCTACCTGAGCAGACTCAGCGACCGGAGGAGACTCAGTAGTCAGTGTGTACAGGCTCGACCCCGGCTGACGGGTAAACGTGGCCAAGTGACGGCCCGTCCGAGCACAGGTACAGTGGGTCACTCGCTGACTCGCAGGAGTGAACTGGTGAACCCCTCCATCCTGGAGGTCAGCACCACTCACCAAGTTCATAGAGAACGAGGGGAGGTAAAGACCCGACAGGGTGCCAGAAGGGGCCGCCGGTCATGGTAGAACAGTGGAGAAGTGGGCAAGGATAGGACCCCCAGAGGGGTCTGCCAGGGAGACTGCCACTGGCCGACTAAGCGGCGTAAGCGTGGTGCGGTCTCGAAAAAAGGAGCGGGAAGCACCCGAGTCAAGGGTGAAGGTGTGGGTGGCCGGAGCCGACGCGGTACCTGAGAGCGCAGACTCACCAGCACCTGGGGCAGCAGGCTCACTGGCACCTAGAGCAGCAGCCTCACCAGCACCTAGAGCAGCAGCCTCAATGCCCGGGTCAGGCGGAAAACACCGGTAACAGTCACCCTCATCACTAATAGTCACAGCATACATGGCAGCAAGAATAGCATCATAGTCAAGATCAAAGATCGGAACACCCGCCCTAAACAGCTCGCCCCAGCGAGGGATCTCAGTTGCGTCAGGGAACTGATGACGCCAAGCGTCCGTCAGGCGGCCGAAGCAGCGCTGGGTGGAGTGCGGACCCCCACACTGCTCACCCGCGCGGTCGCCGGTACGTAGAACGTAGGTACAGGGGCCAGCACCCCCACCCCGCTGACGAGCAGTGTACCACTCACGAAGCTGCTGGGGGGAAGGGGTCTCACGAGTGCGCTGCTGCTGCTGCTGCTGCTGCTGGCGCTGACCACCACCGGAGCCGACCCTCTGCGTAGCGCCGCCCCGACCAGCTCCACCTCCGCCGCCGCTACCTCCACCACCGCCTCCACCTCCGCCACCTCCGCCCGCACCGCCACCACCGCCACCTCCTCCGCCTCCACTGCCGCCACTAGCGCCCCCACCCTCGCCACCACTCCCACCGCCACCCCCACCCCCTCCGCCGCCTCCACCGCCGCCTCCACCGCCCCCTCCAGCTCCTCCAGCGCCCTTGCCCCCCTTGCCCTTGCCTGAGCGGCGTCTCCCGCTAGGGGCAGACGCCGCGCCGTCCGACTCAAGACCAACGAGGTCGGCCGCAGCAGCAGAGGCAACAGAGGGCAAGAGGGGGGAGGGGGAGCACCCCTCAAAGACAGGGGTACGAGGGTCACCACGAGAGGCTCCTACAGCGACTATACTCTTCTCTGCTGCTAGGAGGCGCTCCTCGAGGAGGTCAACGGTGAGAGTGGTGGGGCAAACAGAGAGGAAGTGGTCCCTGACCGAGCGAAGGGTGTCAGGGAGCCGGGTGACTATGTAGTAAAAGGTGATGTACATAGGGGGGGGGTTCTTGGCGCAGAACTCAGCAGGAAGCGCAGCGCGGTAGCGAATGTCACTAGTGCGAAGGTGTGTAATGAGGTCAGCGACTGTGAGAAAAGCGGCGAGGTCAGGGAAGAGGAACGGCAGTATGAGGCGGCTAAGAGCAGCAGTGGCAGGGGAAGAGTAGCGTGCAACTACAGCGTCGTACAAGGTCTTGGCACTCTTGTACTGACTAAAATGCGCGCGCTCAGCGGTCGGTAAGTGGCGGCGCACAGCAAGGCGGGCAGCAGCATCGCGCGTGGCCCACTGTGAGCGAACAGTGGCGTCAGCATCAGCAGCAGGGGCAGGAGAGGCACCAGAAGTGAGGTCAATCAGGGAGAGACCGTCTGCCCTATCGCACTGTAGGAAAAGCTGCAGATCATCTACCCAGACCTCAAAGTCAACAGCCCGACCCTCAGCGTCAAAGGTGAGAACACTGGGGGTGGCCATGACAGCAGCAGACAGGCAGTGAGTACAGCGGGGTAGGGCAGTGCAGTGGCAGAGGCGCTACGCTTACCAGGCAAGTGAGGCGGTCCGGGGCAGGCCGGCAGGGACAGGGCCGCTACTGCAGTGACGGCAGCGTCTCGGCTGCGGCGGCCCAGCGGCTCGGCGGCTCGGCGGCTCGGCGGCTCGGCGGCAAAGGCGGCTCGGCGGCTCGGCGGCAAAGGCGGCTCGGCGGCTCAACGGCTCGGCAGCGAAGGCGGCTCGGCGGGGCCGTGAAGGGCGGCGTCGCTTCCGTGAAGGAGCGGCGACGGGGCCGCTGAAGGGCGGCGACGAGGCCGCCGAAAGGGGCGGCGACGAGGCCGAGTAGGGGCGGCGACGGGGCCGCGGAAAGGGGCGGCGACGGGGCCGCTGAAGGGCGGCGACGGGGCCGCTGAAGGGCGGCGACGAAGCCGCTAAGAGGCGGCGACGGGGCCGCTGAAAGGGCGGCGACGGGGCCGCTGAGAGGGCGGCGCCGGGGCCGCTGAAAGGGCGGCGACGGGGCCGCTGAAAGGGCGGCGACGGGGCCGCTGAGAGGGCGGCGACGGGGCCGCTGAAAGGGCGGCGACGGGGCCGCTGAAAGGGCGGCGACGGGGCCGCTGAAAGGGGGAGGCGGCGACGGGGCCGCTGAAGGACGGCGACGGGGCCGGAAGGGGCGGCGACGACGCCGTCAAGGGTGGCAACGAGGCCGGTAGGGGCGGCGACGGGGCCGCTAAGGGCGGCGCGACGGGCCGCTAAGGAGGGCGCGACGGGGCCGCTAAGGAGGGCGCGACCAGGCGCGCCTCGGGCAGGGGACAACACGCGCCCCGGGCAGAAAAAAAATTCGATCTTGGTGGGCCCTAGGACAGTTCCCACTGGGGAACCTGCTCGATACCATGAGAAACTTAGAACGAGAATGAATGAACTAAGGAATGAAAGTGATACAAATATAAAACCCTAGAATTGTGTACCCCTTTGTATCTAACCCGCTACAGCCTACACAGGCTAGATCATATAAGTTTGACAGCCTATGCCGCCGCCGCCAATTCCGCCGCCGCCCATTCCGCCGCCGCCCATTCCGCCTCCGCTCCATCGCGAAAATGGCAAGCTCGGAAAGCAACTCGAAATACACTCTTCCGAAACTTTCCCGATATTTTTTGCCCGGCACTTTTGAGTCCAGGTTTTAGAACTGCATGGCCACAGTCACTTACAAAGTAACTTCGCGTTCACCTTCCTGATGCATTCTGTACATATGCGTGCATCAAATTAGACACTACACCCGCATCCGTGCAGTTGCTCAACAATCATGGGCTGCGCCACACAAAAGTTTACCCAACCATACCATGCCAACCAACTACAAAGTGACGAGTAAGCAACCCCATCTGCCACACCGTACGCGCAGTATCAACCCGCACGTCCACGTAAGCGTTTAGGGTTTATAACGTACCCGCACCCCAACCGTTGGATGCACATTCGGGTCACGCAATCGCGACGGTTCACGTGTCTCCTGTACATAAACTCGCGAACCGTGTTACGACATCGCGAACACCAACTCGCACATGCCAGCGCACAGACAGCGCCAGTATCTTCACCGTCCATCTGATCGATGCTCACCCTGTACATACGTGACAGTTGGTGCCAACCCACAGGTGCGCTAACCGCAAATCACTCGTTCAATACCCACTAGCATGCTACCACGTCGCATCACTCTACTTGCGCATCGTGCGTCCGCAGCCTACACTACATTGCATAATCACCGTACACCTGTCGCGCCGCCACCGTTTCGTACACTTCGCCATATTACTCGCCACCCAGTAGTTTTTCACACGCTACTAGGTGACGACGCCATCTGCGTCGTCCATCAGTGGACATCGTCTCTACCACCGAGCTGCCGCGTCACGCACACTTATTCGATCTACCCCGTACACTTGCCGGTCGATCCCGTTCTAGCACATCTAGTAACCAGTTACCATCTCATCGTTGCACTCGTTCGCGTCATCTGCACGACACAATCACGACCGTACAGCTGTCTCACCCTCCGCGCATATCACACCGCGTTTCCAGCCGTCAACCTCATCTTCGCGTCCGTACTGGATGGTGACACGCGTAGTCCACCGTGTACGCCATTAATGTGCAATTGGTTCCTCGTCATCTCTTATCCATGTTGAATATCCAACCAGATGTCAACGCGTGCGCACCGCGAAGACTCTTACGTCCACACATTTACGTGACATATGGCACACTCCGTGAAACGCGCCGCAACATGCGGCGCGTTCCACGCCATCCCGCACACCTGGTGGACGGCCTGGCTGATGCATTCCGCATCCTAGTGGTGTAGGTGTTGTGCTATCATCTGCATCAATACCCCAATAAAGCCTCCTCACATTAACGTTGGAACGCACACACAAACATACTACGCAACCATGCATACAACTAACCCCCGTAACTTCCATTAACACACATGCAAAAACCCGTGCACACTAAACTGCTACTCAAGACCCACAACCAGAAGAGATAATGATGCCTGAGACACCTCTCCACCACCTGTCCCCTCAACGGTCCGCAACACGATCCATGACGCCCCCCACGCCAGTCGGCCTACTCAGCACCAACTGACGCCGAAAGGTCGTCATCCCTCACGAGGTCTTCTGACTGAGCTGCGGCGGTGGGCTTCATGTGCTCCAGGCCACACGCAGAGATGCGCAGTCCATGGCGGCCCCAGGTCCACGCCTCGCGCTCCGCGTCATACTCCGGGTTGCGGATCCGGATCGCCCTCTCCACGGCCTCCTTCACCAGGACCTTGAGGCCGTCCACAACGTGGGCGTTTCCCCCGGCCGAGTTGGAAAGCCGGCCTTTCCTCTCCTCCCAGTAGAGGACGCAGTCGGAGACCTGCGGAAACACCCAGCTTGTCACTCAAATGGTACGACAGTACAACGCAAAAACCGTGCACACATTGAGCGCACAAACTCACCACATGCTCCAACCAGGCCAGGTGGTACACCTTCAGAGTCATCACCAGCCCGGCCTTCTTAGGCCTGAATGCAACCTTCGCGCATGTCGCGAACGCCCGAGAGGCAAACGGCATGCCGTTCCGGTCTGTCGCCCAGCTCGTGAGCACCAGGGTTTCTGCACACCACATGCGCACAGTCAGTGTCAATGGCCGCCATACACTCATTGTCAGCATACCAACACGTAGGCGACCCCACCTGCTGTCTTCATGGCACTCACCAGGGCGGACAACGCCAAGCCCAATGTGCTCCCGGATCTTCTCGATACTGCGCTCCTTCTCTGGTGCCCACGGGCTGGATGCGTCCCTGTCGTCGCGGAACAAGCCGAGCTTGGGAAGTGCAATGTCTCGCACGCGGGCGGCGGCCCGCGTCTTCCACTCAGAGAGCGTCTTGTTGAGGTCCGCGCGTCGCGAATTGTCAGCCGCCAACGCCAAGCAAGCGAAGCTATGCGGCAGGCGGTCCAGCACCGCACACACTCCATGAGTCTTATCGTCGCTGCTCGGGTAGAAGGTCATCGTCGACGTCGGCCTGTTGAGAAACATGTGCACCCTGGCGAGCTCGCAAACCCTCTGCGCACGTATGGTGTACACGATGAACAAAGTAAGCGTCATCCGATGAGCGTCAACTGCACATCAGTGCACTCCAAATCGATGACGGTTCAATAGACCCCTCCGGAAACATGCCCGCTCACCTTCCACGCCTTGTCCGTCGGCAAATGCTCCAGCGCGCGTTGCAGAATAGGGGACTTTGCGGTACGCATATGACGGCCACCAGAACCATGCGTGTCGTCCTCGTCGTCCTCGCCCTCGTCGTCGGACCCTCCACTCCACGTCTCGCCACGCTGACGCTTCGAGTTCATACACCCCTGTCCCGGGTCTCTCTGCTTCTGCGCCTTACGCTTACGAGAGCCACCGGAAGGCCGAGACATCGCATTCAAGAACAGCGCCTCCAACCGCGCGTTCTCCTTGGCGCTCTTGTCCTGAGCCTGTATAAGTTGCTCGAGGACCCTGCTCGGGATGCGCACGTCATCGCCGTTTGGGTTCAACGTGTTCCCGCATGTGCGGTCCACAGGTCCGTCCGCATGTCCTCGGCCGTCACCTCGAGGCACATCCGTGTCCCGCGCGCCTTGGCTTGCGCGCGTGTCAGCATTGGGCGCAGCGGTTCCCGCACACCCATCGTCGTTCGTCTTCGCCTCCGGAGCAGGGTCGGCGGATTCTTCGTGTGAGGCGCTGGCCGAAGTGTCTGAGCCTTCCTCGTCATCCTCCTCGCTGCGCTCGGACGAATCTGCACTTTCGGCGCCCGTCCCGTCATCTGTGGGTGAGCGAAACACCACAAAGGCACAACACCCCAAGTTAGCAAATGGCATGTCACTGGGGTCCGAGTTTGTTCAGAGCGGACAAAAAACAGTAATAACGTCATGACACATCCACACATGCTCGGGCTGCATAACTTGCTCCGGCTGCACCACCTCCTTTCCCTTCTTGGCTAAGCTCAGGCGCTTAGGAATGGTCGCCCCACGTTTCCCGTTCGACAGTCGACATCGCGGCATCGTCAGCTGGTACGACGCTCGCAGGTACGCCGGCGGGAGTGAGACACGTCGCGACCGGCCTCCACCCCTCGTATCGTCGGAAGCAATTGAGGTATCCATTTTCGCAAGGGAAGTATGCAGTGAGTTGCTTTCACAATGACGCTCAATACGATATTTCTACACAAAGTTGGGGGCCCAAATTCTTAACACGCCGGAGCACCGTGTACACAATGAGTTTGGTAAGCAAAACTACCACGTACACATCTGGATGATCGCAATCCGAAATGACGAATAGATGGACACCACGTCAACGTACCTAGTGATGCATGTGTGCACAGCAGAACCACACACTGCGCACATCCTGTTGACATAACCGTATCCATAGTCCTCGTTTGTGCTGCCATCAGGCTCGCAAACCGGTTCTCGGTATTCAGTGATTTCATACACCACTTCGTAATATAGCACACCAAGTGCACGATTACACAACCGGATTACAACACATGTCGGTCACACCATGTACGCACACGTCGTAACGTTTATTACACATGCATACATGCACGATACAGCAAGCGCTGTACATTAGCAAGTGCAATACAAAACTAAGCAACTACGTGCACGACCTGTCTCCCATATGCTTTGTCTATACATCCACTATGCAGCAGGGCCTGACGTATTCTCATGTGCACCAGTGTCTTCCCCTCGCTCTTCCTGCTCATTGTTCTTTGCACCCCCGCCCTGCTCGCTCACAGGGGCCGTCCCCCCACTCTCCGCATTGTCGGGGACCTCTGGTTCGTTGGTAGCCATGGTGTTGCTATCCACCACCCTGTGCCTCTTTGATGTACCTGTGGCACCCCCACGCTTCCTGCCACGTTTCAGCTTGCTGCTCACGCTATCCAGCGCCTCCCGCCAGCTCCTCCACCTCCACCACTTCCGCGCTTCCACCAGGATCTGCAAATCTTCTTTGGTGCAACCACGCAGCATCGCCTTCTCTGCGGCTGACAGGCTGACCGTGTTGGGTATCTTGTCACGTGGCCTCAGCACGAACGCACCTGCGGCGTACGCGAACGCCCCCTCTTCCTCCGTGGTGTACGCTCCCAACCGCTGCTGCTTACGCTTTCCACCTTCCTTAATCAGGATCTTCACGCCGTACTTGCCGGATGCTTTATCCAACTTCACACCCGTGTATCTGGAGGCACACGCTTCGTCATCATCCTCCTCGTCGTCTGTGTCTGACACGAGATCCTCCTCCTCTTCGGCCTTCACCGTCTCCTTCCCTCGCGTGTCTCCCCACACGTCAGCTCCAGCTGGCACACCCGCCCCGAGCAGGTGCATCCCGCGCGTGAACATCCAGTGAGGTATGGTCCCGTGCGAGAGGTGCGGGTTCTGCAGCAAGGTCGATGTCGGCTCACATGCAGCGAACGTGGAGGCCAGCGCAACCCGGGTGGCATTGCGCACGCCATCCTCCTCAGGACTGCTGTCATCCCGCCTCTTACGTGCAGACGGACGCTGTGGAGTGCGTGGAGCATTCTTGGTGCCACCCGCCTCTGCTTTCGCGCCGGTCCCCGCGTGACCCCCATGCAGCAGTAGGTGGGTTGCAGCTGTCACCACCTCGTCCCGCCTCAGTCCTACAAAGTTGGCGAGTACGGTGAAGCTGGCGTCCAGGTACCTCACATCGTTATTCAACGTCGTCAGATGCCTCATCATCTCCGTAACCCGTGCGTCCTCCACAGGGCGAGTGACCGGAGTTTGCCTCCCCTCTCCCATAGCAGCGTTCCTCTCTTGCACCACTGCCCCCTCATCGGTAACCCGGCCTTCGTCCTGCGGGGGGATTTCAATCCCCAGGTCCTCCAGCTGTTTAATAAGATCTCCGCACGCGTGTGCACACAAGTCGCGCCGCATCTCCCGCATGTATTGGTGCGGTGTCACACCCTGGAACCAGAGGCCGTTCAAAACCGTGGTGAAGTCGGTATTCACCAGGGTCTTGAGGTACTGACAAACAAAAATCCCACAGTCCTCCTTGTTAGGCTGCTGTGGCAGCTTATCCTCCTGCAAATACGGGACCGCATATGCGAGTTAGAAATCAGTATACTTGCGGGCGCTTACTGCAGATTGGTATCCACAGAGTCCGGTTGCATGCTCACCCGTAGAATGATGCAGTCCACCTCCGTCAGCATCTTGTCCACAAACTCCATGTTCGCGTTTGGGTTACTCGCCTTGGCGAGTTCGGACAGCACGCTGCACGCAAGAGGCCAGAGGCGTTTTTAAATACCGACCATGTACGACTACTGGAGACATTGTCATTAAAACCATGACTCACAGCTTGGTTCCTGCAAAAATCTTGCGGGTATTCCGATTCTTGATGGAACTGTCCAGCAAGACCAACGTCATGCGCTCCTTGCCCGTAGATTTCGATGACTTGGTGAGCACCGATGGACCTATAGCGATGACGAGCGAATAGTGTTCACTGCGCTCAACATGAGGGGGGTTAAACGGATTAGTTGTTAGACAGTACACCCCGGCTCACAACAGAAACCACTCACAAGCACTTTATGCACGATACTCACGACTCGAGCACCGGGATCGCCAGATAATCGTGATCCAGAAGCGGCCGCCCGTTTCCCAGCGTTACCGGCGCTCCATAGTCATTCGTCTGTGTGTAAGCCTTGCAGTCCATAGCGGCCCATGTCTTCCCATCACGGAGCTTTGGCTTCCTGATGCTAAGCAGCCTGCCGAGTGCACGAAAAAGTTCATATCAGCACATCAGGGTCCGCGAGATCCGTAATAATCGTGCAACATGTCGCGTCAGGGGTGTGACTGTCGGAACGACACTTACACGTTGTGGAATTCGATCACACCATCAGTAATCCACTGATCGTCCTCTATGGACATGAGGTCGTCCTTATCCACTTCACATCCGACACCGCGGTGATTCATGAGCTTCATGTTGCTGTACGATGATTTCACATAATTCCGGGCGATAGTGGCCACCAAGTCGTCCGGCACCGGCTCTCGCGCCTTTTCCACCACATGATTCGCGAACTTCTGGGCCCTATTGTCGGCCTTGTTCGACGACCTGGATCTGGTGACGGGCGGGGCAGCATCTTGGTCATCGGAGCTGCTGCTAGTCTCCGGTTCATAGAACCGGTTGCGCTTAGAGACCAACTGCTTAGGTTTCGCCATCATGAACGAACACTGACAGGCATTCGGAAGACGAAGGAAGATCAATACGTGAGCACGGAGGGGATGACTGGGTGAGCACAGCAACTATGGGATCTCGCGACAATGGCACTATTCGGAAGGAAGGGGAGAGCAAGGCGTAACCCTTGCCTACAATGTCCAGCTGGTGCGAACGTCATGTATATACCCAATGGTCGACACCGTTGGCGCAACATCGCATGCGATGTCCAGGTGTGATGCGACAACTCGACTGGATGTGATGGTGAGGTGCCAAGCAGATCCACGTGTGAGAAGCCTAGGGTTTCGGTTGATGTGGTCCTCGGTGTGGGTGGTTTACCAAACCCGGTGCATGGAATACATTGTGGTTTCGCCATTTGAATACGATTTATTGCGGAATCCGAATGACGCGGAAACCGATAACGACGTACGCGGTAGGGGGCACATGTGGTCGTTGTGTCTCCAGCGTGCGCCAAGTCTTGATGATGATCTGGCAGAGTTGCCCGGGTTGATATAATCGTGTACTGGTGAACGCGGTTGTTCAATGGTTTGCTATATCTGTATATTGTTGTAATATGCGGGGCTTGTTTAAGTGAAATGTGATACATTCCACACAAATTCAGTGCAGACTTTGGGAGTTTGGGGTTGGCTCCCGACATGTTTCCAGTGTAAATGTAAATGGCTCTACGCCTTTATGTGTCAAAGAGTTATCAGTTGAAATGTACAATTTCATACCCCAAATTAACAGTTTAGTGTACTTTCATTAATTGTAACACAAGATCCGCTATTCTGTGCACACGGTCTACGGTTTCTTGCACATGTGTGTTCGAGAAGTTTGTCCTCGGAGTTGTATTAGAGTGTACCTGAGGTACTCAGCAGTGGTCCTACTGCTGGCCCAGCTAGGGTTTCTTGGCTCTAGGATGACGGGGAACAGTTGCATGGTGTGCGAGACGGTGTTTAAGGACGACAGCAGGTTACAGTCGCATGTCGCTAATGGGGCAATTTGTCGCGAGGAGTTGAAGAGGAAACGAGAGAGTCTTTTGTGGGCGGCATATTTGGAAGCCATTGCATGTGACGGAGAGAGTAGACCTAACACACCACCGGCATCCCGGGTTAAAAATAACGATGGCAGTTTTGTTTCTGCTGCTCCAACAGCTTCGATCCCCGAAGTTAGCCTTGTTGGAGACGCGGATACACGACCTGACGGCGAACATGCCGAGTCCTCTGAAGACAGCGAAAGGAAGGAGATCTTTGATACACTGACGGAGTTGTACCTATTCTTCCGTGATGCCGATCTTTCGCACAGGGAAGAGAACCGTCTGCTGCACATTTTCCGCAACCCGCGCTTCAACCTACGGGCACTCAGACGATGGCGCAACTGGGTGGACGTGCGACGCTGGGGCATGGTGCGAGCTCCAGCCGACATGGTCCCGTGGAAAACGGAGGAGATAGTGGTGCGGGGCCCCAAAGGAATGCAAATGAAGCTGCTTCTGCACTTCCGCGACACAGAGCTGGTTCGTAATGGGAGGCCAACGCAGCTAGCGATGTCGTAATGTAGTGTCGACCGTATGCATTTCCATGGAATACACGCGCTCACGCCTGATTCTAACGCGATGCCCGCAGATTTTGAAGAAGCTGGTGCGAACGTTCTCATCGAAGAAGGGGTTCGTTTGGAAACCAAGGAAGATTCATCGGAAGAAGAATAACGAGAGGGTTTTTGAAGGCCCTGAGACGGGTGATTGGATGCACTCTGCTCAGGTACGAGAATCGGTCAGCCTGTCCCTATTTCATGTGTGCAGCAGAACATGCTAGATGCATTCGAATAACCACATCTCACTATTCAGTGCGTTCTACATGGCAGAAGGAGATTAATGACGAAGAGGCACTCATTCTAGGCGTGCTGATATACAGTGATAGCACGCAGGCATCACGGAATGGACGGAGGAACGCGTGGCCGGTGTTCATTTCACTTATTAACATACCAGAGGAATTGCGTGGAGTGGAGCCTGGGCACACATTGGCGGCGGTGCTTCCATTCCCACCTGAGTGGGCATCGCCTACGGAGAAGACGCGCGTTTTCCAGGAGGCACTAAAGATCATCCTCGCGCCCATCATGCGAGAGTCTGCAAGGTACTTGGAGGGGAGGGGGGTGGGGAGGAGTACGCTACGATTGCAAGGGGCTGGGGGGCACCCCAGCAAGTAGGCAATGTGGGTTGAGTAATGTACATGTTCCATCGACTAACTGCATACCATGTGTGCATCACTACACTGTGCAGCGCTCCAGTTCGCTTCTTCTACTGCACAGATGCGGACGGGAAGGTGCACAAGGCGGTCCCTTGCCTGTACGGATACCCTGCCGACTTCCCGGAATCCAGCAGAGCATCTGCGACTCTTCAGCAAGGGTCACATCGGCCATGCGCTAACTGCTATGCAGACAAGGGGGAGTTGACCATGATGGTGGGGAAGGCCGATCCACGTACCCCAGAGAAGCAGAGGGACATTGTCCGCCAGATACTGGAGTGTAAGAAGAAAGGGGAGGCTGACGAACTGCGGAAGTTATGGTCAACCCATCCGATCGAGGTGTGTTAGCCGTTGGGTAGTTTGCTGGCTTGTAATACGCGGTGGACTCTTTAACAGCATTGTGTCTTCGGTTGGACCATGCAGTGTGTGCTTCACAGGTGGAATTTCGCAGACACAGAGTGGGGCAACGTGTACCTGGCATGCCTGGCAGACACACTGCATGTGCTGGACTCCGGTGTGCTGATCCACATGATGGACACCTACATCGAACCGCTTGGAAAGGTTGAGATGAGGCTGCTTGAACGGTGAGCTTGGTGTGGTTGGGTGTGCCAGCGGGACATGCTCTACCATGGGTGGGTTAGTTGGGTAGTAGCACAGCCTGTGTGCCACCAGATGACCACCTGGAACCATGTATGTGCGCAGCCGCAAGAAGGAGTTCAAGGGAATCACGCCTAGCGTTCTCCTCCGAATCCCAGGGGGCTCATCGTTCTTCAGTTCCGGCGCAAACTACGCGGCGTTCGAGCACAGGAGCATGATGCAGATAATGCCGATATTGGTGGCTGACGAGAGTGCGCTGAAGGGTGGAAAAGAGGGAGAGCTGCGTGCTTTGCAGGTCAAAGCGTTCAGGCTGTTTGCCGTGTTTTACAAGGCCTTTCTGGGGGTGGACAGGCACACTCACACAACAATTGCGATTGCCCGTCAGCATGCGATAGCGTGAGTACATATATGCATACTCCGGGTGTTTGGAGGGGGGAATGAGAGCGTATGCTAACTGTTTGTGCGGCCAATGTGGTGTAACACACGATGATGTATCGCGTGGTGTGTGTTATCGTGGACGCGTTGGCAGGTTGGTGGAGTTGCTACCGAGAGCATTTCGAACGCAGGCGTCCCACTGGAGACTCCCAAAGATACACATGATCAGGCATTTACTGGACAACGTTGTGCACCGTGGGATGCCGTACCACTATTCCACTGAAATGTGGGAGCGCACGCACAAGAGCACGGTTAAGGGTCCAGTAAGAGGGAGCAACTGGAGCGACATACCACGACGCATTGTGGAGGAGGAGGTGCAGCGAGAGGTGTACCGTGAGGTGGCGGCAGACGCGGGGGGTGGGCGACAGTACGCGTCCGCTTTGCGCGAGGTGCGTAAGGGTGCATGTGGTACCATGCTGGGCATTGAGAGTAGTCCTTTAGTGCGGTTTACCATGGACGAATCGTGCCTCAAACAGTGTGCGGTTTGCTGTGGGAATGCGAACGTGACGTGCAGGCAATCAAGACGAGGAAACCCGTGCTTACAAAGAGGTATCGGACCATGCGCATAGGCGGAGTGACGGATCCGGTGTACAATGAGTACATCGCCGCGCTGGGAGACGAGATGAAGGGGATGTCAGATGAGTTCAAGGCGTTGGGTCTGGCTACCAACAACGTGCAGGTGAGGTGATTATGTTGTAGCGGTTGGTAACGTATCCGGGTTTGACATGTTGGTTGTCACTGCACTCATGATGTTCTGTGATGTTGGATTGGGTACTCTGGTCTGACAGGTGCACACGGCGGTGGCCATTCCGCGCACAAGAGGAGGAGAGCTGGTGGCCAAAGGGACATTTGTGAAGGCTTCTCCTCGAGAGAGGTGGTATTCGGACGTGGCACTGCTGAACAACAAGAAGGGGGACTGGTATGCAAGATGTTTGTGCATCTTCAGGGCGATTGACGTTGATGGGGAGTGGAAGGGGTACGCATATGTGAGGTACTATGAGGGGGCGGGAACATGCAAACTTACAGGGTGCCAGCAGCTGCACAAGAAAGTGGAGAAGGTGAGGTACTCGGTGGTGGAGTTGAGGAGCCTGCAGAGAGTTGTGCACGTGTGCCCTTCGTACAGTAACAATAAGGTGCAATTAGTGAACAGGTTTTTACTATGTGAGTGACGATGAATGTTGGTTGGGTGGAACGGCAGTGCTGATCCACGCGTTGGCAAACATTACGTGATACGTTTTAGGTGTGTAGAAGGCAGGATTGATGGGTAGAGGATTGCAGTAGGTGTACGATATTGTGTTCGGAAGTGTTGGGTTTGTAGGTATGGAGTGTTGCCGTTGGTGAAATGCCATGGACACGGATGATAAAATGTGCACTCATGTCCATGTCAGTATTATGGCCATTTAAAGCATGAGTATGGCGCACAGATGTTCTATGCGAAGTGTAGATGTTGGTGTTTGAACAAAATGATAATGGTGGTAGTAGTTGGCATATCAGGTCCATAACGGGTACTGGTACTGTTGACGTTTGTGCGGTCGAGGTTGACGCAATTCAATGTGTGGTGGTGTGAACGACCGAGAACGGGCCGTTGGCTGGGCGGATATGGGTGACGCGTACGTGGCGTAGAGGGTGCAAAATGGCCTATCTGAACGTAACAGGTGGGCGTTTCACATGTGTGCGTTATCTTTGAGCGGCGCAGGGGTAGTGTTAGGTTGGTTGTGTGGCGCATGTCAACCACTGTACGTAGTGTGCGTACAGGAGCAACATGGGGGTACGTTCCGGTAGAGGGAAACATATATAGTACGGGGTCATCCGGCCTTCTATGCATACTTGCCAACCTGGGTGACAGAGTGCTACAATGGGTGACCTGAAGGGACTGCTGGCTACCGCGCACCCGGACGACGTGTTCTGCTTCCACGAGATTAATTTTCTTCCGAGCCGGCTTCCGAAGACATACATTCCGGATAAGCGCAATGGGGCGGAGCGGATTGTCAGCGTCGGCATTCTTTACAACGCGACGGGGAGTTGTTCCGCGGTGCCTCTGGTGGTTCTATCGCCGTACGATAGGCCCGAGCGCAGGCGGGGGAGGGCGGCATCGCGCCAGGTGGCCGTCCGGTATACGCACCGCGGCCGGTTGATGCCGGAGGTACGTAACAATGTATACTCAGTGTGCATAACGTTGGTTTGACGTGTGCAGCATATGTGTGCATACCGCTATTATGATGGAGTTGTGCTATCGGTGTCGGGTGTTCTGCACACAGGTGTTCACAGAGTTCGTGGAGACTGTCAATGGCGTGCACTTCAGCCGTGATCGCAACACCCTCATCCTAACCATACACGAGGCGCATCGCATCACCGGCGAGGTCGCGCGACCCGTCACGGAGCACGGCTTCAGCGTGCAGCACCTCACCAACACCCGAATCGTCAACATACGAGGGTCGGTTCCTGAAGGGGGCCTTCCGCACCTGCAGGGAGTGGAGGATGCGCTGAAGGGCCATTACCGCGTTATGCTGATGAATCGTGCGATAGCGGCGAAGCGGTTCTAGTTCGACTATTCGGCTTCCATCGCTGACGTGGATTATGGCCTCATGCTCGAGTGGCTGGGAGAATCGTGGACTCGTGTGCGCGCAGCAACCATGCAGAGGAGCTGGTGGCGCGCCGGATGCGTGCCCCCGAGCTGGCCGCCACTGATGGCGTACCTGAACGACACGTGCGCAACGGGCATGTTTGAGCCCCTCATTGCGACATGCGTCGAGCTGCAGTTGCTCATCGAGAAGTTCAAGATGAGGCCTGCGTGCTATATGACGGCGGCGGAGTTCGTCAACTGCGACGCGGGACTCTGCGTGGAGCAGGGGTTCAGAGCCACACCTGCTGCCAGCGCGTCGGATGACTCGTCGGGCGAGATGAGCCTGCCAGATGGCCCCTTGCTGCGTGACGAGCGCAGCAGGCGGCGCGTGATTCGCAACGTCACAAACGCGTACGTGGAGCGTGCCGATGAGCTCGGCATTCCCCCGGCCCTCGTGCCAGCAGAGGTCGGAGCATCTAACCAGGAGGTGATTTCCCGCCTCGGCAGGACGCCAGTCAAGCGTGCGCGCGCGGGGCTGCGCACTGAGGACGTGGCAGACCCAGCGGTGCACGAGAGTGAGGACGACGAGTGATGCAGTTGTTTGTTGTGGGGCTAAGTAGTGGGAGTTGTGTGTGTGCGGTACCGTACGACTAGTTGACGGGGTTGGGGTTGTCTGGTTGATGTAATAGTGGTTGTGTTGCGAGTAAAGTTTGAATGGAGTTGTCAAACCATGTTTGGCATTTGTGTGTAAGCGTCAACTTAGTTTGCGTTCAGATGTTATACAGTCATCGCGAAATTCCGAGTTTGCACAAAATGTACACGGTAGCTTTTCCTGCGGGAAACCTTCGGAAAAGCTTCGGAAAAGCTTCGGCGCGCACATTTACAGCTGAGTGGCCAAAGTGACATTGCAGCAACAACACTGAAGTGTCTCCAACGCTACTTTGCAGTTGCAATTGTGACTTCAATTTATCAAGTTCACCAGTGATCCCGTCCATATCCCACTTCCGTATCAAAACAACGTTATTACTCCATGTTTGGGGCCACACTTAGGGCCATCTTGTTATTCATGTCGCAATGCGTTCAAATCCATCAGTCGATGAGTGCAAACCTATTGAGTAGCCTGACTCTAGGATTAGTAAAGGACTTGCACACGTGGACAATGCGCTCGATCGATGCAACTTCAATGATCCCGTGCGTGGCCTCCTTCCGCCCCGGCACCAGTTGGGGGCAAAGTGTCTGGGGACACACCCCCATTTCCTCGTAATACTTCACGAATACATATGCACCTTCCTCCCCGCTGTAGTTCACCGCCCTGAAAATACAGAGACACCGCGCATACCACCACTCCTCCTCCTCCTCCTCCTCCTCCCTCTCTCCCGGTATTGCAATGTCGGTGAACCAGTTCTCCTTCGGGCTTGCTTTCACGAACATCGCCTTCGGAACCAAGTACCCCCCTTTCGTGCTAGGGATGGCCACTGCGGTGTGCACCTGCCGGGTATGGGTGGGTTTGCATGAGTACCAACACATTGTACGATGACGCCTCTTCATGTACGTGTCCAACACACAACGGCCCAACCTCTTTACAACCGAAGCCAACAGCTTGATTACCGAGTTACTAACATGACACTGCATCTCACCAACACACGTGAAGTCTGAAGGCCTTCCGCGGCCATGAGTGTCGCCATGTTGTCAAACTCGCTGCCGACCGTCTCCCTGTACAGCATCCGCAGTGGATCGTCTGCCGTCATGAGACACATGGCCTTGCTGGTGCGGGTCAGCGCGGGCTTCATGCTGCGCACAGCCTGAGGGGTGGGTTGTGAGCACGCATGGGATGAACCGGTGGAGTCATTAAACCCTAAACACCTCGCATACCTGCGTGCCTTTAACAAATGCCACCAACACTACACGGCGACGCGTTGTGTACCTCTCGCAGGGCGGTGTAGTAAGTTCTCCCTCCTCCTGACAGCGCTGCAATCTCCCGAGTGATCTCGCGTTGCGTCTCCTCCTCGACAATCCTCCTTGGTATGTCTTTCCAGTTGCTTCCGCGCACGGGGCCCTTCACGGTGCCCTTGTGGGTATGCTCCCACAGCTCCGTGGAATACTCGTGCAGCAAACCCCTCATGGATATGCCGTTGATAAGGTGTACAACTTCGTGGAGCTTCACGAAGTTCCACTTCGACTTCTGCCTCGGGAAAGCCGCCTGCAGTGCAGCCACCAGTCTACACGGAGTTGTATGCACATTGTAATGCGAACATTGAAAGAATCACCACAGTGTACAACATGGCCTATGGTAGCAACGAAACACGTGGCCATCATGTTCACTCACGAGATGCCATGCTGCCTCGCGATGGCGATTGTGAGCCGCGTGTGCTTTGTCACAGCCAGCAGGGACTTGTAGAAGACCGCATAGTAGCGGAAGGCACGAACCTCCTTATCCCTCTGGTCCCTTTCCTCCGCAGAGCGCCCCACACACAGGTTGGAAATGACAATAGGGAAAACCTGCATCATGCCACGATACTCGAACGCCGCGTAATTTGCCCCGCTGCGGAAAAAGGTGGAGCCACCCGGGATGCGCACCAAGACACTCCTTGTCTCGCCCTTCACGCCAAACTTGCGGCTGTTCCACGCACCAATCACACACAAGCAACGAGATTGGATTGTTCCCGTGGTGAGCTCCGCCACGTACGCACTACCGCATACAAAACAGTTCACGGAATCTCTGTGTACTCACTGATCAAACCCCCGAATCTCGGCCTTCGTCTTCCCCTCCATGAAACAGGTGGCCATATGCACCAGCACCCCGGAATCCAGCACATGCAATATGTCGCCAACAACCGCCAGGAAGACGTTACCCCACTTCGTCTCAGAGAAGTTCCAGCGCTCCAGGACGCTCTGCACGTTGGATGGTGCTGTCAGACTCATCATAAAAAGCAACATCAAGCCGCTACAATCATGGCCGCGGCCATGTGACTTGCCACACACAAACATCGAATGCGCACCGTGATCGGATGCGTAGACCACCTGGCCTGGATCGCTGCAGCGCCTTCCACCGTCGTAGCGCTCAGTATCTTCGCCGCCGCGTGCCGCTCTCCCTTCACAGTGCGCACTATTGACTGGTTTGACAGGTCATGTAGGTGCGCCTTCTTGATGTAGCAGCTCGAGCACGGTCTGTGCGACGCCTGCTGCATCGTTGCTGTGGCCCGGCACCCTTCCGGATAGTCGCCAACAAATGCATAGAGGCATGGATATGCCTTGACCACACCTCCCCGGCCGTCTGACACATCGAAGACTCGAAGAGGACCACTGCATGCACCACGTACATGTTTGATGGGTCTCAGAAACCGACAATGACCCCGTTTGCCTCCAACGGCCTAGAGCATGCATTCGGACCACTTACTCGCGGCTCTCACGCATGAGCGGACCCATCACGATGCGATACGCCTCCTGATACACCCGCGTCTTCTCCGTCGCCGATGCCCACTCCGGCGGAAAAGGGAGCACACCCACTAGCGCGTGCCCAGGCTCACGCCACCGTAACTCCTCCGGGACATTGACCAAACCCATCAACATTGGCCATGCCTGTAGGCGTCCGTTCCCCGACGCGTAAGTGCTGTCGCTGTACGAGATGACACCCAGCACCATAGAATCCTCCTCCGGCAGTTCCGCCTGACAACGACACAAGGCGACCAAAAGAGTCAGACCAACTCACATCAGAGCCCCATGTGACGCTTGGGAACATTTGCTTCTACTTGCCTGCGCCTCTTCCAGCCAAGTCCCTGTGTCGGGGGTACTGAAATGTCTTGTGTCTGCCGTATCTTCCGGATCTCGCCGCGGCCGTTTGACAAATCCCCTCACATTCACGAATGTCTTCACCATCTTCTGCGCAATCTGTCCACAAGGAGGCGCGGGAAGCCTGTGTATAGACGGTGCATAAACAGACATACACTCGCCGACTCCGTGCAGCACCAACCATCAATCGCTCACCAGCTTGGTGTCCTTGTACAGCAGTTCCAGCATCTGAGACCTTCCTCCGGGGCCCCGCACCTCAATCTCTGCCTTGAGCCACGGCACCATGTCGTCCGGCGCGTGTTCCTCCCCAAACCGCCTCACGTCGGCGACGTTCTGCCAGCGCCGAACCGCTGCAGGATCGTATCCCGGGTGGTTGAATATGTGCAACACTCTATTTATTTCTCTGTCCGACAAATCAGCGTCCTTGAAGAACAGGTACAGCTCGTTCAGGGTGTTGAACAGGTCGCCAACTGTGGATACAGATCCATCGTCCGACGTCGACACGTACCCGCGCACAAAATCCGCGTGCTCGGGAAACTCTCTCAAATATCTGAACAGCGAGTCGGCGGAGTGGGGGCTGCCCGGGACTGACTCACTGTCCGAAGGATGCGGGCTATTTCTCACCTCGGCCAAAGCCTCCGCCAACGCCTCCACCGCCCTACTCTCGAGCCTCTCGAGCAGCGTGTCCCTGCACGTGTCATTGCGATACAGATGGATTCTCAGTAGGTTGTCTGACTCCAGCTCCTGCCCGCACGCCCCGCACCTGTTCCCTGCCATGTGTCTTAATCTGCGCACACACCCAATGGCCGTTCCCTGACTTCCCCTCTAATTCCCGTTAGCTAACCATTACCGTCATGCATGTTCTCCACTACACGCAGTACCACCTATGCTGTTTTTGAGCCGCGCACGCCCTGCATCCTACCACCGAAACTCCGTACACCACGTCTCGCGCACCGCAGACCGTTCTATTACTCCAGTTACTAATACTGCATGTTCGGAACATGGGTCCTCCGCCTACGTCACCCCATTATCACAGCTGCTATAATGGCTCGTCAAATACATCGTGCACGCACAAAAGGGCGGAGAGTCCGGGCGGGCGGCCTTATCCGTAACGAGAAACCCTAACCGGCTGAAATGCATGCGGTAAGAAATCCCTTCGTGAAGTATGCACTTGCTTTGTTCAGGCGCGGTGGTTACACCACGACGTGGGAATATACTCGATACAGCAAAACATAGAAGATCAATGTTCAAACACCGTCTGTCATTTCCGATGGACTATCTCCCATCCTTGCCAGACATAAACGGTGAATTATTACAACAATTGTCCACACCCCTACGAAACCTATGCCAATGCATTTTTCCACATGTGTCACACAAAACCACAATGGCATACTTAAAATCTAATACATAAGCGGGTTCAGGGCAACTACATGCACTCCAAGTACGGCATGCTTTACATTCCGGCCATATGGGGGTAAACTTATCAGTAATAGCTGCCACGGTGGTCACGCCGACTACGACGTCGCCGCATGAGACGACCAAGTACATCTAACAGGAGCAACGCTCCATCAATATTGGTGGTCCTGGTACCATCTGCCATAAGGGCACAAAGACAAGTCGTGAGGCAATGTGAAGCATCGGCCACGGCAAATAACAGGACGGCCCTTACCTCCGGGGTCCTCGACGTGCGTACGCCTCCGCCTCTCGCGGCGCCGCCCATACTCGTGTGTACGTTCATCCGGACATCCTATGGGACATGTGCGCAACGCAGCGCAGCGCGAGGTAAATAACGTGCAACATGGCTCCCACAAGTGGCAGCACGCAGTCAAGCAATTCATGTTGTTTGGTACTCACCTGTCTGTGACCGGACGTGCCTCGTAGGAGTAGCGGCGCTAGACACGCAAGTACCCGGGGCCCTGTACGCCGAGCTAGACCTGGACGGGTTTGGAGGGTCTGACTCTCCCGTCTCAACGGGCACATTATTCGCGTCGCCCCTGTTGCCAGGGAAGAAGAAGTCGAAGAGATCATTCACGCGGGTAGAACCTTCACGTGAATCGGCCGGTGGATCTTCGCGCTCCGCACCCGCGGCTATTTCCTCCATCTGCATCCTCTCCCAGCTACTAGGTACCGAGTGTGCAGCATCTACATTCCCCCCTGCTGATATCGTGGGCTGTTCGTGGTTCACAGGTCCCGTAATTGACTACGTAGCCCCCGCGACTCCATCCTCCGTTTCGTCATCAGATGAGTCTACCACCGGCTGTCGGCCATTACCGGTGTGTGGCTCAGGTGTAACAGTCACAATGACGGTTTTATCTCGACTGATGTCGGCACCCGCGTTTATATCACCACACGCTGGCGGTCCCTGCATACGCGTGCCATCTCAATCAAAGCTACCACCCAGTAGCTTGTTTATGTGACGCGCCACTACCTCTGTGTCGTTGCTGCTAGGGGAGGCCATACCGGGAATAAGGTTAGGGTTTGAACGAATAGCCACACAGTGCTAAATGACTCCTTGTATCTGCCTCCCAATTGTTCGAAGCCACTTCGGAAGCCATTTCCGTCCGCGATATCGCCGCCAAAATCTCGCCGTTTGACGTTGTACACCCGATTGATTTACGGTGTGTGTTACACGACATGTACAAAGAAGCTCGATAGTGTGAACGGCCCTGAAAACTTTTAAGGTTTGATGTTTACACGATACATCAAATCTCAAACTGGCTACATCTGCAAGTATTTCAATGTTTCGACGGCACAGTCTAATCCCGTTCCGTAACAACCTATGCCCACGCGCCGATAAGTCAAAAGGCCCTGTCTACCGGTTGGCGTTATACTTTACTAGGCGAACGTAGGCACAATCAATAGTCTTGGATGAGGTGCCCGTCATGGACTCTTCTTGCATGGGCTTAGTAGATACCTTGGACCACCAAGGTATCATCCCCAGAGCACGACTGAGATCCCCGATGCGCACTCCTTCGTCCATGTCCTTCCACTCCTTGGGCCTGTGCACCTGAAACATGCTTCATCTGGGTTTAGCGTAGGATATGCAGGCACCACAACACACACCGTCCTTTGTAAGGGCATCAACGGAACAACATATACGGCTTACAATGGATGAGGTGCCACCTCCCGTGCATATGTCTCTTGAGTGAGGTGCCGAAATCCTGGACCCATCGGACCGATGTCTCTCCTCCTGCACAACAGATAAACATCCCACACCTTTCAATGGCCATCGGAAACACACCCAGTCGGCACGCCAACGATCCTCACCTCATATCCCATCGCCCTTGCCTCGGCCATTAGAACGACTCTGTAGTCAAATGTCGGTAACTCCGGCAGTATGACATCCTCGAGGCTTGTTGCGCTGTGATTTAGGAGTCTGTAATCCGCTATTGACGTCATAAACCGTCGACCTTTGGCACGTGTAATGCTCGACCCCGGCTCGTCCGGATACGTGGCGTATATGAGCCTCAGGTACATGAACGGTGTGGGTGCATCGGGTGTTATTGCAAGAGACGCACGGGCTTCTGAAATCGCGCGCGCCCTGTGCTGTCTAGGACTGCGCCTTCCACTACCCAGGAATGGGTCCAGAGACATCAGAATCGTGGCCGCGCTAAGGGTCTCACCTCGTTGTGACATTATGGCACCCTGCACCTGCATTATGGCGTAGGCTATAGTGGGCTTAGACCGTATGAAATAACCCCGGGTGTTGCGCCGACGAGGCTCCAGCACGTCGCGCGCTTTACAACGCGTTGCACTCATCATGCCACTACCAACTAAAATCAGTAACATTAGGCGGACGTTAGGGTTTTGTAAGTGTCCGTCCTACGGGAATCGAGGAACGGGCTGCTGGGACGATTGGAAGCGGTGTGGAGTGGTTTGTGGAGTGTTGGCACGCTTTCATGGTCAACTGGGTGTACCGAGCACAAACTGCAAAATTAGTTCGCGCTTTCTTCAGATTGTGCCGTATCGGGAAGGTGAACATCATACTCGCTCTCGGATTGAGCGTGGAAATCCCTATATCCCCAACGTGAACAATCTCGTTACGTACACAATGATTGACGATGTGCGTATTATTCGACAAATACAACGGTTATTGAGATCAATACAACCATCAGTTACTACATCCCATACTCAATATCCCCATGCACGCTAGACAGGGATGCCGTTGGGGAGTTGAAGCATATCTCCTCGCTGGCCGTGGAAGACATGGACGAGGAAGGCGCGTATGAATGCCTCCTAACCTTCTTCTCTGGTGTGCGCAGCAGTCGGTCAACGAGGTCCGGGTTCCCCAAGCGCTTAAGCGTGACGACGACACTCGGAGCTACTCCCGTCGCGCTAGCAAGCCTTGTGTACGCATCAGATGCCATACGCATGAACCGGCGGCGAGTCCTGTCGTCCCATTTGACGCGGCCGACACTGCTTGAATCATCAATCCGACGGATGACCGGCTCAGGAACACGTTCGGCCGTATCCTCGTCCATGGTGTCATCCCAAGTTGCGTAGTCCAATGCTTCCATCACGCAGTCGGGGATGTCCAACTGGTCCAGCCTCCTCTGCAGGCCCGTGAGGCTAGCGACGAGCTGCTCCACAACCTCGACATGCAGGTCGCGGTTGATCGCGTGAAGCCGAGGCAGCCACTCGTCCGGGACGCACCCAGTGCGCCAAAACGCGAGCTGAATGTGAGATGTCGCCACCCCCCACAGTGCCTGGTATGTCCACTGCAACGTGTTCGCGGCCGATGGAGAGTTGCTGGTCCACACCCAAGCTGGAGGCACGCGCCTCATGAAGCGAGTCTGGTGGTCCACCCACATTGTGCGGAATTCGGACCTGAAGAACGTGACAATGCCCTGCACGACGGGGTTCCCCACGTCTGGTACAGTATCATGAAGCTGCACAATGCGAGTATGGGTTAGGTGGTGCACCATGAAGGGCCCACTCGGCTCTCGCTTGCCCTCTCCCCAAGTGAGCTTGTGCCTACGCGAGGACACAAGGACGACGATGTCACGGTCCTCTGCAAATTTCGCAGCGTTGAGGCCTAGCATGAACTGCGTGAAAAGCTGCACATAACAACATAGAGTATCACAGAGACATATATTGAGCACCAACGTCTTGAGTCCATATATAGGAGACATTTTTGCGTGTCATCTCTAGTACATTTCGCCATTACCTGGGGGGTTATGCGGCCGGACCGAGTACGGCGGATATATGCCCACTGGTCGCCGCTGACATCGTGGCCCAGCCTCAGTGGCTCCCGATCGGTGCTCACTACAATGGGCCTGAAGCGATGCGCGCCGTCTGCGGAATAGAGAAGGCCGATAGACAGCCTCTTCATATCATTCCCATTGCGCCCGACGAACGGATGCAGGTATGGCTGCAGAGCAGGAAGGAGAGAAACCTCTACAAATATGTAGACGTCGCTGGGAGGAGCGCCAAGGCGCGACAAGAGATCCTTTAGAGCGGCCATGGAAGTAAAGTGGCGTCTGCTACAAATGGCGGCATATGATATAGCCGGTAGGTTTGGCGGGTACAGCGTCCAATGTAGCTGCTAATGGACAATGAGTGAGTCTAGCTTCTGAAAAGCATCGGCGCCAGCTGGCCACTCCCTCTTTGCCCTGACAGGCGTGGATTGGCCACAGAAGCTACTGATTGCGCAATGACGTGGGTACACCTCATAGGCTACCACAGTTGTGCACGCTTGAAACTACATGTTTGTGCCCTGAAAGCTAATCTGTTAGTGACCTTTCCGTACCCTGTATAGTATATGCCCGGGTCAGTTGGGGTTCCGAGATATTGTGCGCATGAATGCGTACGTCGGTACACTGTTACATTGGCTGGTATAGTTCTACTATTTAGGAACTTTCACGCCGCATCGCCCTAAACATCAATCTACATCATTTATTTTGGATGCTCCACTCATCGTCGGTACGTTCAGTGTTCGACAATAATTCAATGGTGTAACTGAAACGAAGTCGAAATAAATCCATCCGCGTCTAGGTGAGTGGCCGAAATGTTACATCGCTGTTAATCGCATTTGGTTATGTTCATAACGGGACATATGTCGTCCCGATAAGGGCTGCACAATTGAGTGTATAAAGGTTCCGCATAGTCTCGACTGTGCATGCTGACGAGGGTACAGTAATCTCGGCTCAATTGCACTGTGACAAGTGTCAAATATGGCTGGAACCCGCTGCCAATCACGAACCGCCATGGTGGTATCCACATTCTAGAATCGCGCTCTGACCCTGGGTCTCCGTCGTCTGAGCAAATCCGATATTTGTACCCGAAGGTGCCTGGTGGAGTGTATAAACGCTTCAATCGCACTACAGCCCGACAGTTAAGTTCTTGCCACACTAGGGTTTTGGCCTCTCTCACGAACTCGTAGTAGCCATGGTACCGCGAACCAAAGCCCAGGCCTCTAAACGCGGCCTCCATAGTCCACAAGCCATGACATCGCGTAGGCCACCGGCAGCGGCGCGGTGGGATAACACCACGATCCCGGAATCGCTGAGCAACAAGCGGCTGCGCTCGCGTGAACTCCAGCAGGGGGATACGAATACGGAAGCCGCAGTGGCCGCGTCGGTTTCCGCATGGGGCTCGCGGCTGCCATGCGTCAAAGATGAGCCCACGCCGAATGACGCGCTGACTGCTCTACTGAACGCACCATCTTCAACGACTTTTAAGACGGTGTCTCTGTATAACCACATGGGTGTGGGTTGTCAAGTGAATGCGCACGACGCCTTGACGCTCGCCGACAAGAAATATCTGGGGGACGCGGTCGTCGATTTCCATAACATGTACGTTTTTGGATGGCGATACTCCTACAGGTTGCTTTGTCGCCACCCTACGGTATGCCGACTTTAACGTTTAAACTTTCATCGTGCGTGGTCCCTTCGCACCCGTGCAGCCTCCTGAACATCAGGTACCCAAGGTGTCCGAACGGGAAATCATGGGTGGTCCTTGACAGCAAGGCGTATGCGTATGCCAAGATTCACGGGAAGCCGATTGGGAGGTGCACGGGCCCGTCTGTGTTCGAGTACGATTACATCGCCGTCCCGGTATTTGCCGGGTAAGTACGTCTTTTGCCCGCCGCTGTTATAAGCCCGTCTGTCGCCCTAGCCTAACAAAGACCTCTCAATTGTGCAGGGAACACTATTCTTTGATGGTGGTAACAAACCCGAGCGGGATTGTAAGCCAGACGGCCGCACCTGTGGAGTTCATTCTATTCGACAGTGACGGCCTCCACGCCAAGACTACTGATGCCTTTGACGGGACTAAAGCGTGAGAGTCGCTATATACCACCGTGCAACCCCCTTTCAGCGGTGATGTCCTGCGACCTCATCTGACCTGTTGGCTATATCGTCGTGCAGGTTATTGCACCTCATGTGCAAACGCGATCATCCGGAGGTGGACCAGGAGGCGTCTAGGCAAGCGCTCATCAAGGCCGAAACGATAATCATGGAGGTGAGATGCTGCAAAGACAGTATGGCTCATTCTATCCCACTTGCTTGCTAATACGGGAGCGCGTTCTGATGAACGGAAACATCGTGTCTCGATGGTGCGCAGGGTCACCAGATCCCCAAACAACCTAACAGCTGGGACTGCGGAGTGTACATGTGCCAGTATCTCGGAGCTCTGGTGACATCTGGGTTCATAACCGTGAGAGAGTACATATCGTTCAAGGGCGTGAGCGCTGAGAGGTACCGCCACAAGATGCGTGGGGATCTTTGTTCTCATGCCGAGGGAACGCTGATTCCCGAGCTGCAACGCCAGGGTCTCCGCATACCTCTGCAGCCTGTTCCCGTTATCGACGACAACGGATACATATGCGTCGACCCTCCTGTGGACATCCGAAGAGAGCTGCTAGACCACAAGGAGAAGTTCGCTGTGATTGAGCACGACATACAGGTTCTGACGGCCAAGATCGAGTATCTGGCCATCCGCAAAGGCGTGACGTCGGACGAGCTGGACGCAGGGGCGCGCCAACACCTGGGTGCCGTGGTCGACACGCTGGTGCCGACGGCGACTCCACGCAAGCACGCCAAAGCAGAACCTACCGCGGACGGAAGTGGCCAGAAGGAGGTCGCGCAGACTCCTCCGACGCGTGCACTGGCGGCAGTGCCATCAATCTCTCCCTGTCCTGCACCTCACACACCTGCCGTGAAAGATAGCCAAGTTACTGCCGGCGACGCGACACCTGCTGTGGTCAGGCAACAACAGCGCGACCATCTTGCAGTGGCTTTGCGCAGCCGCGCTAAGACTCCCGTGCCCGCAGCTCCAGGTAACCCCGGAAGGGTCGCAAGCAGCGGCCGAACGGGAGTTATGTGGAACGCAGCGAAGCAGAGGTACTACGTCCGGATCATATCTGCTCGCCGTCAGCAGGTTCGTCTGGGGTCGTACGAGGACAAGGACGAGGCGTCATACGCGTATGCTGCGGGAGCCGTTGTACTTCGCCCGAACTCACGCATCGGCTGCACGGTGGAGCTGTCCGACGGTGACAGGCAGGCTTTAGCCGGCTGCACCGAGGAGATCCTAAGGCTACTCGTGAAGTACAGGCGCTGGAACAGATGGAGGGAGTGGAGAGCCGCAATGGCTGGCCTGGACGATGCGCAGCCGGTCGAGACCCGTTCGCGGCGAAAGGGCAGAGTGTCCCGGGCCATTAGTGACGTTGAGGAGGTGGAGGCGACCACGCAGACTACAGAGGACCAGCCTATGGCTGAAGAGCCAGAGGACCCACCAGAGGACTACACGGATGACGATGAGTCCGTTGACGATGATGCTGTGTATGAACCAGGAAACGATGATTTCGACGAAGAAGATGACTGGGAGGAGGTCAACCGTGCAGAGGGTGTTGCCTGAAGCCATGAACATGGTGGCCATTGGACCACGGGATGTTCTAGTTCTGTGCTCATACTGATAGGACTTAGAGCTGGTGGCGGGTAGGTGGATCTGGAAATGTAAGCATCGCATGTATCACGGTATTAAACTGTCTATATCGAGGAGATGTAAATATACGACAAATAACACTTAAACTTTGCACATGTAGAAACTGTAACCACAGTTGGGGCTAGTAGCAAATGCTGAAATAAGGGGGTGTATAAGTGGAGTATCGCATCTGACAGAAACGAGGACGAGCATCGACGATGTGACAATCGTGGCACGGCGACATTTTACATGTGGAAAGTGTGGCTGACATTTGTCTGTAATCAAACTGGCCACTCTAACCGTGACATGTGTAGAATTGTGCGCGTGGCCAAGAGCGTGAGGCAACTAGTGCGGTGAGAAACTCCGGTATCGAGCATTGCGATATCCACGAGAGTGGTAAGGGGACTGTTGCGAGCGAGGGTAGAACCCCGGGGTGGTTTAGAGCTACGCCATTTCGACCCCGCTGTGTATGCGGTCTGAGATGCTGTCTCCGCTAGAGGTCGATATGACTCCCACCGACGGCGGTCGTTCCAAGCGGGCGAAGACTGCGCCGTCATGGTTAGCTGATTCATATGAATACGGGGAGCGGAAGAAGAAAGGACGACGCCTACCGGAACCCAAGAGGCGTAAAACAGGCACAGAAAAATGTGGCGCGGAGGATAAGAACGCGGGGCATGACGAAGGTAACATTTGTGACGTGACAAGTACGTTGCATTTCATGTACCAGTGCTAATGCATGACTGTGGTGAGATATGCCGTATGCGCACGCAAACTTAACACCCTTCTACCTGCCACGCACCTGGTCACAGAGACTCGAGAAGTGCCGCTGCAGATATGCAGCGCCAAGGCTGTCGGGGCCGTCGACGCGGAGGCAGCCTGCACGCCCATTGTCGCCAGCGCACCACAAGGGGAGGAGGACACGGAGGCCGTGAAGGAACGCCTGATAGACGAGTTAATGGAAGGCGAAGATGAGGACGACGAGGAGGGAAACGGTGGTGGTCAGTCGTCAAGCAACGATCCGTGTGGCGAGAACGGATCAGAGGAGGAGCAGGCCACAAAAGCGCCACATTCGAGGAAGCGGATAGAAGCAGCAGATGGCCAAGTCACACGCGAGGAATTTGATGCATTGCGTGATTCCCAGAATGATACCGCGAAGACACTGGCTCGTCTGGAGTCACACGTACTGACCATCATCCGCCTTGGCGAAGGGCGTAAGCGCAAGCGGGCGTCCACAAGTGCCGCAGCCTCGCTCGGCCGGGAAGCTTCGAAGCGGAAACGCCAGTCAGATGATGACGAAGAATCCACGTGCGATGAGGACGAGTTGCCGGCGAAAGTGGCACGGCACGCGCGTCACGACAAGTCGCCAGTGCTCCAAACCGCCCTTGACATCCTTCCAGCGGAGAAGGCTTGGAAGGTGAGGCCTCGCATAGTGTGTTCTGCTCACCTCGTGGCACAGTTGTTGGATGCACTACATATCTCGTCACCGTGTTCCCCCCCCGCACAACTATTTTCATTGTCGCAGGGTGTTTGCGACATGGTTAAGGATCATCTGTTTCTAGAAGCCCCGAACGAGAAGATGGACTTCTATCCGAGTCGCGACGCCAAAAACGCCGGCCTATGCCATGTCGTGTCCACCATTTCTCCCAAAACTGCGACTCTGGCGTTAGACGCGGATAAGGCTCGACGGCAGGATCTGAACAAGACCTTGTCCGAGTACAAAACAGGGTTGGCCGGTCGCGCTCGCGGAGTTTTTCTTCCACGAATTGGTCTTTCCGTGACGACGAGGACAGGGCCAGTCCTTGGGCACGTAAGACGGAGCGCACTGGGGAGCGTGCCCGAAAGAGATATTGCGTCCCCGTCCCAGACGATGGTGCGTGTTCGCATGTCATATGGCCGGAGCAATTATGGCCGCAACTCCTGTGTCGTGCCATAGTGGACCAGACATGTCTTTGAACCCTCCCCTTTTTCCGTACGCGGTATCGTTGTACCCATTTTGCATTCCACGTGCGCAGGGGACCCGACCTTGTGCAAGTGGCACATCAGCAAGGATGGACTGCCATTTGCATCCGGAGCGTTCGCGGCATGTGCCATCGCGGCTTTCGGAGGGAAGCGGAAGGACAAAGAAACAACTATAAAGCTGTACCACCTGTCGTGACTCGAGCACCTTGTACGTTTACACCGATGCGAACATATGTTGTAGCCACTTTCGTTCAACTAGCCGTTCTAAATGGGCTTCTCCTGCCTTCGCAGATCACGGACGCGATTATCAACTGGGAGAAGCGCAAGGGGAAACTGCACAACTCTCCGTGCGAGAACGGCGCTTCTGTGCGGAGGATTCAAAAGCTGGCCTTCGATGCCATTGCGGATGCAGTATGCCGGAATGAAGTGCCCTACGACGAGGAGAAGAAGTCCTGGAAGTGGGGCAGGCATGGGCTCCGTCTATCATCTTGCGGCCTGGAATGCCTCCTGGAAGATGAAGCAGCCTCCGAAGACGAAGAACATGAGTCCTCCGCGTCGGGAGCATCGGATAGTGAAACAGATGGGTGAAGTGCTGATAGTGTGTTTAATCCACTTGTGTGTCGTAGACTAGTGTAGTGGTTTAGTGGGGACAGGTTGTGGTTGTTGTTGGTTCAGTGCATATGTGCAATAAATCGGTGACATATATGTTGGATCTTGCACACCTAGGGGAGACCTTGCGCATGTTGGACACGAGGATGGTTGAAACGCAACTCTCTGCATTCCGCGCAGTACGGCGACAATTGCGGCGCTAATCGCGGCGACATATGCGACGGGTTAAATAGGAGCCGTTAGATGCCACGCTAGTCTAGCGACGTGGATAGAGGGCAACCGTACAATCCGTCGAACCGCTCATCAATGAAACGGGCCTTTTTTTAGACCGACGACGGTGTCCAATGGCTATTTGCCACGTGTGTGATGGAGATGGTCACAGATGTGTTATCGTGAGATCCGCGACAATTACGTGTGTACGTGCGATTGGTATCAGTAGTCCTAGTTGGAAAACCCTATCACCGAACGGACGGCGTGTGTAGGTACAGGTGGATTCCACTACAAATCGAGGGATGACATTTGTATCGGACGGACGGTAGAGATGAGGCGTATGCGTGTGAGATCTGGAGTTTGTCGGCGTATCCGGAGCGGCCATGTGCCGTGCTGCGGTTGGCAGAGCGGAGTTGCCACGCGACAATCGTGTGCGTACAACTGTGGCCATCTCGACCGTACATGCGGCACGATACGATTCGTTATGGTTGGGCATCCACCTGTCATAAAGCGTGATTACACGTGTAGATATTATGCTGACGTGGAATAGTGACTTCATGTATGCTAATCGGCAGCTATGTGGCAACGCACAGATGTAACCGTGGAGTGTCCGCATGGTGACGCAAATGTCACTGACAGGTACATGACGTAGAAGCGACCCCCATGACGCTGTGCGTGTTGCGGCCATGTTGCGGGAAACGTTGCTAAAAAGCTGCGGGAAAGTTGCGGGAAAGTTGCGGGAAAACCACTTTCCCTGTAACCCTGACCCAGAAGCCTTTGACCTAGACTTTTTTTTTTGCGAAACCAAAGTTGCGGAAAAGCAACTTTGAAGCTGCGGGGAAGCAACTATTTCGGCTTTGGTCTTTCGCGATGGTGACAGAATGGACGAACCGCACTTACCATAACGCGGACATTGGTTCGAGAAATTCGAGAGGGCGAATGCGACTCGGGGAGTAGGTGTGCGATTCGGGTTTTCGTTAGCTTTGCGGTATTGTTACTGCATAGTCAGTATTTTGCAGATGATGCACGCGCGCGTTCTTGGTGTGCGGAATGTTGCGATTTGAGTGCGTTGTTTTCACGCAGCTTTCCGCAACATTCTCGCAAGGCCGACGCAGAAAAACCTTCGAGGGCCAAAAAACGCAGCTTTCCTTTTTCGCGATGCAGGAGCACCCATGCCATCATCCATATCTCCCATGCCTGCTTCTGATCCAGGAGCGAACGGCATAAATCCGCCCATTGCCCCTCCAACTCCTCCGCCACCTATTTCGCCGCCGCCCATCCTGATTCCGCCGCCTCCTTTTCCTCCGTCGCCCATTCCGCCACCACCCATTCCGCCACCGCCCTTTCCGCCACCGCCTCCCACCCCTCCGCCTGCGCCCCCAGTGCCACCCTTCACGTTTCCGCCATTTCCGCCGCCATGTCTGTGCTTCTTACAGGTCGAACGTCCGCAGTGCAACCATCCGCGCAAGTTTCCGCCCATCTTGTCCACGCGGAGTCCCGCGGAGAAGCGAAGGGCCAACGTGGCGTGGAGAGACGAAAGCAGGACAAATGAGAGGAGGAGAAGCGCCGCGCTCAGGTTACGGCGACGGAACCTGTTCTGCGGGAGCGGAAATGAGTGTGCCATAGCTTTGTTTCCGCTAGCGTGATGGGAAAAATACCTTCTTAGCTATGAAAGGAGAGTCCAGATGTCGAGCGTTGGCTACTAGCCTGAAAGTGCTCTCAACAGTCTACTTTTGTGTGTTGAAATTGGAATGAGTTGGTGGGGCCGGCTGCACCGGTTTGTAGTGCCCTGCTCGCGTCGCCAATTTAGCGCGTCGCACATTGCGAAGGTGCTCGAATTTCGAAATTTCTCGGCAGTCAAGAGGAGTGTCTGACCAAGAAGCTGCAGCCACATGGACAACCGAACTGCCGTGTCAACGATAAGAAGAAACGAGTCAACCGTACTCTCGTCTCGGTGACGGGAAGATTTCAGCAGCTGGCGTTTCACGCCGTCATCCCGTACTGCCGGATGAAACGAAATGAGGGCGCATTCCCGGCCTCGGGTCTTCCGGGCGTTTGGGACTTCCTAAATTGTGGGATCCAATCCCAAAATTCAAAGCTCGAAACGCGGACTTTCCGATTGGATCCCACAATTTCGGAAGACCCGAACACCGGAAGACCCGAGGCCGGGAATGCGCCTTGAGAAGGAAATAAAATCTTCGACACATGCTGCCCTGGTTTGCGGTAGATCAATTGACACTCAACACTCCACATTATAATTAAACTAATCATTCATACACACACCATTAGCAGCTTCTAGCAGATGGCACTGATACACGTATGTACCGGTAGCTGAAACCCCTCCAAGGCTTTTCGAGAACATTATTAGTGAATTTAGTACAAATTCTTGAACATGTGAAGCACAGCAATCAAAAGCACAACATTATTTTTTCTTAGCGGGTCGTTCCGCTTCCACAAAAATTGCTCATCATAACATCAAAGGTTATGACGTGCTAATAATCATAACCACATGCATATACTGACATTGCCCCACACTTTTAAACCCTTCCACCTAGTTTTCAAGCGTAAACATTCAAAACCATAGCTCAAATCCCAGCAGTACATTAAAGCCTATGACGTGGCGCCTTGCAGGTCGGCAGCAACAGAGGCCTCCATGGCTCCCTGTGCTGACAGGGCCTTCTTCACCGTCTCCTCCACGCGCCTCCTCAGCCCCTTGTACGGCAGCTTGTCCACCACCTGATAGGGCGATGGGAGAGGGGGCGGGGAGGGGAGGGGGAGGGAATGGAGAGGACGTAGAGTAAGGTTAGCACAACACAGTGCCTTCTTCACCTTCTCCTCCACCCGCCTCCTCAGCCCCTTGTAGGATAGCTTGTCCACCACCTGATAGGGGAAAGGGAGGGGAGGGGGAAGGGAGGGGAGGGGATGGGGAAGGGAGGGGAGGGGAGGCGGATGCTCTAGAGTCAGTTTCACGTCTCTTTAGCCCCTTGTATGGCAGCTTGTCCATCCCGTCTTCACCTCCCCAGTCCACCTCCCCATTCCTACCCCCTCCGTCCCCTTCCCTCCCTCCCGACTTACCCCTCCTCCCAACCCCGTCCATCAATCCACTCACCTCAGCAGCAAATGAGAAGACCAGCGCAGAGCGCGCAGTGTTCTGGTCGATTCCACGGGTGCGGAAGTAGAAGAGCTGCTCGTCGTCCAGGTCACTGATGGCTGCGCCGTGGGTGCACTTGACGTCGTCTGCGATGATCTGCAGGTTCGGCTTCACGTTGATGGTGCCCCGGGGCACGAGGAGAAGGCTGCGGGACAGCTGGCCTGCATCCGTCTGCTGGGCGAGCCTAATGTGTGTGGGAGGGCGGAGAGGAAACAGTGGAGAGGGGCAGAAGAAAGTGAGCGGAGGGCATACACGAGGTCATGGGTTGGCCAGAGCGCGTGTGATGGTAGCAGCAGCAGCAGCAGCCTGCCATGGGTGCACTTGACGTCGTCTAAGATGATCTGCAGGTTCGGCTTCACGTTGATGGTGCCGCGCGGCACCAGGAGGATACTGCGGGAGAGCTGCCCTACATCCGTCTGCTGGGCGAGCCTGGGGAGGAGAGGGAGAGGGGAGGAGAGGACGGAGAGGGGCAGAAGAAAGTGAGCGGAGCAAATACAAAAAGTCTTGGGTTGGTCAGAGTGTGTGTGATTGTGGCGGCTGCTGCTGCGCGCCGTGGGTGCACTTGATGTCATCCGCTATGATCTGCAGGTTCGGCTTCACGTTGATGGTGCCACGGGGCACCAGGAGGAGACTGCAGGACAGCTGCCCTGCGTCCGTCTGCTGGGCGAGCCTGGTGGGTCAAGGGAGGGGGGTGGAGGAAGAAAGTGAGCGGTAACCGCGACCCACGACACAGTAACAGGTCGTGGGTTGGCCAGAGCGCGTGTGACGGTGGCAGCAGCAGCAGCAGCAGCAGCAGCAGCAGCAGCAGCAGCAGCAGCACAGCGCGCCATGGGTGCACTTGACGTCGTCTAAGATGATCTGCAGGTTCGGCTTCACGTTGATGGTGCCACGGGGGACCAGGAGGACACTGCGGGAGAGCTGCCCTGCATCCGTCTGCTGGGCGAGCCTGGGGGTTTGGGGTGGCAAAGGAGGGAGTGGAGACAGGGAAGTGAAACACGTTGGGCGCGAGGGGGGAGTGCAGCCTTGACTTCACGTTGTTGGTTCCGCTGGGGAGTAGGAGGAGATTGCCGGACAGCTGCGCTGCATCCGCCTGCTCCGTGCATTTGACCCAGGCTACCCCATACCCATTCACTCATTCGAGCCCACTTGTTGAATCAACACTGCCTTGTGCACACACGTGTTTACACTCTTGCTCACACACTCATGAGTTAGCTCATTCCAGCCTCAGCAGACTCGCGAATACTCACTTGTTGACCTGCACATTCCCGTCGAACACGCACCGCCCCGTCGCGTCAGACACAATGCAGTCCGAACCACTGTGACCCACTTGACCAGTCCGACCCATTCCATGTGATGTGACCCACTCTAACTCCCACCCACATTTGAGGCGTCCCACAACTCACTTGTTGACTTTCACGTTCCCGTCGAACACGCACTGCCCCGTCGCGTCAGACACGATGCACTTGTGCAGCTGCCGAGTCACGCCGCCCGGGAAATCCAGCACGAGGCTACTGTGCAGATCCTGCACCTGCCTGCCGCCCGCCAGCGCGAACGTGTCCACGTGCGTCTCTGTCTTCTCCCCCAGCTGCTGCATCTTCAGGTTGTGCCTGGATAGCGCCGCCCCCAGCTGCGCCTCCACCAGCGAGTACCTGCTGCTCTCTTCCTGTGGTGAAGCGACGTGGGAGCATGGGTGAAGGGGTAGGAGCAAAAAGGGGTTTGGTGGGTGTTAACGCAAGAGCACGTGCGTCTCCGTGTTCGCCCCCAGCTGCTGCATCTTCAGGTTGTGCCTGGATAGCGCCGCCCCCAGCTGCGCCTCCACCAGAGAGTACCTGCTGCTCTCCTCCTGGTGAAGTGAGACGTGGGAGCACGGGTTAAAGGGGTGGGAGCAAAGGAGCAAAAGAGGTTGGTTGGGTGTTAATGCAGGGGCATATGTTTTTTGAGAATTCTCAAAAAGCAAAAGAGGTTGGTTGGATGTTAATGCAGGGGCATATGTTTTTTGAGAATTCTCAAAAAGCAAAAGAGGTTGGTTGGATGTTAATGCAGGGGCATTCAGACTCCACCAGAGAGTACCTGTTGCTGTCCCCTGTATTTGGGCGTTAACGGCGGGAAACGGGGAACGGACGCAGATGAGAGGGGAGAGGGAGAGAAGGGGGGAATGGAACGGGTGGAACGGGTGGAACGGGGGAGGACTGGCTTAGAGGCGAGGGGGGACGATGGGCGCCGAGGGAAAAGGGGAAATGGGTGCAAAGACGAGGGCGGAATAAGAGGCAGTGAAGACGGGAGATGATACTCGGTGTTCAATGGATCATTGCGCGAGGCGGGGGGGAGAGGGGAGTGGGGTTGTGTGGGCGGGGGAGGGGGGAGGGAAGAAGGGGGAGAATGAGGCAGAGGCAGAGGAAAGGAGGGGTTGGGAGAGAGTGGAAGGGAGGGAGTGGAAGGAAGAGGGTTCCAGAGCGGGGAGAGGGGGTGCGAGGGAATGAAAGCTAGCAATACCGCATTGCACCGAGTACACTGCACCCACCTGTGCGACGAACGTTCTCTTGATATTGAAGCAGTCTTTAACGGGTTGGTTCTGGATAACCGCGTGGCTCACACTCCCCTCCGCGCCAATCACAATCTCCGCCACTGCGTTCACCCACTCCCCCTTCCCCCCACCCGCGGAAGCTCCCCCCACGAACTCCTCTACCACCTCCACTTCCGCGCCCGCTTCCGCCACGACCAGCAGGCGCGGGGAAGCGGGGGCGGGGGAGGCGGAGGAGGAGGCGTAGACAATGTGGATGGGGTGGTTCGGGAGCTTGACGTTAGCGGGGACGGCAATAACGAGGACGTCCGCGGCGGAGGCGCCGTTAAGCGCGGCAAAGAGGTCCGCTTGCGCGGAGGACCTGAGGGGGGACGCGGGGACGGAGAAAACGGAGGTGGATTGAGACAAGTTGGGGAATTGAGGGCACTAAAGAGAGCAGACGGCCTGGGACGTCAGCACGATGACATACTGGGACGGTGGGACGGATGAAGACTTATTAGAGGCGCCTCAAAGGGCGCGTGCAAGATGAAATACTGGGACGGATCGAGGCTTGAAGGGACTTGTGATAAGATGGCCGTGAGATGGCTGGTATTGTTGGACATTTTCAGGCGCTAAAAGGGAAGCGTGGGGGTAGCGGAGGATGGGAGGGGCGAGATGGAGGAAGATGCAACCCGAACCGATCCCAATCGAACAATCTATGGAGCACTTACTCTTATACGAGCATCTTAAAGCCTTGTCGGTCTGCCCCATGCATGCGTCACTCTTTCCACCCTGCAATTTGTTTTCTTGCGCTCCCTTCTACTCATCATCTTATGTTCCTTCCTTTTCTTCCGTTCGTTTTGGGTTCCTCTGCATTCCTTTGTGCACAAACCCATCTGTGCACACACTCACCAGCGAAAACACCCACCTGCCAAGGTTCGGCGTCACGAATCGCTCAACTTCTTCCGCATTCAGCTCACTCAGCAGCTTCACCGTCATTTGCGCCGGGATTCCCGTCAAATCCGACAGCTCCGGCCGGATAGCGCCGTCAAGCACAACAAGCCGACTATTCTTGGCCTCTTCGAGAGTGTATTCCGCTAGAGCGTCTGCTGAAACCACCTGCGACTCGGACCCTGTCGCAGCGCCTTTTTCTAAAGCCTTGTCGAGCATCGCGCTGAGAGATTTTAGGTCTGTGAAGCGGAATTCCTCATCCTTGCGACCCGGCCACCGCAGAACACGGGCTGATTCTGCAGAAACATTTCTGAGCTGCCCGAGAGCGGCAGCCGCAGGGAATGCGGCGTCTAACGGGGCAGGAAGGGAATATTTCGCGACGAGGCTCTGCACGAAAGTGTCGCTGGGGCCGACGAAAGTGAGGATCGCAGCTGCGGCGTTCGCGTCAGCTTGGTCCCTAAGCGACGTCGGCGACGATTGCGACGACTGTGCGACTGTTGCGACGAGAGTGCGCGACGAGCGCGCGAATCTCCTGCGCGAAGGAGCAGCAGCGACGGCCCTCTTGCCAGTCACAGGCTCATTACGGAGCAAGTCGGACTTGAGACTGGGTGCTGCTGAGCGAGATAGCTGCGCGCTGAGGGCTGCCATGGCGGTACAATGCTCTGAAGAAATGCTATGCCAAAATTCGTGCACCTGAGGTTATGTGAAGAATGCGTCAGTAAGAAAAGCTTTAGTCGCTTCAGCAGCAATGAATCACCAGTCTGGGCTCAGCGTCGAAGGAAACACTAATGACAGCCGACGATCAATTTCTAACAGCAGACAAGGGAAGACTAGAATTACGAAGGACGCTGCAGCAAAATCAAGAGCATGAACCAAGTGACAGGTGGAGGCGGGTTCAAGATAGAGGTGCTGTTCTGTAGGCGTTAAATTTCCAGAAACTGGGTCCGCAGAATCTTCGTTGATAGGTGGTATTCTGCCTATCAAGGTTTGGTGATAAGAGAGGTCCTGCCAAACCTGTTCGCGCCAAATTTAACGCTCTCGCCTGCAGAACACCACTAATGCGGCGCACAAATTTAACCGTCTGCAGGCTCGAAGTTGTTGCTTCGCCGGGCAAATGGTCGCACAACTTGTGCGGTGCTGATTCTACCTCGGGAGCTAGCTTCAGCCTCCGCACAAGTTATGCGGGGCAGCAATTTCCGTGCAACGCAACCCGCATGAATGCGCCTAGAAATTACATGGAAGGCCACGGCGGTCAAATTGGTGCGGCGCCAATAACGCCTGCAGAACAACGCCGGAATGGATTGCTAGTGGCGCAAAGATGCACTCCCCGAGAGGACAAGGCTTTCTGGAGACTATGAGGAGCGGAACAACACTGAGGGGGTGTTGAACGGAATCCCAAGGTTCAATTCCCTTCGTGTTCTCTCGAAAACGTGGATGACACGTGGCGGTCACAGAAATCGTTCCTGACCCACATGCTGCCAACATGGACGAGATGTTCATGAACCGGCTGGACTTCGCGCCACATTTGTGTAACATCAACTACACCATATCAGTTAGGATTGAAAAGGGAACTTCACTAACACATGTACCATTATCTTACCACCTTTAAACTTAGACCTCCGTACTCTCTACAGGTCCAAACGAAGTTACAGAGATTCAGGACTTTAGTTATTCAGGTATTTGTATACCGGGAGAACAACTAGATCAGGAAAAAATTTCATTAGTGATTGTGACAGCTTCTGGCATATTAGGCTCATACTATGGCCAATAAGATACCAGGGCGTTTAAATTCTGAAGCCTCTCGCTGTCAGGAATCTAGCAATGGGTGGGGTGAGCGCCAGGGTGATGGGTACACGGACAGGAATCAGAGCCTTGTTGCAGAGCCAAGCAACAGCCAAAGCACCACCACTTCCTATCAAACCAGCCGCTGCTGCTCCTCCACTCTCAGTGGTTTCTCCATTCCCAACGGCCACATTTGCTCCAGTAGAACCCGTACCTAAAGGCTCTGCTCTCGCCTGCTCCCCTGGGTCGGCCTTTCTGCCAGCTACGCCGGATGAGGAAGAATCTGGCAGACCTCTCGAGCTTAGGTCGCTCCCTGACAACGAGGCTTCGCGTTCTAACGAAACGGCGGAATGGGACGTCGAGGGAGGAGCAGCATCGGTCGGAGGCGCGGGGGACGGGTGGGTGGGTGAGGGAAGGAGGCCTACTCTGTTCAGCAGCCCTTCCACGTCGATGCTGCTGCGGATGGCGAGGTACAGGCCCGCGAACGAGACGGTCGACACGCCGATGTGGACGGCGACCGCCAGGCGCCCGTACTGCGCGATCGCGGTGCGAAGCCGCGATGACGTGGAGGTGGCTGCTGGAGACGGAGGCATGACAGCCAGCGGTCTGGCTGGGACTATGTGAAAAAGGGCCAGATGCGGTAAACTCGGAGTGTTTAAAAGAGCAGGGCCAAATGCTTATGAAAAAAAGCAGGGCTTGCGGGCGCACGGATTAATCACTGGCGCGCGTGGTCGTAAAGCGACGAAAATCGTCGATCAACGCGATGCAAGGTTGAAAATATGTCAGACGAGGGAGGAAACCGCAGATGCAGTAGCAAGATTCAGAACGAAGTGGTGAGGTGGACAGTGTTGAAGAAGATATGGAAGAGGTTTTGAAGTGTGCATCCGACAGCAATATACAGTACCTGCGCCATCCTATAGAGGCGTCTGTGAGTTTGGTCACACACCACCAGCGAGCCAGTTGCTTCGGTCTGGTTTGGCATGGATTGACTTGATTTGGGTGGTTTGGTGTAGAACACATCCCGGACGAACTTGATCCAAACCAGCTCTATCCGTTGGATTGTCCACAGTCGCCGTTTGCTTACATTTCAGCCGTACAGTCAACGCGTTTCGTCCGGTGCACCACCACCAGCCAACCACCGCTCGACACACCATGCACGCAATCCGCCCGCCCAACCTCCCACATCCATACGCCCTCCGTGTCACGCGCCAGCACCACGACTCCACGTTGACGAGAAATCCGTCACGATTTCTGTCTTTGCCACGACCAGTCACACCTCCGTCAAGGCATCATATGGAAGGAGGGCACGACAGAACAAGCACCCGCTAACTTCAACGCGAAGTCCAGACGGAGCAATAAATTCATCAGTCCTGACTGTGATGATGCGGTGTTCCCAAGGTCAGAACAGAAAGGAAAGAAGCATGCAGGGCATGCAGGCACACAGGCACACAGGGCACACAGGCACGAAGGTACAGGAGAGGAAGGCAATCTGGGCTCCACCCAAACCAACCACCCTCTCGCCAAGGCACCAACCAAGCCACCCACCCACCGTACACATGGCCTCCCTGCATATCACTCACTCACCCATCCCCCTCTCACCCACTATCGCTGCAGTAGCTGCAATCGCTGGGGCACCCTCCCTGCGTCTCTGCAACCAACCACCCACCTGGCCAGGCCCTCCCTCCGCTCCGCCTGTACGCTACGCACGCACCCATTCGTGTTGGTCATTCTTGCTTTCACTGTTTCCTGTGGCTTGACAGCAACTTGGCACAGCCATGCCATGCCGACCTGGTTTATTCAGTCTCACCACCTCCGCCGCTTTTGGCTGCCTCGCGCCTTTACCGCAGCATCCTCCATTTAGCGATTCGCTGTGCGAAATAAAGCACTTGGGTACGAGCCGAGCCTCTTCTGGCTGCTGTGTTTCCAAAAGAAAGAACGCATCCAGCTTTACTAGTTACATGTTATTTAGGGAGGAAAGTACGAGTGTGTCTGACGCTAGTAGCGTGTACACGTGGCGCGGCTTGACACGGTGGTTTTTAGTTTCGAGTTCAATGCGTGTACTGGTCCCAAAATAGTTGCATATTGACTTCGAGTTAGCACAGGTTTCACATCTGAAGGAGTGGTTTAATTTCCTTGTTGAAGCTACATCGCTTCTGTCCGCTTTTAGTATCGTAAGTCGTTTTAGCTTCCCGGTGGATTTTAGAACCCTAAGTGTAGTTTAGTAGCATTTTATGTGAGGGGTCGGCGACTGCATTGTCGTGACATTTTAGGTTTTCGGCGTTTGTCTCGCCTCGCCCGACGTTGCGACGTTCGTCTCAATGTGGACAATGCAGGTTTTTTTTTTCAAATTAGCCGTTGATCTGAGGTGATTTTTGAGTCGACGCAACTTGTCGTTTTCGTCCGAAGCTGCGGCGCCGTGCTAAGTGTTGACGAATGCAGTTGAACGTTTATCCTTTCCGGTTGAACCGTCGATTTTCTGACATTGAAGCGACTCGATACCACGCGGAGTCTGCTGCCGACTTTTTTACACATTGACGTGATTATTCCGAAATTGACCGACGAATGTGAGGGATTTTTCGTGTATTCTGACATTGGCAAACGAATGTGAGGAATTTCGTTGCTTATTCTGACATTGACCGACGAATGGTAGGGATTCGACCGAAGAAATGCATCTGACGGCAAAGCAGAAGCGGCAGATTTTGATGCAGAGGGCCCAGGAGACTGGGTCCGCTGGATCCAGCGACGCTGGACAAGGCAACATGACGACGGCTTCACCTAGCGCCGGCTCTCCTGCCGGTCCTGCCGGTCCGTCAGGATCGGTTCTCGGGCCGAGAAGCGCGCCGATGCAGAGCCAGGCTGAGCTGAAGGAGCGACGCCAGCATCTGACGCGGCTTCAGATGCAGCAGCAGCGCAAGGGGCAAGAGGGAGCGTCTAAGCACGGAAAGGAGGAAGGTCAGAACGGCCGTCACGAGGGGGGAGAGGACGGAACGGAGGCGAGGGACGCTCGGGATGGAACGGAGACTGGGCACGAGGGCGAGTCTGGCGATCAGGGGTTGGCGAAGGATGGCGACAAGCAGCAGGAAAAGCAGGTTACTGGGAGTGCGCAAAGTCCCTTGGGGGGGAATGCTGGCGCTCAGGGGAAGAATGCGCGCGAGGGAGAGGGTGGCGCGGAGGGGGACGCGCAGGAAGGGGAAGGTGGGGCGGGTAACGAGAAGAATGAAGGGGGGAACGGGAAGGGGGAGGGGGCTTCGGGAGGAGAGGCGCCAGGGGATTGCGACGGCATGCTTGACGCGGGTTCGTCCGGCCAGCAGGAGGAAGGGGAGCAGCAGCAGCAGCAGCAGCACAATGCAGGGACTGGAGGGTCCGGGGGAGGGTCAGCACCACAGGGACTGGAGGGTCAGCAGAAGGCTCAGCAGCAGCCGCAGCAGCAGCAGCAACTGTCGCAACCGCAGGAGCAGCAGCAGCAACAGTCGCAACCGCAGGAGCAGCAGCAGCAATCTCATCGCGTGTCACCTCAACAGCAGCAGCAGCCACAGCAACAGCAACAACAGCAACAGCAGCAGCGGCAGCAGCAACAACAACAACAGCAGCAGCAGCAGCAGCAGCAGCAGCAGCAACAGCAACACCAGCAGCAGCAGCAGCAGCAGCAACAGCAACAGCAACAGCAACAGCAGCAGGAGCAGCAGCAGCAGCAGCAGCAGCAGCAGCAACAGCAGCATCAGCAGCAGCAACAACCGCAGCTACAGCCAGGGCAGCAACAGCAGCAGCAGCAGCAGCAGTCGGGACAGCAGCAGAGGCAGCTGAATCGGGAGCATGAGCAGGAGTTGCTGCAGCAGCAGATGCAGAAGCACCAGATGCTCTTTCATCAGCTTCAGGAGCGGCGGCAGCAGCTGCAGCAGCAGCTGATACAGCAGCAGCGGCAGCAGGGGTCGATGGATATGACGCAACGGCAGCAGCTGATTCAGACGCAGCAGCAGCAACAACTCATTCAGCAGCAGATGCTGTTTCTGAGGCAGCGGCAGCTGCAGCTGCAGCAGCAGCTACAGCAGAACCAGCAGCAACAGAATCAGCAGCAACAGCAGCAGCAGCAGCAGCAGCAGCAGCAGCAGCAGCAGCAGCAGCAGCAGCAGCAGCAGCGGCAGCAGGTTAGCGAGCATTTGGATTCGCAGGGTGTGTCGAGTCAGGTGCCAAAGGAAGAGCCGAAGGAGCAGAGCGAGCAGGCGGGGAGAGAGGGTACTGCGCAAAACAGGGTCTCAGAGGCACAGGAGCAGCAGCAGCAGCAGCAACAACGCAATCAGCAGCAGCAGCAGCAACAGCAGCAACAGCAGCAACAACAACTGCAGCAGCAGCAACAGCAGCAGCAGGCAGGCGCGCAGCGACCATCTGATGCTCTTTCCCAGCTGTTGCTGCGGCAGCAGATGCTTCTACAGCAGCAGCAGCAGCAGCAGCAGCAGCAGCAGCAGCAGCAGCAGCAGCAGCAGAAGGCAGCGGGTCAGGGGCAAGGCGAGGATGGGGAGAGCGCGGGAAGCCAGCAGGTGGTTCGCAGCCAGCAGCAAGTGCAGCAGCAGCAGCAGCTTCTGCTCCTGCTGCAACGGCAGCAGAGCTTAAACAGTGCCAGGAACCAGCAGCAACATCAGCAACAGCAACAGCAGCAACAGCAGCAGCAACAGCAGCAGCAGCAACAGCAGCAGGATCAGGCGCAAGGGCATGGGCAGGAACAGAGCTCAGCAGGACCATCACAACAGGACCCGCAGCAGCAGCAGCAGCAGCAGCAGCAGTTGCAATTGCAGCAGTTGCAGCTGCAGCAGCTGCAGAAACAGAAGTTGGAGCAGCTGTTGAGGCAGCGCCAGTCTCAGCTTCAAGCACTGGCCCAGGCCCAGGCCCAGTCAAGAGCCCGCCCTGATCTCCCCGTGCTCGCTCTTGCAGAGGCTGCAGGCAGCGGCGCCCTTGCTGCTGGTAGAGCATCCAACGATCAGGATGCAGCAGGCGCCGGTCAATCAACGGCTCACGGTGCAGCTGGTCCTGGCGCCGCTGCTGCTGGGGCTGTGGCTGCTGGTGTTCCTGGCGCTGATGGTATGGCTGGGGAAGGTACTACCGGGGAAGGTTTACCTGGCATTGCTGCGGAGGCTATGGTAACAGATGAGGGGACAGGGGAGCTCGCGCAAGCAGCAGGGATAGGCGGGGTGGGAGGGCGAGGAGCAGCAGTAGGAGGAGCAGCAGGCGGGGCAGTAGGAGTAGGAGTGGGGCCAGGAGGGCTTGGAGGAGCGATACAAGGTGGTGTGGGCGGGGATGGTGAGGGCGAGCGCGAGGGGGAAGGGGCGTGCAGTGCAGGAGGAGAGGATGCAGCAGCGATGGGGATGGGCATGCCGGTGGTGGTGGACGTGTCACCAGAGGATGGTGTGCTGCCTGCTGTGGGCGGATTGGCCAACGTGGATGGGTGTGTGCGCAAGCTCATGGAATTCATGTACCACCAGCGCCGCCGCCCTGCTGTGAGTTTATTTGGGGGCGGGTATGTGGGTCTATGCATGGTTTGTGGATGGGTGAATGGGTGTGAGCATGGGTTTGTGTGTTTCTGGATGGGTGTGTGCGCAAGCTCATGGAGTTCATGTACCACCAGAGGCGCCGCCCCGCTGTGAGTTTCTTTGGTGGAGTTTGACTGGGTGTATGGGTGTGTGGATGGGTGAATGGGTGTGAAGATGGGTTTGTGTGTGTCTGGACGGGTGTGTGCGCAAGCTCATGGAGTTCATGTACCACCAGAGGCGCCGCCCCGCTGTGAGTTTCTGTGGGGTTGGGTGAATGGGCGTGTGAGTGTTTGGATGGGTGAGTGAGTGTCTGCATGGTTGTGTGGGTGTCTGGATGGGTGTGCGCGCAAGCTCATGGATTCTTTTTACCACCAGCGCCGCCGCCCTGCTGTGAGTGGGTGGGTGGGTGGGTAAAGGGGTGTCTGTCTGTGTGCATGGGTGTGTGTGTCTCTGCATGGGTGTGTGCGCATGCTTATGGAATTCATGTACCACCAGCGCCGCCGCCCTGCTGTGAGGTGCTGTGGGTGGGTGAGTGTGCGGCTGGGTCAAATGGGTGTGTGTGTGTGTGTGTGTGTGTGTATGCATGGGACTGGCTCACATCCTCGCTCTCCCTCTTCCGCCTGCCCCATCCCCCCCTCCAAGACAACAATGTAAAGTTCTGGCGTCAGTTTGTCGGCCAGTACTTCGCCCCGCACGCCCCGCAGTACCTCCTGCTCACATACTCTCCCCCTCTCTCCCCCCTTTCCCTCCAGGATAACAACGTGGAGTTCTGGCGTCAGTTTGTCGCCCAGTACTTCGCCCCGAATGCCCGCACAGTAGTCCCTTCCTGCTCACACATACCCATCCCCTCTCTCCCCTCTTTCCCTCCAGGATAACAACGTGGAGTTCTGGCGCCAGTTCGTGGCCCAGTACTTCGCCCCCAATGCCCGCAAGCGCTGGTGTGTTGCCTCCTACGGCAGGAGCGGCCGCCAGCCAGCCGGTGTCTTCCCGCAGGACATCTGGCCCTGCGACCTCTGCGGCGCCAGCCCTGGTAGAGGCTTTGGTGAGTGATGAGATGTGTGCAGGGGAGTGCAGGGGAGTGCAGGAGTGTTGGGTTTGTCAGGGAGTGTGGGGCTGCCAGCCGGCCGGCGTCTTCCCGCAGGACATCTGGCCCTGCGACCTCTGCGGGGCCAGCCCTGGCAGGGGTTTTGGTGAGTGATGAATAGGCAGTGAGGGATGTATCGTATTATCCATGGCAGGCAGGCAGGTGGCAGTGTTAGTCGCCGTCATGCCAGTCAGTCAAGCTGCCAGCCTGCCGGCGTCTTCCCGCAGGACATCTGGCCCTGCGACCTCTGTGGCGCCAGCCCTGGCCGCGGCTTCGGTGAGTTCACGTGTGTGTGGGTGTGCGCACTATCAGGGAGGCCTCCCTCACTTACTCATATCCATTCATCCTCCTTATGTTGTCAACTCGTTACACTGCACAGAGATGACAATGGAGGTGCTCCCTCGCCTGTTCAAGATCAAGTATGACAGCGGGGTGCTGGAGGAGGTGCTGTAACCTCCACGTTAACCCCTCCACTCCACTCCTTGTTCCCCGCAGAAATGACCATGGAGGTGCTGCCCCGACTATTCAAGATAAAGTACGACAGCGGCGTGCTGGAGGAGGTGCTGTATGCGGACCTGCCCGCGGAGTACATGCTGCCAGGTGGCGCCGTGGTATTGGAGTACGACCATGCCATCCAGGAGAGCCTGTTTGAGCAGCTGCGGGTGGTGCGCAAGGGCAAGCTCAAGATCGTCTTCAACTCCGACCTCAAGGTGCAGTAGCAGTGTGTGTGTGGGGGGGAAGGGGAGAAGGTTGAAAGGTGGGGAGGGAAAGATGGGGTTGAGAGCAGCTGCAGGTGGTGCGCAAGGGCAAGCTCAAAATCGTCTAGAGCATCTTTGACTCCGATCTCAAGGTGTGTTTTGAGTCGACGTGTGTTTTGAGTCGACTCAAAACACACCTGAGGGTGGTGCGCAAGGGCAAGCTCAAAATCGTCTAGAGCATCTTTGACTCCGATCTCAAGGTGCCGAGGCCCTGTCTGTGTTTGTTAGTGTGTGTGTGTTGGCGGGTGCTAGCGCTCGCGAGACTCTGTGTGTGAGTGCGTGCGTGTGTGTGTGTTTGTGTGTGGGATTGCGTATCATGTCATCCCCATCTTCCTCAGACACCAAATCGTTCCGTGGGAGGCTGTCAATAATCTCTCTCATTCCGCCCATGGCCCGCCTTTCTTGTCCCACCAATCTCGTCCCGCCCATGCCCCTCTGTCTGCAGATCACCCTGTGGGAGTTCTGCACGCAGAACCACGAGGAGCTCGTGCCGCGCCGCCTCGTGCTGCAGCAGGTGAGGCCCACCCCACCCCACCACCCACCCACCACCCCATCCCACCACCCCGCCACCCACCCCATCACGCGCCCAGAAACTCTTTGAAGCACCGCTGTGCTTTTTCCCCAGTGCATTGAATGGGTTCTGCTCGATCGTTCTCGCAGCCCCCCTCCCGCCATCCCTTCGCTCCTTCCCTCCTTCCCCCCGTCCCGTCGTCCCTCCCTCATTCCCTCCCACTCTCCCCGCCTCTCTCCTCCCCCCGTGCCTATCCACCTCTCCGTTGTTCCCATTGTGAGTGACAGGTGAGTCGACTGGCAGATCTCGCCTTCAAGTTTCAGAACCACCTGCCGGGGTCCCTCACGCCCAACCAGCTCCACTCACACTGCGCCACGTAAGCATCCCTTCCAGCGCTGCCCAACCCACCCCCTGAACCTCCTCCCTGGTGTCCACCTCACTCACTTCCCACCCCCCTCTCCCCCGATCCCCCTCCCTCGTCCCTCCGACCTCTTTTGCAAAGTTTCCACTTTCAGGAACATGTTGGTTTCTGTCCTTCTACACCCTCTCTCGCTTTAAGATTCGCAAGGGACTTGCTCTCTTTTGGCCTATACCTGTCTCCTCTTAAACAACCCCTCCCTCCCTCCACCCACGTACACAATTTCGTGACCATGTGTCCTGAGCTGACCCGCAAGCCCTTCCCTCCCGTACCCCCCCCCCCCCCCCCCCCCCCCCCACACCTCTCTCCCTTCCTTCATTACCTCCCTCATTCGCGACCATGACTCACAGACCCATCCATTCCTCCTCTGCCTTGCCCTCCTCCCCCCCCATTGCTCCCCCCCCCCCCTTAGCTTCGCCACCATGTGTCGCGAGTTGACACACAAGCTGGACGCCCCAACAGTCAACGACCTGGGCTTCACCAAGTGCTACGTGCGCTGCCTGCAGGTGTGTCATGCGGGGTTCCGAGGTGCTATGCAGTGCTGTGAGGTGCTCTGCAGTTCTATGGGGTGCTATGAGGCGCTGTAGGATGCTATGAGATGTCGTAGGGTGCTCTCAGGTGCTTCAGCGGCTACCAGTCGCCAAGAGTCAACGATCTGAGCTTCACCAAGCGCTACGTCCTCCGCCTGCAGGTGTGCTATGCGGTTCTGCAAGGTGCTATGCGATACTGTAGGGTGCTTTCAGGTGCTACAGGTGCTATCAGTCGCCGACATTCTTGTGCTGCCTGCATGCCAGTGGGTGTGCTGTGCTATGAGGTCCTATGGGCTGCCTGCGATGAGTGCTGAACCGTGGAATGTGGTGTGCCGCTGTAAGTCCTTTCTTCTTTTTTGGGTATTGAGCTGGACACCCCAACTTGCGAGGTCAACAACCCTAAATTCTGGACCCTGAACCCCATGTATCAAAACCTATTCTTCCATCACTCACTATCACCCTCACTCACTTTCATGGCTGTCACACTGTGAGCAGACATCAAAGGTGGTGAGCATTGAGCACCATGACTCTATTTTCGAGCCAATTGAAAATACCTGAGTAGGTGCTGTGCTGTACTGCATAAATTAAGCTATGACTCCATGCAAATCGGCTTTGTGTTTTCCACCTTTTCTTTTGACACCATCCCACCATCCCCTGTGGCAGATATCGGAGGTGGTGAACAGCATGAAGGACTTGGTCAACTACAGCCGAGAGCACAACATTGGACCCATCGGTGAGTTGTTGCCACCTGTACAGTTGGTGAGTCGCCACCTGTACGATTGGTTACATTGCTCCTTTGTCCAGTAAAACCTTTGCCAGTTTCTTGTTCGTTCTTGCCCTGCCCTCCCTCCTCGCCTCCAGTCTCCCCACTTCTCGACTTCCCTCTCCACCCTCGCCCCCCCTCTCTCCTCTCCGACTTCCTCACCTTCCGTCTCCCTCCACACTCCAAAGAGATTCTTTCTGCTATATGCCCACGCCTCCCTCCCCATGTCCCCTCCCCATTCCCCGGCCGCCCCAATGTTTTCCTACCAAATGCTGATGCTGTTTTGCATCCCTCACTTGCTAATAATCCTCTCCCGGCTACCCTACCAATGCTTGCTGCACCCCTTGCTCTTCCCAACCCCCGTGCTCCCCTCCCCTGCTGCTCGTCCCCCTTTGCCCCCTTGCCCACAACCCTGCAGAGAGCCTCAACTCCTTTCCGCGCCTCAAGCCCACGCCCCCCTCGCCATGCGCCTCCGACCACTCGATTCAGCAGCACGGCTTGCAGCAGCCTAGCCTGCCGCCTCTGCAGCAGCAGCATCAGCAGCAGATGCGCATGCAGGCACAGCAGCAGCAACAGGGGCAGCAGGGGCAAGGGGGGCAGCAGGGGGGAGGGGAGCTCGGTCTGGTTACTGAACAGGTGGTGGGGCAGCAAGGGCAGGGGCAGCAACAGCATTCTATGGGCCAGCAGGGGCAGCAGCATTCGATGGGGCAGCAGCAGGAGGAGGGAGGGAGCCCCCAGCAGCAGGGCATGGGGCAGGGGAGGGACGAGGTAAGGGCCGTCACTCCCACCTCACAGCTCATGGCTGAGGGTGGGGGGGGAATAGGAGTGGTGGGGGGAAGAGCAGGGGGGATGGGCGGAATGGGAGGGGGCCAGCAGCACCAGGGGCAGGGTTTGCCGCCATTGCCTCCCCCTCAGCAGAGAAACCTCCCCCCACGGTCTCCCTTGCAACACCTTCAGCAGCAGCTATTGCAGCAGCAGCAGCAGCAGCAACAGCAGCAGCAACAGCAGCAACAGCAGCAGCAACAGCAGCAGCAGCAGCAGCAGGAGGTGCAAAGCTCTTTATCCCCGGGCACAGGAGCAGCAGCAGGAGGGGGAGGAGGGGCACAGGGCTTTGGAGCGCAGAGCATGGGAGCAGGGCAGGGGTCAGGGGCGGCAACAGTGGCAGCAGCAGCTGCCGCCCTGCGAATGAGCAGTGCCGCCCAGATCTCCGCCCTCATGGGGTCCCTGGGGGCAGGAGGGGGAGCGGCGGGGGGAGGGGCGGGGCCTGGCGGTATGGGCGGGAGGGGAATGTCTAGAGCGGACAGTACAGGGGAGAGGGAGCCTGGGGGTATGCACGCTGATGGTGCTGCTGGGGGCGGGGCGGGAGGAGCAGCAGGGGCAGGAGTGGGGGGAGTGGGAGGAGTGGGGGAGGGAGGGGGAGCAGGCGGAGCAGGTGGGGGAGGGGGAGGAGGGGGAGGAGGGGGAGGAGGGGGAGCAGCAGCAGCAGCTGGCAGCACAGCGGGCGCGCCTCTGGGTCCGCCAAGGCTGAGACACTCGTCCTCTGTCAATTCCTTGTCTGGATCCGTGGGAGGGGCCATGGCGGGCATGGGGGGAGGGATGGGCGCGGGCATGGGCGGAATGGGGGGCGCAGGGGGCGCAGGGGGAGGAGGGAGGGGGATGGGCGGTTTTACCCGCGCTGGCAGTGTAGGGGGAAGCATGGGCGGGAGTATGGGCGGACCTGGGGGCAGGGTAATGGGCTCAGCTGCTGCGGCTGCTGCTGCTGCTGCTGCAGGGGGGTTTGGCATGGGAAGGAATCAGGAGCTTGAAGCATTGGGAGCTGATGCTGGTGGTGGTGGGGGGGGGATGGAAGGCACAGCAGCAGCAGCAGCAGCAGGGCAGGGGGCTGTGGGCGAGTTTGCAGCACTAATGTCTCCTCCTGTGTCTCACCAGGAAGCTTCCTGGCAGCAGGCCGTTGCTGCGTCTGCAGCAGCAGCAGGGGGGGGTGGAGGTGGGGACGGTGGCGGTGCAGGGGGGAGGACGAATGGTGGGGTGATGGCGAGAGCAGGGAGCTATGGGGCAGGCGGGGCAGCATCAGCTATGAGTGGCGGGGGCGGTGGCGGTGGCGGTGGCGGTGGTGCTGGTGGAGCGGGAGCGGCAGGAGGAGCAGGAGGAGCAGGAGGAGCAGGAGGAGGAGGAGGGGGGATGACTTTGAGTGGGCTCCAGAGCATGCTGCAGCAGAGTGCAGGTGCTGGGGGCGTGGGTGGGGGTGGAGGCATGGCGAATAGAGTTGCCACGCTGATGGCTCGACAGGCTCAGATCAAGGCCCTTGCTAATCTTCGCCAGCAGCAGTCGCAGCAACAGCTGCAGCAGCAACAACAGCAGCAACAGCAGCAGCAGCAGCAGCAACAGCAACAGCTGCAACACCAGCAGCAGCAGCAGCTGCAACAGCTGCAGCAGCAGCAGCAGCACCAGCAGTCAGTGTCGCAGGGAAACCCGATGGAAAGAGCAGCGGCAGCAGCAGCAGCTGCTGCTGCTGCGCAAGGGGTTAGTGGCAACAGCGGCAGTGTGTGCGGTGGGGGGGGAGGAGGGGGAGGTGCTGCTGGTGCCGCTGGCGGTGGTGGCAGTGTGAATTTTGGAGGAATGGGCAACGCAGCAGCAGTAGCAGCAGCTGCAGCAGCAAGCAGGTCAGCAGCAGCAGCGGCAGCAGGAGGGGGAGGTGGAGTGGGGGCGGGGATGGGGGGAGGAGCAGCAGCATCGCAAGCGGCAGCAGCAGCAGCTGCAGGGAACGTGGCAGTGAGTCTGCTGCAGCAGGCAGGGAAGCTGGAGGGGCTACGAGGGGCAGAGGCACAGAGTGCAGTGCAGCAGCTGATGCAGCAGGTCATGCTCAACCGCGCTGCTGCCCAGGCCGCTGCTGCCGCCTCTGCTTCCGCTGCCACTGGTGGTGCTGCTGCTGGGGGGGCTGGTCTTGCCGGTGCTGGCACTGCTGCTAGCATGGCAGCAGCGGCGGCGGCTGCAGGGATGCTGAGAGAAGGAGCGGCGGAAGGGGGGATGGGAGGAGGCATGGGCTCGCATGGGGGTGTGGGGGCAGGCTTAGGGGGTCTGGGAGGGGTGGGTGGAGCAGGGGGAGGTGGGCTTGGGGGAGGTGTATCTGCAATGGGTCCTGCTGGGAGCAGGGTGGCTGCCATGGCTGCTCGGCTCAGGAGCATGGGGGTAACCAACCTGGCTGGGTTGGGAATGGTGGGGAGCGGTGCAGGTGTTGGTGCTGGCGGTGCTGTCGGTGTGGGGGGTGTGGGAGGGGCAGGGGTGATGGGCGGGGGGGATATGCTGCCTGACGGGATGGGAGGAGCAGCAGGGGGTATGGTTCGGGCTGCTGGTAACTTTGCTGGTCTGGCTTCTGCCGCAGGCTTGGCCGGACCTACGGGCGGAGGCGTGGGAGGAGGTTTGGGAGGGATGAGAGGGGCGGCTTTGGCTGAGCGACTGGCGAGCCTAGGAGCCAACATTGCCGACCTGGGGAGGTTTGAGAATGTGATGGATGGTGGCGCTGGTGGTGGTGGTGTTGCAGGTTTGATGGATTCAGGTGTGTCTATGCCGAATTCTGCACTTGTTGGTGCAGGTGGGGGTATGGGTGATGTTGGCGCTGGTGGGTTTAGAGGTGGATTGGGAGCCGCAGGTATGGTTGGTGGGAATGTTGGTTTGGTGGGAGGTTTGGGGTCGCTTGACCGGCTTGCAGCGGCCGGTTTGGTTGGTGGAGGTGCGGGGGGTCTAGGTATGGGAGCAGCAGGGGTGGGTGGTTCGGCTGCTGTGGCAGCAGGAGCACTGCAAGCAGGGCTGCAGATGCAAGAGCAAGTGGGAATGGGGCATGAGGGGATGATGGGGGGTGGAGGGGGCGGAGGTGGGGGAGGAGGGTTCAGCAACCTTGGGAATCTACAGTTCAACTGGAACAGATGAGAAATTGTGCAGATATTTGCAGCTCCGATGTAAAGGGATAGGGAGTCATGGCCTGGATTAACAAGCATAACACAAATAGCAATAGATTTGTGTTGGGATGGGTTTTATCATGGACTAATATGGAGGAGTTGCACTGTTGTGATTGACCTATCGAAATCGAAAGCAGTTGTCCACCCTCCAGCAAGAGCTGGCTAATTCTTTATGAAAGTGCATGAGTGCCACCTGTAGCTGTTGATAACTGGAAAGTATGGATCATAGTTCACTGACTTAGCTCTTTGTGTTTTTATGGTACGAATTGTTGGGTTTGAAGTTTTCTAAAATTGACGCTGAACCCTCATATATCGAGGATTGTCTATTTCCTTCTCGTTTCGTTTCATCCGGCAGTACGATGACGGCGTGAAACGCCGGCTAATGAAATCTTCTGGTCACCAGGATCGAGAGTACGGTTGACTCGTTTCTTCTTTTCGTTGTCAGGGCAGTTCGTTGTCCCATGTGGCTGCAGCTTCTTGGTGCAATGCCCTCGTTGACTGCTGCCGAGTCGTTTTTCGAGATTCGAGCAACTTCACAATGTGCGACGCGCAAAATTGGCGACGTGTCGAGGGTACAAATTCCTACAGCTGAGCTCCAGAAATGCATTCCAAATTCGACACTTGCAGAAAGTAGCCCGCCGAGAGTGCTTTCCAGCGAACGTTTTGACTTACTTTCATCCCTACTAATATTTTCCTATCACCTTTAGCCAAAAACGGAGCTATGGGGCGCTCATTTCCGCTCCCGCTGAACAGGATCCGTCTCCGTAACCTGAGCGCGGCGCTTCTTCTCTTTTCGTTTCTCCTGCTTTCGTCTCTCCACGCCGCATTGGCCTTCCACTTCTCCGCGGGGCTCCGCGCGGACAAGCTGCGCGGGAACATGCGCGGATGGGTGCACTGCGGACTGTCGCTTTGTAAAAAGCACAAACACGGCGGCGGAAATGGGAAGGGTGGAACTGGGGGCGCTGGTGGCGGAAAGGGCGGTGGCGGAACGGGCAGTGGCGGAACAGGCGGTGGCGGAATGGGTGGTGGTGGAATGGGCGACGGAGGAAAAGGAGGCGGCGGAAGCATGATGGGCGGCGGAGAAATAGGTGGCGGAGGAGATGGAGGAGGAATGGGCGGATCTGCGCCTTCCGCTCCTGGATCAGAAGCAGCCAGTGCTCCCGCATCACAAGCAGCCAGTGCTCCCGCATCACAAGCAGCCAGTGCTCCCGCATCACAAGCAGCCAGTGCTCCCGCATCACAAGCAGCCAGTGCTCCCGCATCAGCTGCCATGGCTCCCGCATCAGAAGCAGCGACCATGGCTCCAGGGAATGGTATGGGCGGCGGAGGAATCGGCGGAGGAGGAATGGGTGGAGGCATGGGCGGACCTGGGTCATCTGCTCCCGGATCACAATCAGCCATGGGTCCTGGTGGGGGTATGGGCGGCGGAGGAATGGGCGGCAGCGGAATGGGTGATGGCGGAATGGGCGGCGGAGGAAAAGGAGGGGGAGGGATGGGCGATGGCGGGTTGGGTGTGGGCAGCGGCAATACGGGCGGGGGAGGGATGGGTGCCGGTGGAACGGGTGGCGGAGCGATGGGTGGCGGAGCGACGGGTGGCGGAGCGACGGGTGGTGGGGCGACGAGGGGCGGCGCGACGGGGGGTGGCACGATGGGTGGCGGCGCAACTGGTGGAGGTGCAACGGGTGGCGGTGCAACGGGTGGCGGTGCAACGGGTGGCGGTGCGACAAGTGGCGGTGCAACAAGTGGCGGTGCAACAAGTGGCGGTGCGACGGGCAGTGGTGGAACGGGCAGTGGTGGAACGGGCAGTGGTGGAACGGGCAGTGGTGGAGGTAACATAAGAGGTGGTAAGGGCGGACCTGGGTCCCCATGAGCTGGACAGACATGGTCCCAGGAGATGCCTGTACTCCAAATGGCATTCTCTAGAAGAATGGATCTCCGTAGCCTCCCGTTTGTCATGTCGAGAGCGTGTGACCAGCTCAAGGTTGAGCAGTGATTGGTTCGGAAGAATGGGTTGTTGCAGAGATTGCACTCCTGTTCCGGTTTTACACATGCTACATGATGGCAATCACAGCTATTTGTGTTCTTGTACTGGTACGCACGCACACACACGCACGCACGCACGCACACACGCACGCACACACGCACACGCACGCACGCACACACCCACGCACACGCACGCGCGCGCGCGCGCGCACCCACCCACCCACCCACCCACCCACAGACACACACAAACACACACACACACACACACACACACACACACACACACACACACACACACACCTGGCATGTGAGATCGCTGCTGTCATGCGAACAATGCGACGGCGGGAGCAGCCTTACACTCACAGCAGCAAGAACCACTGATAGTGGCAGTAGAGCAGCCCTGACCCCGCCACAGCCACTCCACCCACTCGGCGTTGAGCAGGGAAAAGTCAGGAGGGACTATCAGCCTGGGATCAGCAAGGTTGGAGCGGCAGCAGGGGGTGAGATCTGAGGAGGAGGCGCGTGCTCCGCGCTTAAGGTCCGGGAAGGAAGCGTTTCACCACTCCTGCGCGTGGAAAAGCTGCGCGCGGCTGGGGCTACTGAGGGAGTGGGACGTGGTTAGGTTGGGTAGGGTGGTTAGGGCTTGGAGTGGCTGACGTTCGGTCGCCAGGTCAGCTAGGGAAGCTGCGGCGGCGGATGCGGGAGTGGGAGGTGCGGTGGTGGGAGGTGCGGTGGTGGGAGGTGCGGACGATTTGGAGGTGCGCGGAGAGCAAGAGCGACTTGTCGAACGCAGCATGGTGATGAGGGGCAGGGGGGGCGGGGCAGGGCAGGGCAGGGCAGGGCGGGGAGGGGCGGGGCGGGCGGAAAAAGAGAGCGTCTCGCTGCGCATGGTGGAGCTGCGGGTGGCGGAGCTAAAATGGCGGAGCTGCGGGTGGCGGAGCTGCGGGTGGCGGAGTTGCGCGTGGCGGAGCGCGGGGCTCACTGCGGTCCCTCTGTCGCCCATCGCCGAGATCAGTAACAAGATTTTGCACGCAATGCGAGTCGCAGCAAGGAGCGAACCAGCAGAACGCCATGCGAGGGTGGATGGACTCAAATGAGCTCAGCGATTACCCTAAATCCGCGATGCCCACGAGGAAAACTTAGAAACCTATCAGGCTTCGATGCCCAAGAGAGAGGAAAAGAACGAAAAAAATCCTCCTAGGTTTTCCGCGAGTACTCTAAAGGCCCCCCCCAGCACCCCCCGTACGAGTCGTACCTCCACTCCTTTTCGCCGACCTCCCTTCCTGCGCTTGCCCTTCTCCCCCCCCTTTGTACTGTAATCGAAACACGACGCGGCGGAACCTGCGCGATGAGCGGAACACGGCATGCGCGGAGTCGCTGTGCGAGCGCTCTCGCCTTGTTCTAAACCCTCCTGCCTGCTGTCGAGCGACGTCTGCATATTGCCACATCAGCTTGGTCGAGCAAGTCGCGGATCGCGGTGTGAGCTTGTCCTTGGTCACTTCAAACACTCGCCTTCTTGTCATAGATCTATCCGCGCTTGTGGCAGAATGATTGGTGCGAGATTTTTGTTCGGCATGTACAGCTACACCTAAGCTAATGTGATAAACAGAAAATTATTATCAGTAGCTAGAATACAGTTTGTGCATTGCGACACGAAATTCCGATACCGGATCCGATATTACCAGGGATGCGAGGTTCTTCGGGTTTCCTTGACAAGAGCTACAATGGTCAACATTCTTTCACAAGGCGTTGACTGGAATTTCAATTGTTTGACTCGTTCGTCCACTCCACTCGTTGCAGAAGAATGAGTTATCGCGCCGCGCGAAAGGCATTTCCATCTGTTTAGCATTCGCGGCTCGACGAGGGTACAAAAGGGCTGGCTCACATCGGCAACTCATCCGCACTTGTTCACACCTTTCCAATTCTGAAGTTGCTTTTCAACCTTATCAACTAGCTAAAAAAAACTGTACGTGGAACCTCAGCTATAAACCGTAAACAACATAAGGACAATGACGCAGAGAGACTCATTTTCGCCAACCCAGCGTCGTTGCCATAACCTGAGCACGGCCTTCCTCCTCCTCTCGGTCGTTCTGCTTTCGTCTCTACACGCTGCGCTGGCCCTTCGTTTCTCCACGGGGCTCCGCGCGGACAAGCTGCGCGGGATGATGCGCGGATGGGCGCAAGGCGGGCGCTCTAGCGGCCAGCAGCAGCAGCAACAGCAGATCGGCGGAATGGGCGGAAGCGGGATGGGCGGTGGTGGAGTGAGTGGCGGCGGAATGGGAGGTGGCGGAATGGGCGGAGGCGGAATGGGAGGTGACGGAATGGGCGGCGACGGAACGAGCGGCGGCGGAATGGGCGGCGGCGGAATGGGCGGCGGTGGAATGGGCGGCGGCGGAATGGGCGGCGGCGGAATGGGCGGCGGAGGAATAGGCGGCGGCGGAATGGGCGGCGGAGGAATGGGAGGTGGCGGAATGGGCGGCGGAGGAATGGGCGGCGGAGGAATGGGCGGCGGCGGAATGAGCGGCGGCGGAATGAGCGGCGGCGGAATGGGCGGCGGCGGAATGGGCGGGGGAGGAATGGGCGGCGGCGGAATGAGCGGCGGCGGAATGGGCGGCGGCGGAATGGGCGGGGGAGGAATGGGCGGCGGCGGAAGTGGAGGTGGCATGAGCGGACCTGGTTCGTCTGCTCCTGGATCAGAGGCGGCCATGGGCGCTGGCAGGGGCATAGTCGGCGGCATGGGCGGCGGTATGGGCGGCGGCATGGGCGGCGGCGGAATGGGTAGCGGAGGCATGGGCGGCGGCGGAATGGGCGGCGGCGGAATGGGCGGCGGCAGAATGGGCGACGGCAGAATGGGCGGCAGCGGAATTGGCGGCGGAATGGGTGGCGGCATGGGCGGACCTGGGTCCTCTGCTCCCGGATCACAATCAGCCATGGGTCCTGGGGGAGGCATGGGCGGGGGAATGGGTGGTGGCATGGGCGGCAAGGGCGGCGGAGGAATGGGCGGCGGAGGGATGGGCGGCGGAGGGATGGGCGGCGGCGGCATGGGCGGCGGAGGCATGGGCGGCGGAGGTACGGGCGGGTCAGGGTGGGTTACTCCAGGGTCGCAGGCAGCACCCGGCCAGGGTGGACCTGGGATGGGCGGAGGGATGGGCGGAGGGATGGGCGGAGGGATGGGCGGAGGAATGGGTGGTGGGATGGGAGGGCCTGGGGGCAACATGGGAGGTGGTATAGGCGGACCACAGTAGTTTCGTGCTCAGAGCAAGGGCAGTTCTGAGCAGGAGCAGCCATGAGCATGGTGCACCCCAAAATGTCATTTTCAGAGGAGCATGGCCACAGCAGCACTGCCAACGGAGTGCTGCCAGCAGTGCTGCTTCGTCCAAGCTCCTCCTGACCGTCGGATTCACAATGCTGCTGCTCATCCCATCCATCATATATCTTCAAGTTTAGGTTGTGTCATCATTTATCAAAACATGTTTCACATCTCATCTCAAGCATCATAGAAATCCAAGGTTGAGTTGTTTCGTGATCAAACACGTGTCTGTCACTTGCATACGACCATCATATTCTGTATCAAGAGAGCCTCTTGTTCTTCACTAAACTCTTTCCCGTTCCTTGCTGCACCTGCTCTCACGCACCAGTGCACATGCTTCTCTGGCAATGAGTGCAATCACGAAAACCCTGCTGCCATTTTCAGCAACGAGGTATCGAAACTTGCACAGCCCATCATTCTCCTGTATCGCCAACGTGGTGTGGTGGTGGTGGTGGTGATGCCGCAAGGTGACTTTTGGGCCGACTCACAAGTCACTCCAGCAATGATGTAACAACGGTACCGAGACATGCACAGCCCATCATTCTCCTCTCCTGTATCACCAATGTGGAGATGCCGCCAGGTGACTTTTGAGTCGACTCACAAGGCATTTCAGCAATGCGGTATTGAGGTATCGAGACATGCACAGCCCATCATTCTCCTCTCCTGTATCACCAATGTGGAGATGCCGCCAGGTGACTTTTGAGTCGACTCACAAGGCATTTCAGCAATGCGGTATTGAGGTATCGAGACATGCACAGCCCATCATTCTCCTCTCCTGTATCACCAATGTGGAGATGCCGCCAGGTGACTTTTGAGTCGACTCACAAGGCATTTCAGCAATGCGGTATTGAGGTATCGAGACATGCACAGCCCATCATTCTCCTCTCCTGTATCACTGGTGTGCCCATCTCCCTGGAGATGTCGCCAGGCAAGCCGTGTCTTCTCATCGCACCTTCAATGCCTCACACCATACCGCCATCCATGCCCTCCTAAGACTTCCTGCTTTCGACGCCCCAGGCTCCTGCCCTGGAGTTGGGTCGACTCAAGAACAAGCCATGTCTTCTCCTCATGCCTTCAACCCCCCATACCACACCACCATCCAAGCCCTCCCAGGACTGGTACCTGCTTTGGACGCCCCAAGCATCTGCCCTGGAGCAAACTATCCTGGGTCCCTGACCCGCTCACGCTTCTGCTTCTCATTTCCCACCGCCTCCCATTCCCCTGTTCCACGTTTGCAGTCATCCATTCTCACCCTGCCACTTCCACCCCTCTCATTCCTCTGCTGCCCATGCGCCAAACCCCCGTCCCTCTGCTTCCCGTTCCTCTGCCTCCTGTTCTGCTGCCATCCATTCTGCCGCCGCCCGTTCCTCTGCCTCTGCCGCCCGTTCCGCTTCCGCCCTTTCTGCTGCTGCCCATTCTAAATACATTGGACCCCCCGCCGCCCATTCATGCGCCTCATATTTCTCTGCCTCCCGTTTCGCCGCCGCCCGTTCCTCTTCCTCTGCCGCCCGTTCCGCCTTCGCCCTTTCCTCTGCTTCCCATTCTAAAACCATCAAACCCCCCGCCGCCCATTCATGCGCCTCATATTCCTCTGCCTCCCGTTTCGCCGCCGCCCGTTCCTCTTCCTCTGCCGCCCGTTCCGCCTTCGCCCTTTCCTCTGCTTCCCATTCTAAAACCATCAAACCTCCTGCCGCCCATTCATGCGCCTCATATTCCTCTGCCTCCCGTCTCGCCGCCGCCCGTTCTTCTTCCTCTGCCGCCCGTTCTGCCTTCGCCCTTTCCGCTGCTGCCCATTCTAAAACCATCAAACCCCCTGCCGCCCATTCATGCGCCTCATATTCCTCTGCCTCCCGTTTCGCCGCCGCCCGTTCCTCTTCCTCTGCCGCCCGTTCCGCCTTCGCCCTTTCCCCTGCTTCCCATTCTAAAACCATCAAACCCCCTGCCGCCCATTCATGCGCCTCATATTCCTCTGCCTCCCGTTTCGCCGCCGCCCGTTCCTCTTCCTCTGCCGCCCGTTCCGCCTTCGCCCTTTCCTCTGCTTCCCATTGTAAAACCATCAAACCTCCTGCCGCCCATTCATGCGCCTCATATTCCTCTGCCTCCCGTCTCGCCGCCGCCCGTTCTTCTTCCTCTGCCGCCCATTCTGCCTTCGCCCTTTCCGCTGCTGCCCATTCTAAAACCATCAAACCCCCTGCCGCCCATTCATGCGCCTCATATTCCTCTGCCTCCCGTTTCGCCGCCGCCCGTTCCTCTTCCTCTGCCGCCCGTTCTGCCTTCGCCCTCTCCTCTGCCACCCATTCTAAAACCATCAAACCTCCTGCCGCCCATTCATGCGCCTCCCATTCCTCTGCCTCCCGTTGCGCCGCCGCCCGTTCCTCTTCCTCTGCCGCCCGTTCCGCCTTCGCCAGATTTTTTGCTGCCCATTCTAAAACCAACGGTCCCACCGCCTTCCATTCATGCGCCGCCCAATCATCCGCCTCCTGTTCCTCTGCCATCCACTTTGCCACCACACGTTCCTCTGCCCGCCCGTTCTTCTGGCGTCGGAGCTTGGAGAAACAGCAGGAGGTAAGAGGAGAGGAAGAGGCAGAGGAGGTGAGAGCTGGAGGAACCACGAGCTTGTGGGTGGAACGGGCAGGGGATGGGCTGCTGCACTTCTGAGACGTCTCAAAGGCAACAGAGGAGGAGGCAGAGGCGGTGAGTGCTGGAGAGACCGCGAGCTTGTTGGTGGAACGGGAGATGACGATGAGTGCGGACGTGCCGCACTTCCCCTGTGAAATGGCCCACCTTGGGGAGGTCCGGACGCAGGGAGGGTGGGAGGGTAAGAGGAATGGGACGGTGAGACGGAGGCTGGGGAGTCGTTAGGGCGGTTCGGTTGGTTAGGGCTTGGCTCGGCCGAGCTTGGTGAGCGGCTGGGAGGGTCGGGGGAATGGAGTCGTGAGACTGGCACGTCTCAGAAAATAGGTCAGGGGATGGGTGGGAGGATGCAGTCACGCGTAGCGAGAGAGAGTCTCACTCGGAGCGACCTGGAATGTAGCGATGATGGCAGGGCAGGGCCGACCTGCTTGGGGCAGATGAGCTGCGCACGGCGGAGCTGCGCACGGCGGGAGCTCGGGTCCGGGTCATCAGCGAGCTCTGTTACACGCTTGTATGCACTGCGAGTCGCAGCGATTGCGAGTCGCAGCGAACCAGTAGAAGGCCATGCGCTTCGATGCCGCGATTTAGAAATTCGAAATCCCCTGATGCTCTCCGCGCGCGGCGCTCGCGTGTGATGGCCACGGCTTTCTGCGGAGTTGTACGTAGGAGCGAAAGTCCTATGTTTTATCGCCTAGTTTCAACATGCCTGCCTTAACGTCCAGCGAGTTTACGCCTAGTCAGCATGGTGGAGCTAATCGCGGGTCGCCAAATCTCTCGCAAGGTCATTGTGTTGAGATTGGCGACGATGTCAATTGCATTGGAACAGCTATCGCACGGTTTCGTTGACAGTTTTCGCAAGTTCAACACTTCCACAAAATGCCATGCCAACACTGCGAAATAACATTGTTCACTGTTTTTCTCCCGTTCTGGGAGCTCTTGCCATGCGACATGCGACGAATCACGAATGACGAGTCCCGTGCAAAGAGTCGGATGTCCCCAACGACGACGGTTAATCTCTTCGTCAGGCTCATCGCACACGCGTAGATTTTGTTAGCATATGCGTTTAGCAGTTTCGGCCTCGTGTCGCCGACGAGCGGATGTTAGGTGGGCGGGAAAGTAGGTTCGCGTGACGAGAGTCGCGACAGACCTTAGCTGGCGAGGGGGCAGTCTCGCGAGCCGTCGTCGATGGATGGACGGACCGATGTCGAAATTCAAAGCCCCTGGGCGAAGTCCATCGACGATGGAGATGATGTGTTGAAATTCACATCCTACCGTTTTTTCTCCATCCACCCTTGCATGAGACGGTTGGTGCTCATGAGCTGCTCGCTGCGACCCGAAAGTGACGTAATCTTGATGTGCCATCACTTATACCACGTGGATGCATGATGTCAAGTGACGTTATCATGTTGAGCATGACCGTCGCGGCAGCAAGCACACGGGTCACGCGTGCCAGCATGTCGAAGTTCTCGGCAAGCACACGGGTCCGCTCGTTTGTTGTCAGTCGACTGCATGCCTGCATGGCTGCCTCTCCTGAAAGCTGAAATTCCTGCCTTTCCAGGTCTTCACATGTAACTTCTGCCCTGTCTTATCGTCATCGCCATGCTTGTCGATCGCGCTCACATCGTCCCTCGTCTTTCCGCGTCTCGTCCACGCCTCTTCAAGATCAGCCATCCCGTCTATATCTCTCTTTCGGGCATTCAAACTCACCCAATACCACCTCGTGTTCGCCTCGCTTCATGAATTAGTCATCTCTCAACTAGTAGTCGTCGTGTGAGGCTAGACTGAGCCATCCCCACTGGTTCTCTCCCTTTGGCATTCGAGCCCACCCCATACCACCTCGTGTTGGCCCCATGGATCAATAATCTCTCTAGTCGTCCATTTCTTGTTTCATCTCCAGCTCTTCCCTCTTTTTCCTTGGACTCTCGGCTGGTACTTTCCCCAGTTCTCCCAGCTCTTCGCCATGGCGAGGATGGCTGGAGTGGCTATGGCGGTGGCAGGGCTGCTAGTCGCAGTAATTTTTGCTGCTATGACAGTTGCTGCGAGCGATGATCTCACATATCGCGTCAGATAGTTACAAATTTCGATTTACCACTTAGCGATCTACTATTTATGAAATATTGGTCGCTTGTTCTGCGTATGAGCATCGCGGTGCAGTCATTCATCATGCTCGGATGCTTGGGACCTTGCAATCCAAAGCAGGGAGATCCAAAGCATGGACATGCGAAGCTCATATATCACCCATCAACCTCTGCCCTTACCTTTTCTCTCACCTTTCCTGTCCCTTGCCTTTCGCAGCTTCCACAAGAGCCCCCCAGCTTGGAAGCGAACTGCTTTTTTGTGCATCCACCAACAATCCTCCTTGAGGTAGTTCGCAGCAACCCACGTGTTCAAGATAAGTGTGTTTCACATCATGCCTCTGTTCCCTGCTCAGCCTCGGGAAGAGGTGGGTGTGCCTTGGGACATTATTATTGTCACATATGTTTACTTCTAACTGATATTTGTTTTTCCTTGTTTTCCTGCTAAGGCTTGGTTGTAGTAGAAGTGTAACTGTATTACCTGTTCCGTGAAATTTGTTTCGTTTCCTCCCTCCCGACCAGTGGCACTGCCGGGGTTCACAATGTCACAGGTCTGGCTTGCCTTCAGTCCCACGAAGGCGCAGAGCCTTCAGTTCAACCTGCCCGTTTTCACCATCTGCCACGTTATCTCCTGCACACCCCAGTGCGTCCATTCTCTCCCCCTTGTGCTTCATTTAACTCCTGTTGTCAATTCAGTACTTACACTCCCACAAACTCTTACCAAATAGTTGGTGCTAACCAGATAGGTGAAAGTTTCAACAGTCAACTTCAACCCCTTCTCCGGCTTCCAGGACTCCACCTACCTCCTCAAGGTCTCGCCCTGCCCCACCCACGCCCTGCTCTTTCTCACCCATGCTTTTCCTCTGCGTTCTCATTCCCTTCATCCCGTCAGGCTTATTCCATGCTTTTCCTTTCTCACTTGTTCAGAGCATGACTTGTTATTGTTTTTTGACATCAGTTCTTGTTAAATCTCGCTAGAATTATAGCCGGCGTTGAATGTGTCGAGATGGCCGAGTTGGTCTAAGGCGCTGGATTAAGGTTCCAGTCCGGAAGGGCGTGGGTTCAAATCCCACTCTCGACAACTGTTGCATTTTGTAGTGTGTGTGTTGTGCGCACACTTGTTTCAAAGATTGTAGAAGGTTTTTTTGACTTTCCCTCCTTTTCTTCTCCCAAATGGGATGTCACGATGGCCCATTCTTATGCATCCTCCCCTCTTTTTCAGCGTTTCAGTGCATCTGTCATGGAAGTGACTGCGCCGGTATACAAGAGCATACTCGCACCAAACACTCCCCTCGCCCCCTCTCCTTGCCCCGTTCCCCCTCCCGACTGGCAGGAGTGGGTGACGGACGGCCCCCTTATAATCACACCGCGCATCACCTTCAGTGTGTCTGCGGCTCCTTCACCGCGGCTGCTGGGGGGCTGATGGCGCTGGGGTACGAAATAGCCCACATCGTGCACCGAGTCCATCGTGCTGAAAGAGCAGGGTGAAGCCAGCAGAGCGCTGTCTGTTATGGTTGACCCACTCTCCCCTGTTCCCCCACTTGCACGCACGCACTCACAGCATGCCAGCGCCCACAGCCGCCCAAGCCAAGGCGGAGATCAGCACCATTCCGCTCCGCTTGCTCCGCTTGCTTTGCACGACTCTGGAGTTTTCCGCCATTTCCTCATACCCTTGGCGAATGGTGGTACCCTAACCCACCTGACCGTTCTCAACCTGGCTGGATCCTCGGGCTTCACCACAAAGGGCGTCACCTGCCGCTACAAGCTCCCATGGCTAAAGAAGCTGCACTTGAGTGGCACAACTGTTACAGATGAGCACTTGAAGGGCGTTGAGGCGTTGAACAGGCTCGAGTATATCTCCAAGGTGCAGCTGGAAGGTGCATCGCTCACACCAAGGTGGCCGATGCAGACATGGTGAATCTCACAGGTCTCCCCTTTCTCACTTGCCTCAAACAGGTGCAATGGGGTGGATGATGGGTTGCTGCAGCTCACCTCCTTGGAGCTGGAACAGCTGCTATTGCTCTTTGGAAGGTGTCTTAACCACATGACTTCTTGATATACGCCAATATGAAGGACCCCCTGCAATTGAAATTATCTCCCTCTTATTCACTTACGTACAGGTAGATTATTTGAATTGTGAGGGTTGCACATTGAATTTAGGGTGCAATGAACTTGGAAGCTCACGTTGGAAAATGTCTGTGGTTGTTGTATGATGGCATTCTAATCGTGCACCAGCATACCAAACTTACAGATATCGCGTCTGATCGGTGGAAACCAGGCATTGTCCGCGATAACGGCAATCCCAAGGAGAACTGTGATGTGATCAAGCCTGATTCGCGTTACTGCTGGAAAATTAGTTGGCTCCTACAAAACATTACGGACTGCCTGGCACCAACTAAACGCCAGTAAAATAGTCGTCGTCCCATTTTAATTATGTTAAGATTCTCCATGAATTGGAAATAGATTCCCGTCTGTGTAGCTGTACACGTTATCAGGGCGCTAATTCTGTAACTGAATATTAATATCTTCGCGCTTCCAACCCCTTCAACGATTCTGCTCTAGTCTCCTTTATTTCATCTCCTTCGCTATAAATTAGCTTCGCTAGTACGGCGTTCTCAATGTCGCCGTTTACATTCTTACTGCTCGTAGTCGTCGCATGCGCGTGTGCGACGTCGCCAGCCGTCGCATACACCGTGCGATTCGAGATCTCGACCGATCCAAAGTGTTTCGACGAGGAGGTTCGCGAGGGTGTGCTTGTAGCGGGGTCCTACGTGGCGGTCAACGACGGTCACGGGGATCCGTTCAAAGTCAACGCTCAGGCAAGTGAACAAATGGCCAGTCAGTAATAAAATGATCGGACAGGAGCCAAACTTGTGGGTCAGGTGATTAAGTTGCCGGCCAGCTTTGAATGGTTTAGATGATTGGTGGTGCATGCTGAATGGTTGTCGGGATGTTCCCTCCACGTCTCGATCATTCCAACTCTTGTTCCTTTAAACCGCTGATCCTCATATTGTGCTCCGTACATCCTGTCTTCTTCCTTCCCACCAGGTGACGTGACTGAACCGTCAGGGCAGCAGCTGTATTGCAGCGGCAGCAGAGCACCTTCTCACCTCACCTTCCATTCCATTTCTCTCTCCTCGTCTTCTTCCTTCGCCTGCCCAGATGACGGGCCCGCCAGGGCAGCAGCTGCACTGCGCAATGCGCTGCATTGTTTCGTTCCCGAGTCACCACCTGACACATGCTCTTTCGTGCCAATCTCCTGCATTGTCCACTTGCCAGGTGGCGGACCCGTCAGGGCAGCAGCTGCTCTGCACTGGCAGCACAACGTGATTCATTTTCCCTGCCTCTGACAGCAACGCTCAGTGCTCAGGTTACCCCTTACCCTTTTCCTGCGTCTCCCTCTGCCCAGGTGACAGACCCATCAGGGCAGCAGCTACACTGGCAGCATGATGTGGCGGAGGGGCATTTCGGGTTCACAGCGGACGAGACGGGCGAATTCTCCGTGTGCTTCTGGCTGCCGCACGAGGGGCACCATGACGCCAAGCGCACTCACAAGATCGACATCACGTGGACCACGGGCAAATCGCAGAAGAGCGTCAGCCACGGTGCTAAAAAGGAGAGGCTCGATGTGAGTGGTGCAGTGGGGTGCGGTGTGGTTTCGTGTGGCGTGGGGTGGGGGGGATGGGGTAAGGTGTGGGACAGCATGACCCCAAGCGCACGCACAAGAGGACCACTGGCAAATCGCAGAAGAGCGTCAGCCACGGTGCCAAGAAGGAGAGGCTCGATGTGAGTGGTGCAGTGGGGTGCTCCTCCCAGCACGAGCTGCTCCACAATGTGACCTGTACTGTATCTGCAGAACCTCCTTGCCGATGATCTCCTTGCCTCCCCCTTTGACTTTTGAGTCGACTCAAGATGCTCTGCGCAGCAGGGGCTGCTCCACAATGTGACCTGCATCTGCAGAACCTCCTTGCCGAGCATCTCCTTGCCTCCCCCTCCTCCTCCCCCTCCCTCTCCCGCTCCACGGCAGCACTTTGACCTGGAGCTGGAGCTGCAGAATCTGATTTCATCCCTTTGCCAAGCTCCCACCCCTCCTCAACCAACCCCCCCGCCCACACACCCCGGCGCCCCTCCATCCCCGGCAGCGCTTTGACCCGGAGCTGCAGAATCTGATTGAACCCGTTTGCCAATCTCGAAACCCCCACCAAACCCCCATCCCCTCCCCATCCCCCGCGCCCCTCTCCCCCGCAGCACTTTGACCTGGAGCTGCAGAATCTGATTTCATTCCTTTGTCAAGTTCCCACCCTAAACCCTAATCCCCCCTCCCCCTCCCCCCCTCCCCGGCAGCACTTTGACCTGGAGCTGCAGAATCTGGAGGACGCTATCGACAAGGTGACGCAGGAGATGAGCTTCTTTCACGAACGGTGCGCGAGAGGGAGGGGGGTGGGGGAAGGGGGTGGGTTAAGGGGTGGGGAAGGGGAATGGGGGAAGTGGGCAAGGGGAATGGGAAGAAAAGGGGAAGGGGATGAGCTGCTAACTCTGGAGGACGCTATCGACAAGGTGACCCAGGAGATGAGCTTCGTTCACGAGAGGTGCGCGAGAGGGAGGGGGGATGGGGAAGGGGGAAGGTGTGGGCAAGGGGGAAGGGGGAAGGGGATGAGATGCAGAATCTGGAGGACGCTATCGACAAGGTGACCCAGGAGATGAGCTTCTTCCATGAACGGTGAGCGAGCGGGAGGATAAAGGCAAGGGGTCAAGGGGGGAATGTGGGAATCGAAGGGGAGGATATTATTAGTGACGCAAGGAATGAGCTTCTTCCACAAACAGTGAGTGAGAGGGAGGGAAGGTAGGGAGAATGGGAAGGGGAAGGGGAAGGGGAGGGGGAAAGGGAATTGGAAGGGAGAGGAAGAGGAGAGGGATGACGCTCCAAGAGTTGCAAGTGGAGGCGGAAAGTACCTGTGCTCAGGTGGCATGGCATGGCATGGCATGGAGGTGAGGTTGAAAATGGAGGCAACACATTCATTCTCACATGGCTCGCTGTTAGTAGTTCTCACGACCACACACGCACTGGCCCCAGATCTCCCACTCCCACTCGACCCCCTCTGACTCTCCTCTCTCCCCCTTCTCATGCTCGGAGCCTGGAGTTGAGGATGAACGCAGCGGCAACACACATTGCATTGCGGATAAATTCCTTCTTCCCCTTTTCCCCCTTCCCACCCTCCCCTCCTGGTGCACCCCTCCCCCCGCATGCACAGGGAGCTGATGCTGAGGATGAAGGAGGAGGAGACACACTCGTACGTGGCAATGGCATGGCTCAGCGGGGCGACTCTTTAGTCGACTCAAAAGTCACCTCGTTACAATGGCACTGGATGAAGGAGGAGACACACTCGTACGTGGCAATGGCATGGCTCAGCGGGGCACGACGTCTCTCTTCGAGGATCCTTTCTGAGTCGCCTTAAAGATCCCCTCCCCTTTTCCTCCATTGTTCCCCTCCCCCATCTCCACACACAGGGAGCTGGCAATGAGGATGAAGACGGAGGAGACACACGTGTACGTGGCGTGGCTCAGTGTGGCGTCTCTCCTGGTTTGTGGCACCATCGCCGCGCTACAGCTCTGGCACCTCAAGCGCTTCTTCGAACGCAAGAAGCTGCTATGAGAGCTCTTCTCTAAGCTTTGCACTTAGCTATGCATTTAGCTTCTCATTTAGCTCTGCACTGCACTGTGCTCTAGGCTGTACCGAAATACCAACCATTATACCACAGTCGTCTCTCCTCGTGTGCGGCACCATCGCCGCGCTACAGCTCTGGCACCTCAAACGCTTCTTTGGACGCAAGAAGCTGCTATGAGGGGCTTTGCAGCGAGGGCTCTGTAACGAGGGCTCTGTAACGAGGGCTCTGTAATGAGGGCTCTGTAATGAGGGCTCTGTAACGAGGGCTCTGTAACGAGGGCTCTGTAATGAGGGCTCTGTAACGAGGGCTCTGTAACGAGGGCTCTGTAATGAGGGCTCTGTGACGAGGGTTCTGCAACGAAGGCTCTGCACTGCACTGAACTCTACAGCTCTCCACTCAGCTCTACATGCGGCTGTGTGTTTTACTGGTTATATCCATGCCATCAATCCACGCCATGCCATGCTATTGGTGGTGTTCATTTTGGTTATGCATTGGTTTGAGCGATCTTGACAACACATTCCTTAATTATTTCAGCTTGACATGCACTGCAATGGTTTCCCTTTGTAACGAGAACCCATTTTTGGCAGGGCGAGCCCAAAATCTACCAGGATTTTTTGTGTTGGCTAGGTAAACTTCCTGGAAAAGGTAGGTCTTTTTGTCAGCCCGGGACTCACAGCGGCCATGATATTTTTTCAACATTGCCTTGCTGGCGTGGCGAAGAGCGATTCGTATTTTGAATCGCTGCTTACAGTGCACTTCTGTGCATTTTGTAATTCCCAACACGAGCCACCAGTTTTGCACCCCTCTGTTCTGCTGCTTCTTGATGCTGACGCGACACTGCACAACTTGCCACTTATCTGGTTCAACAGAATCACACACTACTGTACTCACTCACTTACTCACCCCTCATTCACTTACACATGTTGCTCAACTGCTGCGCGCGAATTTGCCCTGCACGCGCCAGAAAGTCTGCACCCGTGTATTTCGCGCCAGCCAGCTGCACCCACGATACAAGCACCCCGAGCAAGTTGCATTGGCTATGAACCAATAGTAACCACAGAAACCAAAGAATATCTGAAGAGACTGAAGTCAAAAAGTCAACGGAGAGTTACAATTTTTTTATAAGCCCTTTTTTGCTAGGTGCGACGTTGACGAAATTTGCGAAATGAATAGAATCACTTAAAAGCCCCCTTTACATGGCAACCTTGGGTTAGTCAAACGAGCATCATGTGTACTCCCCCACCCCTCACTTCCTCACTCCCCCACCCCTCACTCACTCACTCCCTCACCCCTCACCCCTCACCCCTCACCCCTCACTCATTCACTCGCCTCACTCCCTCAGTCAATTGCATTTTCTCTCCGACACCAAATCTCACCCCAACCAACACAAACCTTCCCGTGCCCCTCCTCTCTCTCTCTCTCAACTCGTCCTGGTGAAGTCGCACTCGTAAAATAGCAGCACACGCTTTTTGCCCCTCGTGCTTTGAGTCCGATCGGTAAAAAACAGAACTGGTCCCTTTGCAATGCACGTTCTCTTCCCTGCAGTCCTTCAGTGCATTCTGAGGGTATAATTCGCGCATTTCGTTCCTCTTGCAGACAAAACTCCATCCAAACCCTCTTTTCCGCTGGGACATTCCTTACTTATTTCTTTCAGCAAACAACTGCACATCAGGCCCGGTCTTGCGGCCCACACATAAAGTGCTCCGTTCTGTCAGCAATTTCTCCGTTTGGAAGTGTTTTTCAAACGCGAGTCACTTCCGCGAGGTTTTCCAGGCCCTCCATTTCGGCGCAGTGACTACTGTCGGCGCGACTACTGTCGACTAATTCCAAAACAGAAGTTCGTCGAATGCTCTGTTCGCTGCAAAGGAGCAACCACAATGCCGCTCGCGCGTGGCTTTCGCGAGCCAATTGATGGAGCTCTCACCGCTACTGGGGACCGCGAAATGAACGTCGCGGGGAACGGTTATATGATGACCTTGGAACCTGCTAGTACTACTATTACCGCGTCCGCCGCCGCCGCCGCTTCTGCCGCCGAGGCTGCCGCGGCCGCGAAGAGCCGCGTAACAGCCGAGTCGACAGGAGAGTCAATTGCGGCGATGATTGCGTGTTCGTCCCCGTTAGCAAAGGCGACACGAGTGGATGGCACCGACGTGCAGAATACGCCACGTGGCAGAGAGTACCAGCTGCCGCAGCATCCAGCGGCGTACCCTCCTCCAACGCCACGGAAGCGGCGGAACGTCCGCGGCGCCGGCGGATGCGCCGCGGCGAAGCGGATTTCTCGCGTTTTGAACTTCGCGACGGCGGAATGCGGCTTACTGGGCGACGGGAGAAGCTCGATCCGCTTCGTCGCGGCGTGCGAGTAACTGGCATCCGCGCGATTACTAACACCTTCCCGTTGTCGCGGATTGGGAGTACTAATGTTGTCTGGTAACAGGGGTTGTATAGCAGCCTACCCCGTGGCTGTTATCTGGACGACTCCTCATCGTCCATAACTTCATCATCACGTTCTGGGAGCTGGCTTACCTCGGATCACTGAGCTAGTGATATCCACCTATAAAATTTACTTCTGATCGTCTGCTGACTGCCTGCAGGTGCAGCATAACGTTTTCTAACAGCGACTATAGTTGTTAGAGGGCATGTGATTTGGACGGTTAGGCCGTTGATCCATTCGCCTCATAAACAGAATGTATTTTGTAGGTTTGACGAAAATAGCTAATGGATGCATTTTGATACCCTGTGTGAAGCCATGGGGTTGTCTTATCATAAGCCTTGGTATTGTCTAATATGAACCATTTGCAACAAATTATTTGTTTGAAAGTTGAATTCCGAATTTGGACATTCTGAGTGTAGTTGCTTCGAGGAATCGAACTAAAGAAATCTAGGCCAGATGCGAGCCAGCCCAGACAAGGCCCGCGATCAATCCGACGGTGTACCGCACGACGCGGTTCAGAAAATCTCGAGGCATGTGTCGCAGCGGCGATGGCGGTCCCGTCGCAGAGATCGTCGCGTTGGATTGTCGCACTCGCGTCGCTCGCCGCGCTTGTCATTCTCGGCCCCGTCTCATTCTCGTCTCTCCCTCCAATCCACAACCACGTAACGGGCACGTCAGCTTCGAATCCAGCTAGTGTAGATCTTCCCACGAAAATGTCGACAGCTGCTGCCGTAAATAGAGCCGTCCGTTTCGGCGGTAACCACGAGGAAGCCAATCTGGGCCGTACAGGAAGTGTAACGGTGGATGGGATCGGTCGTACGGAACAGTCTGCATCGTACGGATCGACAGATAGCGAACACTCGTCGCAATCAGCGAATGTCGAATCTGGTCAGGGACAAGATCAACGGTTAGGATCTAATCGCGTGCCCGTTTTCATTCCAACGTGCGCGGAATCTGCGGGGAACGCGCCACTGATCCACCGTCGAGCAGAAACGTGAGTTGATGACGATCACCGTCTCGCATCCCTACCATCCCGCGTCGCCTTTTTCTTTCCTCCCCCACCACTTTTCCAGAACCTTCCCTCGTTCGATTGCTAGCTGGACAGCAGTGGATAGAGCAGCAAGAGCGCCGCAGCATGCCAGCAACAGCAGGACTCCCACAGCATTGCTGCAACCCTCATATGTCGGTGACTGTGGACAACGATGGGAGTTAGAAGCAGCAGGATATCCGCACGTGTCATTGCACCATGGCCGAGGCGAGGCTTCTCACATTCAAATTCCTCTCTCCTCTCTGCTATCTGAACCCCCCAAAAAAACAGTTTCAGCCTATCATCCTTCAACGCAATACAAGATGGCATCACTGAAAACACTTCCGCATTTCAATTACTGGCGTTTGCTCCTTATCCTTTCGCTCAAACCCCTGTCCTTCCGCCGCTGCCCTCCCCAACCCCATCCAAATAGTCTCATCCTCGTGCTCTCTATACTATTTATCCTTCCTCTTCTTTCTACTATCCCCTCCCCCACAAAAATTAGTCTCAGCCTAGCATCCTTCAATGCAGTACCAGGCGTCTCTGACAACATAGCCGCATTCCAGTCGCTCCCTACCCACACAAATCCCTGTCATTCCGCCTCCAATCTCTCCTATGCTCTCCCCAACAGTCTCAGCCTAGCATCCTTCAACGCAGTACCGGATGGCACCACTGGCAACACTGCCACGTTTCAACTCATGTCACTGCCCCTCACTCCCTTCTCTGCCTCTCAAATCGCTCCTATCCCCCCTCCTTCCCCCTCCCTACACAACAGTCTCAGCCTAGCATCCTTCAACGCAATACCAGATGGCACCACCGACAACACTGCCGCATTCCAGTCACTCGCTCTCGCCCCTTCCGCTCAATCGCTGTCACTCCGCCCCTTCTCTCTCCTATGCCACCCCCAACCCCATACCCGACAGTCTCAGCCTAGCATCCTTCAACGCAGTACCGGATGGCACCACTGACAACACCAGCTGGTAACCAGCCGCATTCCAACTCATCTCATACTCCCCTTACTCTCTCCTCACCCCCACTTCGGCCTCCTACTAAACCAACAGTCTCAGCCTAGCATCATTCAACGCAGTACCGGACGGTACCACTGACAACACGGCCGCCTTTCGAGCAGCTATCAGTGCAGTACAGTCGCTGGTTGCCGCCAATCAGTGGAGGGCGAGGGTGACGCTGACGTGGCACTGGGCGCCATGCTGGTGGTGCCACGTGGCACCTGGCTGACTGGTCCTTTCAACCTCACCAGTCACATGACTCTGTTTCTGGAGCAAGGCGCAACCTTACTGGCCAGCCCTGTAAGTCATTCCACCACACTTCACCGCATTACACCGCTGCATTGCATGACATTTTCTTCAACCTCACGAATAACATGACTTTGCTTCTACTGGCCAGCCCTGTAAGTCTTTCAAACAGTGCAGTACCCCTACACTGCATTGCACCGCAATTCATCGCATAGCACCTGCACAACTCGTTCGCACCCTGCATGCCCCCCTTTCTCCCCCATTCCCAGCACATGCCCGACTACCCTTTGGCGCCGCAGCCCCCAACAAACAGGCCAGGGCGAGAGCTGGACCCTGGGCCACGTCACCACGATGTGCGCCTGGCTGATTCCCCTTCTTTCCCCCCCTTTTTTTTCCCCTGGGCGCCTGACACGGGGGCATGCCCCCCCTTTCTCCCCCATTCCCAGCACATGCCCGACTACCTACTGGTGCCGCAGCCCCCACAACCTCCAGCATACGGGCCAGGGCGAAAGCTAGACCCTGGGCCATGTCACCACGATGTGCGCCTGACTGACCCTGCATGCCCCCCCTTTTTTTCCCTGGGCGCCTTACACGAGGGGCACGCCCCCCCTTTTTTCCCGTCCCAGCACATGCCCGAGTACCCTTTGGTGCCGCAACCCCCAACGTACGGGCCAGGGCGAGAGCTGGACCCTGGGCCACGTCACCACAGCCTCATACTTGCTTACAACGTCACAGATGTGCTTATAATGGGTCAGTGTTCGCCTTGTTCTTAACTCTTGTACTCTCGCCACCTAGGCTTGTGCCTGACTAAGAAAGTAAGTACGGTTTGACATCGTCACTTTGTATCGCCGCTATCTCGAGTTTTGAGACGTCTCGAAACTCACCATCTAGGCTTGCGCCTGCCAAATATAGTAAGTATGGTTTGTCATCATCGCTTGTATGTATTGCCTCCATCTCGACCTCTCCTCTTGTCTTCTACAGGAGAGAATGGGACGATTGATGGCAACGGGAGGCTGTGGTGGTAAGCCATGGAGAGGAAGAGCCTTCACCACATGCCTGAGTCGACTCAAAAGCTGCCTGTTCTCGGCCTCTCATCGTTTCATGTGACAGGAGAGAATGGGACGATTGACGGCAATGGGAGGCCGTGGTGGGAAGCGATGGAGAGGAAGAGCTTGCACCACATGCGACCCCACGTGATAGAGATCCAGAGCAGCTGCCACGTGGCAGTGTCCCATTTGACGCTGGTCAACGCGCCCTTCTGGTTCATCCGCCCCCTTTACTCCTCCCACCTCTCCTTCCGCCATCTCACCATCTCTTGCCCCAGCAATGTTAGGCAGACAGACGGCATTGACCCTGGTGAGAGACTCTTCTCTCACCTGCCACGTAACCTGTGCTAATAGAAAACTGCCATGTCAGCATGTGCTTAGAGATCTGCCACGTCAGCATGTCCTTACAGAGAACCGACACACCAGCAGGGGAGTAGGTGCGGCAGGTTTTCTCCAATTTTGAGATGTCTCAAAACTGGAGAAGGCTATGAGACGTCTCAAAAAAACGTCACATCTTTCTTTGTCTCGCACACCCTATTCCCCCCTCCCATTTGTCCAGACTCCAGTACGCACGTGCTTATAGAGGACTGCCACGTCAGCACGGGGGATGACGCCGTGGCAATAAAGAGCGGATGGGACCAGTACGGGTACAACGCCCACCCCCCTGCACCCTCTGCCGATATCACAGTGCGCCGAGTCACCGTGCAGGTGAGTGCTGTGCAGTGCTGCTCTCTCTCCTCTTCCCCCCGTCCCTCTCTGTCTCCTCCTGTCACTCCCCTGCACCCTCTGTTGACATCACAGTGTGGCGAGTCACCGTGCAGGTGTGTGCAGTGCTGCTCTCTCTCCGCTTCCCCCTGTCTCTCTCTGTCTCCTCCTGCGCCTACTGCACCCTCTGCTGACACCACAGTGCACCGAGTCACCGTTCAGGTGGGTGCAGTGCTCCCCCCCTTGTCTCTCTCTGCCTCCTCCTGTCTCCTCCTGCGCCTACTGCACCCTCTGCTGACATCACAGTGCGCCGAGTCACTGTGCAGGTGGGTGGTGCTGCGCTTTCTCCCTCTCCCTCTGCTCCTCCTCTACCTCTTTCCCTGTACATAGTTCACTGATTCCAGCCTAAGTTTTTTGAGAATTTTCAAAAAACATAACATGGTTTATCTAATGGTGGTTTTTGAGGCACCTCAAAAAAAGAATTCTAAAAAAACATAAGATGGTTTTTCTAATGGTGGTTCCAATGCCCATTGGTACAATGCCCACCCTTGCCCCCTCAGCTGGCGAGAGTGTGAAGGTGGGCGGGGATTGTCGTCAGTAAGCGCCCTTCTTTGCACCTCCGGCAAGAAGTGGTTGCACGGGCTTATCGATTCGCAGCGAGAGATGAGTGGAGGCGCGCAACGATTGATAGAACTCTGGATTGACACCTACACGCTTCATGTGTGAGCAGGTGTTCCCTGGCAGTGGCGGCGTGGGCCTCTCGATCGGCAGCGAGATGAGTGGCGGCGTGCAGAGAGTGATACAACTCTGGAACATTGATTTGAGTGCTTCTTCTTCCCCCCACTCACGCGCACACACAAATGAACAGGTGCCACCTGGCAGTGGCGGCGTGGGCCTATCAATCGGCAGTGAGATGAGTGGCGGCGTGGAGAGAGTCATATTCGAGGACTGCCGTGTCCTTGGTGCTGACGTGGGCATCAGAATCAAATCCGCTGCCGGCCGAGGCGGGTTCGTTAAGAAGTGAGACTCCCTGCATGGTTGTTAGGGGGGGAGAGTGGGGGGGGGGGGGGGGGGGGACCATTCCTTCGTGTTTGCAACTTCCATCCCCTGTTCTATTCTATCCTCCCTCCCCTCAACCTTTCCTTGTGCCACCCGCCCTTCTCTCACCCACCCCCTTGCTTACCGTCTACAGTGTTTCATTCATTCACACTTATGTACAGGATGTGAAAATCGCGTTCACCATCACCCCTCTTGCTCTGTGGCATCCCTGCTCTCTCTGCCCTTTGTGCCACCCGCCCCCTTTTTTTGAGTCGACTCAAAAATAGACCCTTTGTGCCACCCGCCCCCTTGCTTCCCGTCACAATTTTTAACTCGTTCGCACCTGCGTACAGGATGTGAGAGTAGCCTTTACCATCACCTCTTTCCCTCTCCCAATCCCTTGTGCCCACCCTCCATCCCGTTGGCTGCGTTTCATTCATTTGCACTTATGTACAAGATGTCAAAGCAGCTTTCACCATCACCTCCCTGTTGCCATGTGGCATCCCTGCTCTCTCTGCCCTTCTCTCTCTCTACCCTTCGTGCCACCCGCCCCCTTGCATCCCCTCTACAGTGTTTCATTCGTTCGCACTTATGTACAGGATGTGAAAGTAGCTTTCACCATCACCTCGTTCTTTGGTCACGGGGATCCCCCGGGGTTCTACCCTCATGCACTGCCAATTATCCAAGACATTACTGTAGATGGGCTTACAGGAGATAATATCGATCGGGTTGTGAAGATAGAAGGGTCGCAAGAGCAACCTATAAAGGGGGTGACTGTATCGAATGTGGATGTGAAGTTGAGTGAGAAAGCACGGCCGGGGAAGGCATGGCGGTGTAGTGGTGTCGAGGGGGGTCGGGTATCAAATGTTTCGGGGAGTTCGCCCAATAAAAAGCAGTGTACTGGGATGTCGTGGGACACGCCTCCATAGAATGACATTTGATTCACCAATAGCATACCATGGTGGTGAGTGCAGAGAAAGCGTTCAAATCAAAAACAGTACACATGAAGTGACGCCCACTTGATTTTAGAATGATTGGGAGGTGTATGCCAGAAAAAAGTGTTACAGCATTCTCCGCCAGATCGCCAAAAAAATTTGGACCATTTCTCGATTTGTGCGTGTCATCCTTGCGCAGGGGCCATGCTAATCTTCTCTGTATCGTTCCAATTTTAACGGATGTCCCGAAGGACGATGTAATCGTTCCACCGTTTAGTTTTTGAAGAATTAGGTTTTGCAAATTATTACGTTGTGGGCCTCATGGGCTTCAGTCTCTGTAGAAACAAACCAACCCCAAGACCGACAAGGATGCAGTTCGCTGGATCTTAGTATTCGTCAGTTCGAACTTGGAGCATTCTCTTCCTTCCATCATCCATCTAATGGTCTGCCACCCAGGCAACAACTCCACTTTCGCACTCCCGCATCTACGTACCATTTTCAATTCGTATCCTACCTTCTGAGGCACATCGACTTATCAATTCGTCACGCCTTTAGCGACTCGTCGAGCTGTTACATTCGTAACATCAAATTGCATCTCGCGTATTGTAATCCGTGGTGGCTAAAGCGTCGCCTATAAGCGTCAGCAGCAGCAGCAGCAGTCCAGCAGCTTCCGTACAACAATAACAACAATAGCAATTAAGGACTCCTTAAGTAGGGAAAGGTTTTGCAGCGCGTATATCGCTTTTAAACTTAGGCGTTGTTGCAAATACAGAACACGCAAGAGAACGAGCAGCAGCAACAATCTTTGCAGATTTGAGACGCTTCAAAGCGGCACGAGCGGGACTATGCCGTGACAGCTGATGTTTGGAGACTACTCCATGTAAGGCAACATTGGTGAAGTAAGATACTAGCAGCGGCGTAAGAAGGGAGGGCAACTCTTGCAGATACGGTGCTAGGGTAAGGGCTATGACGCTGCTAGAGTGCACAAGGCCATGCTAAGTAACAATCTGCCGTACAGCAGATACCTCACAGCGTGAAGCCCCACACTTGCCTTGTGTCATACTCCTCTTCAGCACCTTTTGGGTTCGCCCTAAATCTGAGAAAACGGACAAGCGGTAAGTACTGTAGGTTGAATCTGTTTTGGGGAGAATGAAAGGGCCATTGCACGTGAACACGTGTAGGTGCAGTGATGAATGGGGCTGATGGTGACTTGGCTGATGTCCAACGCTGCTTGCCCTTGCCCTTGCGGATCTGAGCACAGAGAGAGGCGGGAGGGTCGAGACAGGTGGAGAGAGGTGGAGACAGGTACTACGGAAACAAGTTTGCAAAAAGTGGTGCCGAGTGCATGTATCAGGCCAGACAGTACACTTGGGAGTGTGTCTCAGTGTAGTGCATGTGGTGCGGACAGAGCAGCCACGGCGAGCGGAACGTGCACTACGGACAGCATGAGCAATGCAGAGCAGACAGTGCAATGACTCACCTCCCGTGTGAGGTCTTGGCCACTCTCTTCACAGATATGCAGCATGCTCTCCGTTGGCTGACATGCAGGGGGGGATAGGAAGGTGGGACAGGAGAGAGGATGGGACAGGCAAGGGAGGGGAACAGGACTGAACCAGTATTGGGAGCTGGACAAGGGGAAGGGGATGGGGCGGATGAGGGGGTGGGAGGGGAAAAAGGGGGAGAGGGAATGGGTGAGAGGGGAGACGGGGGTGGGGGAGGGTAACGTTTTGGGTGACCGGGCTGAAGGATTAAGTCTCTTGGGTGTTTCACAACGCCTGCTCGCAGCAACCCCTGGCAAGTGGAACTAGTTGGGGGAGAAGGGCAGAAGTGATGTGTTACCTGATGAAATTGAGGGGAGGGGGGGCAGGAATAACCTGCTCAGCTTAGTCCAAAAGTGAAGGGGGACGTGGTACCAGATGGACTGAGCGAGAGCAGTGGTGTTGCCGTAGGCGGATACTTAGAACACGGCCACTGTGGCCTCAATCTCCAGCTGCTTGATCTTCTTGCACCTCCCGGAAGGGTGGATGATAGGGAGGGCGGATGAGGGGGAGGGCGGAAGAAGGGGAGAGCGGACGAGAGGAAGGGAGGACGAGAGGAAGGGCGGATGAGAGGAAAGGAGGATGAGAGGAAAGGAGGATGAGAGGAAGGGGGGATGAGAGGGAAGGGAGGAGGAGAGGAAGGGAGGATGAGAGAAAGGGAGGATGAGGAGAGAGGGGATGAGAGGAAGGGCGGATGAGAGGAAGGGAGGACGAGAGGAAGAGGGGATGAGAGGAAGGGTGGACGAGAGGAAGGGAGAATGAGAGGAGGGGAGGATGAGAGGAAGGGCGGATGAGAGGAAGGGAGGATGGGAGGAAGGGTGGACGAGAGGAAGGTTGGATGAGAGGAAGGGCGGATGAGGGGGTGGGAGGACGAGAAGACGGGTGGACAAGAGGAAGGGTGGATGATAGGGAGGGCGGATGAGGGGGAGGGCGGAAGAAGGGGAGAGCGGACGAGAGGAAGGGAGGACGAGAGGAAGGGCGGATGAGAGGAAAGGAGGATGAGAGGAAAGGAGGATGAGAGGAAGGGGGGATGAGAGGGAAGGAGGACGAGAGGAAGGGGGGATGAGAGGGAAGGAGGACGAGAGGAAGGGGGGATGAGAGGAATGGAAGAGGAGAGGAAGGGAGGATGAGAGAAAGGGAGAATGAGAAGAAGGGCGGATGAGAGAGAAGGGCGGATGAGAAAAAGGGCGGATGGGAGGAAGGGCGGATGAGAGGAAGGGTGGATGAGAGGAAGGGTGGATGAGAGGAAAGGAGGATGAGAGGAAAGGATGATGAGAGGAGGGGGGGATGAGAGGAAGGGAGGACGAGGGGAACAGAGGATGAGATGAAGGGCGGTTGTGGGGGAGGGCGGATGATGGGGAGGGAGGACGAGAAGAAGGGTGGATGAGAGAAAGGAGGATGAGAGGGACAGACGATGAGAAGGAGAGAGGATGAGAGCGTGAAGGGCGGATGAGAGGAAGGGCGGATGAGAGGAAAGGAGGATGAGAGGAAAGGAGGATGAGAGGAAGGGGGGATGAGAGGAATGGAAGGGGAGCGGAAGGGAGCGTGAGAGAAAGGGAGTATGAGAGAAAGGGAGAATGAGAAGGAGAGAGGATGAAAGAGAAGGGCGGATGAGAGGAAGGGCGGATGAGAGGAAGGGCGGATGAGAGGAAGGGTGGATGAGAGGAAAGGAGGATGAGAGGAGGGGGGGATGAGAGGAAGGGAGGACGAGGGGAACAGAGGATGAGATGAAGGGCGGTTGTGGGGAAGGGAGGATGAGATGAAGGGCGGATGAGGGGGGTGGCGGATGAGATGGAGGGAGGATCTGAAGAAGGGTGGATGAGAGAAAGGAGGATGAGAGGGAGAGACGATGAGGAGGAGAGAGGATGAGAGCGTGAAGGGCGGATGAGAGGAAGGGCGGATGAGAGGAAAGGAGGATGGGAGGAAAGGTTGGATGAGAGGAAGGGGGGACGAGTGGAATGGCAGGGCAGAGGAAGGGAGGATGAGAGAAAGGGAGTATGAGAGAATGGGAGAATGAGAAGGAGAGAGGAGGAAAGAGAAGGGCGGATGAGAGGAAGGGCGGATGAGAGGAAGGGCGGATGAGAGGAAGGGTGGATGAGAGGAAAGGAGGATGAGAGGAGGGGGGGATGAGAGGAAGGGAGGACGAGGGGAACAGAGGATGAGATGAAGGGCGGTTGTGGGGAAGGGAGGATGAGATGAAGGGCGGATGAGGGGGGTGGCGGATGAGATGGAGGGAGGATCTGAAGAAGGGTGGATGAGAGAAAGGAGGATGAGAGGGAGAGACGATGAGGAGGAGAGAGGATGAGAGCGTGAAGGGCGGATGAGAGGAAGGGCGGATGAGAGGAAAGGAGGATGGGAGGAAAGGTTGGATGAGAGGAAGGGGGGACGAGTGGAATGGAAGGGGAGAGGAAGGGAGGATGAGAGAAAGGGAGTATGAGAGAATGGGAGAATGAGAAGGAGAGAGGATGAGAGAGAAGGGCGGATGAGAGGAAGGGCGGATGTGGGGATGGGAGGATGACAGGAAAGGAGGATGAGAGGAAAGGAGGATGAGAGGAGGGGAGGACGAGGGGAACAGAGGATGAGATGAAGGGCGGATGTGGGGAAGGGAGGATGAGATGAAGGGCGGATGAGGGGAATGGAGGATGAGATGAAGGGCGGATGAGGGGGAGGGCGGATGAGGGGGAGGGAGGACGCGAAGAAGGGTGGACGAGGGTAAGGAGGATGAGAGGGAGAGACGATGAGAAGGAGAGAGGATGAGAGCGTGAAGGGCGGATGAGAGGAAGGGCGGATGAGAGGAAAGGAGGATGAGAGGAAAGGAGGATGAGAGGAAGGGGGGATGAGAGGAAGGTTGGATGAGAGAAGGGAGGATGAGATGAAGGGCGGTTGAGGGGGAGGGCGGATGAGGGGGAGGGAGGACGAGAAGAAGGGTGGATGAGAGGGAGGGCGGACGAGGGGGAGGGCGGATGAGGGGGAGGGCGGATGAGGGCGTGTGGCGAAAGAAGGGTAGGGAGGACGAGTGGAAATGAGGACGATAGGAGGGGCGGAGAGAGGGAGAGAGGATGTGAGAGAAGGGCGGACGAGAGGAAGGGCGGATGAGAGGAAGGGAGGATGAAGGGAATTTTGAGCGACAGGTAGCGAAATGTGGGCGACGGGGAGGGAAACGAGGGCGACGAGAGGGGAAATGAGGGCGACGGGAAGGGAAATGTGGGCGATGAGAGGGGAAATGAGGGCGACGGGAAGGGAAATGTGGGCGACGAGAGGGGAAATGAGGGCGACGAGAGGGGAAACGAGGGCGACGGGAAGGGAAATGTGGGCGACGGGGAGGGAAATGAGTGCGACGGGAAGGGAAATTAGTGCGACGGGAAGGGACACGAGGGCGACGGGGTGGGAAATGAGTGCGACGGTAAGGGAAATTAGTGCGACGGGAAGGGTAATGAGGGCGACGGGAAGGGAAACGAGGGCGACGGCAAGGGAAGTGAGTGCGACGGGAAGGGAAATGGGGCGACGGGAAGGGATTTGTGGGCGACGGGTCCGGTAATGTGGGTTCTCGGGAAGGGAATTGAGGGCGACCGGACTCGGGAAGTGTGGGCGACTCGAAATATGGGATACGAGGGCGACGGGACGCGAAATGGGGGCGACGGGAAGCTGAAATGTGGGCGACGGGAAGCTGAAAATGAGGGCGACGGGGGGCTGAGATGAGCCCGACGGGAGGCTTCTCACCATGCGCTATGTGAAAGGCAGGCGCTCGCAATCGGCGGGGAGGGGACTTTCCCGGGCAGGGCGGGAGGCTTGATGCTGAGAGCGCCTCGAGCGCGTGGGAGTCTAAGCTGCACCGACGGGTGGCGTAACAAGGCTATGTGGGGCAGACCGATGGATATGTCCGCCCTGTTCCCTATGTGTTGAGGGCGTTGTCGAGGGCGCTTGTTTTAGCCTACACTTTTCGAGTACCGCTGAAAATCGCTAGGTCAGGCCTTGATGTGTTAGGCTAACTCACGTGCGACCTTGCGTTTAGTAACGCCATTGCCCTCCACACCCTAAAAATCGCACTTTTCCGGTACAGTCATTGCGGACATTCGCTCCCAACGGCTCCTCCTCGTATTTATAGAGGCTAAGGTCGCGCCTCGCTGAAGGGGACTTAGGACTTGTTATGTTTGTTCGAGTGCCTGTAATTCCCTTTTCAAACTGTGCACACTTTCCCTGGGATGTTGCTTCTCAGGTCTGTCGAACTTGGGAAGATGGGCCCTGCCTGATTTTTCCAACCAATCAGCAAGTGCACAGTTTGTGGCGAACTGTATTCAGTCGCAAGCTGGTTTTGGTTTTTCGCGTGTCACTCAACCCATCCGAACCTCCAACTGGCAGCCCGCCGAACCTAGAAATACTCAGTTGACTGCCGTTGAGTAATTCAGGTCTTGGGCTTTAACAAAACTTCTGCACACCAGTGATTTGGCCAGTGCTGCACAGCACAGCACACGCCCCCCCCCCCCTCCCTCCATCCACCCCTTCTATCCTGTTCCACCCTCACAGCCCTCCCTGTTACCAAGTCTTTCATTCGTTACCCCTAGCAGCCCTTTCAACTGGAAGGATGAACAGAAACAGGTTACCCTAGCGGCTTACAAGTCAAGAATGGGGATAGCCTTGCCTTGTTCGCAAGCCATTTGAGCTGTCTTATTCTCACTCACTTCACTACCCCTTTCAATACCCCCTTCTATCTGCTTCTACTCCCAGATATATGCCTTGAAAAGGCATGTCATGTCATGTCGTCTGGGTTTTGGAAATGGTCTTCAACGCCCCTTAGATCATCTACTACACCTTTGGGAAAATCTCCTGCTTTGCCCCTAAAAATAAATATATTTCACTACTCGACAAAGAACTTCTATGCTTCTTGGAAGATTTTCCCCAAGCGCATGATGCCGCTGGCCCTCTTCTTCCTGTCCTCCTTAGACACAGTCTTGTCTTTCACTACAAGCTCCACGACGTGACGCAGTGTACTCTCTATGTCCAGCACGCTTATCTGTTGCAGGTGGGAAAATGGAAACGAGGAATTGGGAAGGGAGGGGCCGTGCAAAGAAAGCAGGGGATAGAAAATGAGCAATGAAGTGAGGGAGCAAGGGATTGAGCGAGGAAGTAAGGGAGGGAGGGAGTGTGGGAGTGAGAGAGGGAGCAAGGGAGTGAGTGAGGGAGAGGGAAATGCTAAATACAAGAAATGCAGAAATGGTGGCACAACAGAAACCAGGTAATGCAAAGCTGCACACGTGATTTGTTGTGAGCGGAACTGGTATGTCGAGTCAACTGGTAGAATGTGGCTATAACGAAAGAGGTTGTCGAACCAAACCAAACCAGGTACGGGCATGCTCACATACCGGTTCGGGTATGCAAAGGGAATGCACGCACTGAGGTAGACGAAAGGGAAAGCACTGAGCTAGCCCAAGGGGGGGCATGCACTGACCATTCAGGCATGTCAAGGATTTGCACTGACCATCCAGACGGAGTTGAGGAACTCGGCCATGTTGGGCTGCTCGCTGGGCGGCTTGCTCGGGTCCACCGTGACCTGCATCTCCGCTAGCCTGTTTTTGTGGGGAGAAGGGCAATGAAGGGAGCACAGAGAAGCATAGGGCATCACGGAGAAATATTGGTTGCTGCTCGCTGGGCGGCTTGCTCGGGTCCACGGTGACCTGCATCTCCGCTAGCCTGTTGCGGGGGGAAAAGGGGGGGGGGGGGGGGGGGTTGGGGTGGAAAAGGCACGGGGAAGCATGGATAAGCACAGAGGAGCACGGAGATGCGATGAATGCTGCTTGCTGGTGGGATTGCCGGGGTCCACCGTAACCGACACCTCCGCTAGCCTGGTGGGGGAAGGGGGATGGAGGGAAGTGATGGGGGATTGGTGGGAATCACAGGCCGCGTGCCAAGGGACTTATGGGGAAACTTGGCTTAGCGAGATATAGAGCGGGGCGGCCGGGATTTAGGGGTGAAGCATGGAGAAATATTGGAAGCTGCTTGCTGGAGGAATTCTCTGGGTCATTCTCCGACGTTTCAGAAGGCCTCTGGGGTGAGACGGGAATTTGTGATTTTGAAAAGGGAAATGTTGAAGGGTTATGGGTAGTTAAACTGCTTGGGAATACCCACTAATAGGGGGTATATCGGCACGAGTGTAGAATGCATTATATCGGCACGAGTGTAGAACTTATGATGTTCGTGGCTTAGGGATTGTCCGGACACCTGTTCTGAAAAGTCGCACTCACTTGAACGCAGCGCCGATGGCGTTGTTTCGAGTCTTCATCGCGTGCCCAGACTCCTTGACCGCGTTCACGAAGTTCGGAATGCCCAGCATCACCGTCATGCCCAGCAGCACTTGCGCGCGCGTGTAGTAGGTGTACCTGGACCGGGGAAAGTTTTTTTTGTTGGGGGGGGAAGGAAGGGGAGAGGCGTGGGTCGGGGAAAGTGTGCGGTTGGGGCAGCAGTGAGGATGTGGAAAGATCTTGGAACTACGCTTCATTTCTTTTTTTTCTTCCATTCACTTTTTCTTTCAGGTAGCCGTAAAAAAAGACAGCTGCCCGCGGACGGAATTGTCTCAAGTTTGTGACGAAACGAAACGTGACACGAGGTGTGAAGGGCTAACTCGGCGACACAAGTGGAGGTAGATTACGTGTCACACGGCCACACCCGACGCTGCCCCAAAACACCACATACGCGATTCAGGCTGAAAAGCACCACATACCCGATACACTGCAGGAACGCGACGCCAAACGCCTCGCCCTTGAGCTCCTCCACCTGCGCGACGGCGTCGCGCACAAACCCCTCCTCGTCGCCCGCCATCCACGGCTCCAACCGCTTCACCAGAATCGCCGCGAGTTCCTTTTCCCTCCGCACCTGCCACTTCTTCACCTCCTCCACCGTCAGATTCCCCGCCGCAGTGTACGCGATAGTGAGCTCCCCGACAAGCGGCTTGAACTTATCCGCGCCGAAGGACATGGTGAAGAAATAGCCGGGATCCATGAAGGTATCATCGAGCGCGGCCCGGCCGAAGCGGTCGTATTTCTCGCGCTTGGCGGGGTCCATGAGGACTTGGTACGCCTCGCCGACTGCTTGGAACTTGGCCTTGGCGGTTTCGTCGTCGGGGACCTTGTCGGGATGGCACGTACGCGCTAGCTGCGGACGCGATAGGAGCGTGAGAGACAGAGGGGGTACAGTGCGTGGAAACGCGGAGAAGGCAAAGGGTGGAGGAAGGGAATGAATGTTGTCCTAACGTTCGGTATCAACACGCATCGCGGTTCGGCAGCGCTTTTTGAGGCGTAAAAAGTGGTTTATTTCCGTCTTAATTCGTTTATTTGCCTTTTTGACAAGATTAGTACTTTCACCACGCACCTTGTAGTACGCCTTCTTGATCTCCACAGAAGTCGCATCAGTCGACACCTCCAGAACCATATACAGCTCCTCCTCCTTAACCTCCCGCTTCTCCCGCTTCTCCGCTGGCGCCGCCGCGGCTTCCGCGGGCTTCGCGGTTTCCTCTTCGAGCGCGATCTTCTCGACAGTTTCGCGCTCAACCGAGTACGTCTCCTCGTTAAGCTTATCCGCGTCGGCATCGTCCACCACCTCCGCTTTCTCCGCCTCCTCCTCGCACTTATCCTTCTTCATCATCTCCCGAATCGCGTCGGGCGTGTTCTTAATCCCCTCTCCCAGCTGCCTCGCGCCTTGCACGATTCCAACGGTCGGCAAAACGACAAAACCCGCAACCCCCGCGATGGTTCCTTTGATCAGCCCGACGCCGCCTTGCTGCACCAGCCCCGCTACCGGCGCCACGATGAGTCCTCCGACGCCGGCGAACACGCCCTTACCAACGGACATCAGTCCCTTGCCGAGGCCTTCGCGAAGGTTCTTCGCGTTGCGGTCGCCGTACAGCTGGTCGATTTTCTCCTGAACCTCCGGGAGCGTCATCGGCTGAATGCCGCCCATAGTAGGAGGAGGCGGCTCGGACGCCATAGCTTTTGCTGCAACGGAGTGGTAAGGTGCAAGCTAGCGCTGGAGTTAGGAGGAATGAGGAAGAGCGGGAATCAAGGACATGGAAAATTGGGATGGCAAAGGAATGTAGGGAGGGAGAAACAAGAGCAGCAGGGGATGCTGCTTTGTAAATTGGGCAATTTTTTCCCTTGGCAGACTCTGTAGAGGTTCCACACGGTATAGAAAATTTGTAAAGGTTTCTAGCTGTTTCAGTACGGTGACCGTTCCAACAGTTTAATCGAACGCCTGATGACATGACACGCCACCCCTCTTGATTCCAGTGACCAATCCCGACACAATTCTCGATTCGTGTACTACACAAGATGCTCAACCCCTGCGCGCGAAATTGCCCTGCCCAAAAAAGAAAGTCTGCCCCCGTGTTTTTTTCCCCGGGCAGTTGCACCCTGTTTATAAGCGCATGGGCCACTTGTATGTGGGTGGCCAGAAGACAAAAATTACACATGTGCTTAATGACAAGAGACGTCGCCCCTGGGTATTCCTGTTTTGAGGCCAGAGACAGACTTCGCGAAAAATGTGGCGGAGTGAGTTTGGACGTCGCGCACAATTTCGCCCATGACTGTACGCCACGTCGATGCGGCTCATCGTGCACCTGCTCGTACCCAATTCGCCCTAGCACCGCCACGTGTACATTGCCGAGGTTGGATAGAAGCCCAACAGTGTCCACAAAGTGCAGTTATGCACACGTCACCCGCTGTGGTTACTGATACATGTGCGAGTAACAAACACGATTCCGGTAATATTCACTCCGCTAAAAAGTGCTACATGCCCAAATGTGGCAACATTCACTCGACTGAATGTTGCCCCATCCCCCTACGGCGCCGCGAAGAAACACACTCGACATTGAGTTAGCCAAGCACTGGCACTTGGGCATAAATTGGCACGCAAATTAGGCCAACACACAGACTTACTCACCAGTTTAGCCACCAACATGCCTCGCCTGTTTCGCCGCTCTCAGGTTCCCGTGCACATTAAGAGGGCAATCTGTGCCCATCATGTCAATAACCCCCGCATGCGCCAGGTCGACCTGGCGCGCTGGTGCTTTACCCGTTTCGGCGTCCGCCCTGATCGCTCGACCATTGGTCGCGTGCTCAAAGGAGCCGACCGTTGGAGCGCCGTCTCCAACGACGACAACCCCGTCCGCGTGCGTGGCGGCGCATATCCGCAGCTTGAGCAGGCTATGGTGCGCTGGATTCGCAACGCCGGGCCCGCGGGTGTGCCGCTCACCTTTATTACTATCCGCGACCACGTTGCGACCATGGCACGCGGAATGGACCTACCGCCTACCTTCCGCTGCTCCGTGGGGTGGGTTCGCCGTGCCTTGCGCCGCAACGGCATTCGGTGCCGCAGCGCAGTTGGGGAGGCCGCCGACCAGGACCACGCCGCGGTCCGTACCTGCCAGGAGCAGCTCCCGCAGCTCCTGATGTATCTCTCCCTCCGTCCGCGCGACGTCTACAATTTCGACGAGACGGCTCTGTTTCTTTCGGTCTTGCCGCGCAAGACGTACGGCGGGTCGCGCGTGCCGGGGCGTAAGCTGGCGAAGGAGCGCCTCACGGTCGGGTTGCTCGTTAACGCGGACGGCAGTCACGCGTTCCGGCCTTTGATCATCTCCAAGTCCAAGCGCCCTCGCGACTTTCTGCCCGACTACGACCCGGAGGAATTGTGCTACTGGCGTCACAACAAGAAGGGCTGGATGAATGCGGCGGTAAGCAAACAAGGATACGATCACCTACCGGACTGGTTGATGCGTTTGTTCTATGCTTGCGGTGAGCTCGTCCCTTGTGAACCATGTTACAACTTGTCATCGATGCTCACAACTGTTTTCCGGTGTCTTTCCCATCATGCGCAGTTGTTCACTCACTTCATCGGCCAACTCAACGCCGCCATGGTCGCCGAGGACCGCCAGATCGCCATCCTCTTGGACAACGCAAGCAGCCACGTGCTGAAGGACGACGATGCCACGTCGGAAGACCTTTTCGGCTTCCGCACTCGCATCATGGGCAACATCCGGCTTGTCTTCCTGCCGCCCAACACTACCGCCTTCACGCAGCCGCTCGATCAGGGTCTGATCGCCACGACGAAGGCACGCTACCGTCAGCACTGGCTTCGCGCGGTCACGGCCCTGTGGCAGGATGCTGGCGCCTTTCCCGTGATGGCGCGTTACCGCCCCAACATGCGCGATGTCATCGCATGGCTCTCGGAGTCATGGATGAACATCCCCGTGCGTACGATTCAGAGGTGCTGGTGGCGCACGGGGTGCTTGCCACGCTCGTGGGCCATGGACCTGGCGCATGTTGGCCTGGACGGTCTCGCCGCGGTCGGCAACGGCGTCAATGCCGCTCTCCCCATTGACCTCGACGAGGACATCGGGGATGTCGGCATCATGATCGCCCGTCTTGGCCTCGGGTCTAGCGCCATGCCGACCGCCGCCTTCGTCGCCATCGACGACGACCAGCCCACGTGCGCCGAGCCGGGCGAGGACCCGCTCGCCCTTGAGCCGCCGACGGGGTATTCGGGCGCGTCATGGGAGGCTCCATCCAACATGCAGGCCGTCTACGACGACGACAACCCAGAGAGCCGCGAGGCGCGGCGTTACGCACGTGCGGCGAGCGAGATGCTCATCGGTTACGCACGTGCCACCGGCATCACGCCGCGCAACCTTTGCGCGCTGTTCGAGATTAAGAACCCGGTCATCGTCGACCGCATGGAGCGGGCTAGCCCCCCAATGAACCTGAACACTGCGCCGATGCCCGATCCCCTACATGCCGCGTCCCCCGCGTCCACTCCCACGCAGGCTCCTGCCGCGACCGAAGACGCGGCCACCCCTCGCCGCCGCGGGCGCGTTCTGCCTGCGTGGATGTATGCACCTGCTCCCACCCGCCAGCAGCTTATTGACTCTGGCGTGAGTGCCGTCATGAACGGCTATGTGGATGCGGCTGAGTGGATGACCCTGTGAAGGGTGAAGCGAATTTTCGCTTCGAGGAGTTGGAATCTCCTCTGTGCACATTTGTGCACATCTTGTGCACAAATGTGAACTGTGTCTAGCCCCGTTACACACTTCATTTGCGCAGATGTGAGTCTGGTATTGGCCGAACTGTGGTGGTTGCATGTTCGTGCCTGTTTGTGTGTAATTCTGTAATCGGGAGCTACGAAAATGGGAAAATGTGGTGGTAACGCTGGCAACACACAACAAACAACCACAGCCACCCAGCAATGATTTTCTTTAACTTACCCGAGAAGTTACACGTTCTAGTTAAACGCCCACCATGCCCGTGGCGACATGCACGAAATCACGCGAATTGTCAGAAACACTTACAGACCCTCATGGTAAGGCAAGTATGGGGGACTCAAACGCGCAACAGGTGTACTCTTGGTGTTACTGTTCCCCCCGACCGCCTCAAACAAAACGCGAAACAGTGACACCAGAAATCACGGGCAACTGACACCAGCGCGTTGACGTCGTCGCGATTTTGTGGCACACGTTACCAGTGCCTTGTCGTCACCCTACGTAGATCCTTTTCTACATGACGAATAAAACGTATATCATCAGCAAGGAAGTGCAAGTGCTCATAAGCATTGAATTGAGTTTGCTTTCATTGGTATATTTAGCACAATTGATAAAACATCAAGGGCGCATCAAGATTTGCCCAAAAACTCCAGCACTGGCAGCCTTGACACCAAACTTTTCTTTCATGCTTACGACCTGATTCTCCCCCTAGGGGCATGTTCCTACGCCTCTTACCCCCGTCATTTCTTTCATACGTTCTTTGAAGACCTGCGTCTTGAAGCATCCATTCAATTTATTTCTTGCTCTGCCCCTAGACTTTTTGTTGTTGTTGAAGCTCGTGGCAATGACTATGCTTCTTGGAAGATTTTCCCCAAGCGCATGATTCCACTGGCCCTCTTCTTCCTGTCCTCCTTAGAAGCAGTCTTGTCTTTCACTACGAGCTCCACCACGTGACGCAGTGTACTTTCTATGTCCAGCACGCTAATCTGTTGCAGTAGAAAAAAAAGGGGGGGGGGGGGGGGGGAGGGGGAGGGGGGGGCAGGGTGTAGGGGAGGGAGAGCAAGAGAAAACAGATAAGCAAGGTGAAGGAGCGAGCGCAGGGGCCGATGAGGGAGCGATTGAGAGAGCGAGGGAGCCCCAATTTTACATGTAGCCCGAAATCAACTTACGCAGTTCCTCTGGCACCAATAACGAACAGGAATTCTAAATTCTTTGAGATAGAAGCACACCTTAAAGCTTTCGTATACATTTGACAGAAGGGGTTCAAAAACTTTTGAAATTTGAAAGTTTGCCTGTGAGACCGTGAGGTGACTTTCTAAACCCAAAACCTGGATGACAAATGTATACTTCAGCTTTGTGTGCGGGAGGACTCAGTCAGTTAGAACAGAAGAAAGTATAACAGCCACTCACTGTCCGACAGAGAGTCTGTTGGTGTCTTGGGATATGATCTAAGTTAGATTTAGATACGTCTAAAAAACTCAGTCGTCTGGAACAAAAGAAATTACAAAAGCCACTCACCGTCGACACAGAGCTTTCCGTTTGGTGTCTTGGAATGTTCTTTTGCCACGTAAAATGTTCCAGAAGCATATATGACATCTCTAGTTGTTTTAGGTGTTTTAAATGCTTTAGCTGTACAGGCCCACATTGATCTTAGGTGCACTGACCATCCAACCCAGGGAAAAGGGAATGCAGTGGCAATCGATCCATCCATCCACCAAGACGATTAAGTTGAACAAAAAAAAAGAAAGGAAGAGAAAAGAACTTACCGTTCAGGAATGTGAAGGGGAGGCACTGACCATCCATCCATCCAGAAAGAAAAATAATAATGATTAGGAAAAAAAAAATGCACTGACCATCCAGACGGAGTTGAGGAACTCGGCCATGTTGGGCTGCTCGCTGGGTGGCTTGGTGGGGTCCACCGTGACCTGCATGTCCGCCAGCCTGGTGTGGGGGGAAGGGATGGAGGGAGGTGTTGGGGGGAAAGCACGGAGAGGCAATGAATGCTGCTGGCTAGGGGCCTTGCTGGGGTCCACCGTGACCTGCATGTCCGCAAGCGTGGTGGAGGGACAGGGGGATAGAGGGAGGTGATGTGGCGGGAAGCACGGAGAGGCAATGAATGCTGCTCGCTAGGGGCCTTGCTGGGGTCCACCGTGACCTGCATGTCCACTAGCCTGGTGGAGGGACAGGGAGATAAGAGGGAGCATGGAGAGACCCGGTGAATGACTGGAGGGGAAGCATGGAGAAGCATTGTAAGACCTTTGTTTGGGAACTCGCTGGGAGGCTCGATAAGGGGCTCGTTGGGAGGCTTGCTGGGGTCCACCGTGACCTGCATTTTTGCTAGCCTGTTGGGGCAAGGGAGATGGACGGAGGATTCGGGGAAACTTGGTGAGAGAGGGAGGGAGCGAGGTGATCGGGAGGGGGGCGGGGGGGCGCAGTGATGACATTCTGCCTGCGAAGCATCGAAAGAAGAAAGAGGTTAGATCCAATCTGATAGGGAAACGTCGAAAGATGATGGATAACTATTCTGCTTGCTTTTCTTAAAAAAACAGCGGTAGCTCATCATGCAGGTCACTAGGAAAGTCTCTACGCAATCAGCAATACGATGATGCACTGAACCATAAGGAATCTATCGAAAGTGAGAGCATTAAGATTGTCGAAATAAATGATAAATCAACTCGAGTTCCTGGTTTGTCCATACACCCGGCCCTAGGAGTTTCACTCACTTGAACGCAGCGCCGATGGCGTTGTGGCGAGTCTTCATCGCGTGGTTGGACTCCTTGGCCGCATTCACGAAATTCGGAATGCCAAGCATCACCGTCATGCCTAGCAGCACTTGCGCGCGCGTGTAGTAGGTGTAGCTGTCAGAGAGAGATTAGAGATTTTGGGAGGGAAGGGAGGGAGGGAACCAGCGGGGTTTGGATATATATTCAGAGAAGACTACTCGTTTTTACAGCATAAAGAAGTGGAGAGAATCTAAAAAGCTTTTCTTCCAGTCAACGTAAACTTCTATCTAGCCATCCGCAAGCAAAAAAGATGGACAGCTGCCTGCACAGGGAATAAAAAAGCTTGACGAAATAAAATGTGACACAAAAGGTGAAACTGCAATTCGGCACAACGGAAGTACAGTAGAATGAAATGGCCACGCTAGAGAACACCACATACCCGATGCACTGCAGGAACGCGACGCCAAACGCCTTGCCCTTGAGCTCGTCCACCTGCTTCACAGCGTCCCGCACAAACCCCTCCTCGTCGTCCGACATCCACGGCTCCAGCCGCTTCACCAGAATCGCCGCGAGCTCCTTCTCTCTCTTCACCTGCCACCTCTTCACCTCCTCTACTGTCAGATTCCCCGCCGCCGTGTGCGCGATAGTAAGCTCTCCGACAAGCGGCTTGAACTTATCCGCGCCGAAGGACATGGTGAAGAAATAGCCGGGGTCCATGAATGTGCCGTCGAGCGCGACGCGGCCGAAGCGGTCGTACTTCTCGCGCGACTCGGGGTCCATGAGGACTTGGTACGCCTCGCCGATGGCTTGGAACTTGGCCTTGGCGGCTTCGTCGTCAGGGACCTTGTCGGGATGGCACGTACGCGCTAGCTGCGGACGCAAATCAACGTGCGAGCGACAAAGGGGGTACAGTGCGTGGAAAGGTGGGGACGGGAAAGATGGGTCGAGAAGGGATGAATGTTGTCCTAACGTCTGGTATGTTTTTAGGAGGCACCTAAAAACTCCATCCCTCCCTTAACACCACCACGCACCTTAAAGTACGCCTTCTTGATCTCCGCGGACGTCGCGTCGGTCGGCACCTCCAGAACCATATACAGCTCCTCCTCCTTAACCTCCCGCTTCTCCCGTTTTTCTGCGGGCGCCGCCGCGGCGGCTTCGGAAGGTTCCGCGGGTTTCGCGGCGGACTTCGCGGCTTCGTCTTCGAGCGCGACTTTCTCAACAGCTTCACGCGTGTGCGAGTACGTCTCTTCGTTGACCTTATCCGCTTCGGCATCCTCCACCACCTCCGCTTTCTCCGCCTCCTCCTCGCACTTATCCTTTTTCATCATCTCCCGAACCGCGTCGGGAGTGTTCTTAATCCCCTCTCCCAGCTGCCGCACGCCTTGCACGATCCCAACGGTCGGCAAAACGACGGCACCTGCAACCCCCAAAAACGTTCCCTTGATTAGCCCGACGCCGCCTTGCTGCACCAGCCCCGCGACCGGCGCCACGATGAGCCCTCCGACGCCGGCGAACACGCCCTTACCGACTGATACCAATCCTTTGCCCAGGCCTTCGCGAAAGTTCTTCGCATTGCGATCGCCGTACAGCTGGTCGATGCGCTCCTGAACCTCCGGGAGGCCCATCTTCTGAAATTCGGCCATGGTGGGAGGAGGGGGACCGGAATCCATACCCGGAATTTTGTGAATCTGTTCCATGATGGGGGAGGAGCGGAACTGGTAAGTTAGAAACTAGACTGGTGACAGCAGAAATGGAATAGGGAAGCACGGGAGGAGGGCATGGAAAATTGAGAAACGAGGAATGGAATGGAATGCAGAGTGCGGAAGTAGAAGGGGGTGGTGCAGAAATTTTCCTTTCTTTGCAAATTCGCCAAACACATTCGATTAGGTTGAAGACCGTACAGAGAGTTTTATCCAAGTTACGGTGCTTTGCAGTACGGTAGCGGTTCCAAAAGCTCTCAGCCCTGCGGATTTTAGCGATCAATCACGTCGCAGTTCACCACGAAGCGCGCGTAATTTCATCGCCCCTCAAAAAATGGAGAGGGGGCATCGTCATCGTGAATTTGGGTTGGGGGTACCTGTAGCTTGTCGTCACTCGCATTCTGTTTTGATATTGGTAGCTACAAGTTTTTTCCTGAAATGTCTTAAAAAAACGTTTATCAATAGCGAACATCGGGGCCCGTGCTAGGATTTGGGGCACCCTGAGGCCTCAGGGCACCTTTCCAGAATCGTAAAAAATGCCCTGATTTGTCAGGGCAAATTTTCGAAGCCTTCCTGTATGTTCAGGGCTTTTTCAGAAATCAATCCTGACCTGTCAGGGCAAAAAACTTTGTGTTCAGGGGTCAGATTGGTTGGTTAACAGAAATAAAGTTGGAGAATGTGTCCGCCTGCCAGGGGTGGGTTCGATCCCAGGACCTCATATATCGAAATACCTTTCTACTGACTAGGCCACTTCTGGATGGTGAAATGGATGAATGAGTATTAAAACTACGTTTTTCTTAAAAATCCCCGGGGAAAATTTCCCCAGGTACGGGACTCCCCCCCCCCCCCAACAAAAAACGCGTCAGGGCAGGCCTCTGCATTCATCCTGACGCTACAGAAAAGAACACTACAGCCATTCTGAATGTTCAGGGCATTTCATATAACAACATCCTGAGACCTCAGGGTAAAAATTTACACTATTCTGAAATGACAGGGCAAATTCAAAACTGCATCCTGAATTCAGGGTAATCAGGATGTTTTGCCCTGATAACGTGGGGCCTGGCGAACATGCATGAACTGCTGATTGGCATTCTCATATATTTACCGCAACAGCATTGTTTCACAGGCTGAGCAGGAAATCAAAACGGGCAGCTCAATATGTTAAAAAACAACGTCTGAAAACAATCGTAAAACCATCCGAAAAAAAACAAATGAAAGAAACTACATGACAAGCCTTGAAACGTAACTTCCTTACGGTACATGCTTGCTTACGGTTCACGAGTCACGACCCAGTTCCTCCCTTAAAAAACCTGCCAAATGGATTAAACATGCCCATTCGCTGCTGCTGCTGTCTCTCAGTAGCAGCCCTCAGCCTCTCTTCCCGTTTATTATGTAACTCCTCTGTCTGCTCCCTCAACCGTTCCTTACCCCCTTGTCCCTTCCCTCGCCCACTGCGCATCTCCCCTCTCCCTCTTGCAGCAGCAGAACGTGGTGCTGACGTGGCGTGTAGGCGTTTCAGCCGGCACGACTCGTCTTGTTGCTGCTGTTTCCTGGATGCTTCTAGTGTAAGAAGCTGGAAAGAGGGAGGGAGGAGAAAGAAAACCAAGGGCAGAATTCAAAAGGGAACAAGCAGATTGCCTTGGAGCTTGTTGAAAAGGCAATGGCCCAGAGAAACGCAAATAGGGGGGTAAGGGTGGACACGATCCAAACTGCAATGACTGATTGTGCGTGAAAGTGAGCTGGACTTAGGACATGCTATCCATACGTGCTTAGTTGGCATGAGGACATGCGTGCACACATCACTGCTCACAACAGATCACGACTGCTCACAGGAAGGTTAGAATTTCATCATACGGAATTTGATAATACAGAATTTTACCATGCCACTACAGCTCACCCTTGCACTTATCGAGGATGAGGATAAAGAGGATGCTGCTGCAGACGTCCCACCAGGCACAGCCGGCGGTGCTACCGACGCCCCTCCTGTCCCTCCCCTCCCTCCATCCCTCTCCTCTGGCGCCTCCAGCAGAGCAGCAGCCAACCCACTGCCCCCACCCACTCTTAGACCACCAGAAGTGGCAGCATGAGCAGCAGAAGAGGCGGCATTAGCAGCAGGAGGAGCAGCGGCAGAGGAGAGGTGCGAGGGGACAAGGCGGGTGGCAGAGGCGCCGCAGGCAGGGCATTGGTGGGCAGGGGGGAAGAAGAAGCTGTCGTGGTGGCGCTGCTGCAAGCACTCCCTGTGAAACCCGTGCCCACACAGAAACACCTCCACTGGTAATCTCTTCCCTGCTGCCGCCGCCGCCGCTGCTGCTGCGGCTGCTGCGGCTGCTGCTGCGGATGATAACGCTGCTGCTGCTGCAGCTGCTGTGGCTGGCAATCGTAGCAGCGGGGATGGTGGTGGTGCTGCTGCTGCTCCTTTAGCTGTTGACGCTGGGGCGTACAGAGCAGTGGAGCAGAGGCGGCAGGAGCGGGAGGAGGGGCGGGTGGGGTGCTGCAGGAGGGAGAGCAGGGAGGAGCAGTGGGAGAACGAATCGGTATTGGCTGCCCGGGCAGCAGCAGCAAATAGCTGCTCATCCGACCCCGCCCGACCTAAAATTTCCAGCAGCCCTCCCACCACATCCCCTGCAGTCCTTGCTGCGCCCTCCTTCTGAGCATTCTCCATTATTGCACTGTGAATGAGATCTCTTCCCCCTTCCCCGTCTCTCTGCCTCTCGCCTGCACCAAGCAGCCAGGCAGCAATGACTGGCAGAGGCACCATCCCTGCCATCTCTGCTACAGTGGCCGTCGCACAGCATTGTAGCAGGAACCGGACGGCAAACAGAATCAGATCGCAGGCTTGCGGGTGGTTTTCCTGCCGCCACCACCGCTTTTCTTGCTGCTGCTGCTGCTGCTGCTGCTGCTGCTGCTGCTGCTGCTGCTGCTGCTGCTGCTGCTGCTGCTGCTGCTGCTGCTGCTGCTGCTGCTGCTGCTGCTGCTGCTGTTGTTGCTGTTTCTCTTGCTCTTGAGCCTGCTCCTCATCCCCATTTCTTTCCCGTTGCTGCTGCTCCCGAAGCAGCACAAGCGCGTGACAACAGGAGGCGAAGAGAGGGGGTGGAGGAGGAGGGAAGACCGAAGGCGGCAGAGATGGGGCCGGAAACGAGCTCAGTGCAGACGGAGCAACCCCCTGCTGACCGTTTTCACCTGAGAAATCACCTGAGGAATCACCTGCTCGGGACTGCACCCCGGTCCTGCCTGTGGCTGCTGTGCCGGACGCCCCTGTGACTGTAAGGAGGTGTGAGTAGAGCGAGTGCCAGCGGTTGGGGGGTGTGTGTGATGGGGAGGGGTGTAGTGGTGGGATGGCTGGTGGTGCAGATGGGATGGGGAGGGCCCTGAGAGGGAGGAGAAAGCTGTTGGGGGGGAGGAAATGGGGGAAAAGGGGGGGGGGGGGAGGAGGTGGGGGGGGGGCAGTGTGGGGAGGAGAAACGATTAGAAAGGAAGAGGGTGGGGACGATGGTGAAGAGGAAGGGAACGGAATGGATGACGATACGTACAGACAGGGATGAATGGGGAGGGCCCTGAATTGGACCCTAAACCCTGATAAGGGTCGACCGAACCGAAGTGCCCCCCCCATAACACACACACCGAACCGAAGTGCAAGTCAGGAGATACACAAACAACCGCCCCTCCTCGTGGCCCCCCCCATAACACACACACCGAACCGAAGTGCAAGTCAGGAGATACACAAACAACCGCCCCTCCTCGTGGCCCCCCCCATAACACACACACCGAAAGTGCAAGTCAGGAGATACACAAACAACCGCCCCTCCTCGTGCCCCCCCCCATAACACACACACCGAACCGAAGTGCAAGTCAGGAGATACACAAACAACCGCCCCTCCTCGTGGCCCCCCCCATAACACACACACCGACCCAACCCAACCACCCCCAATCCCACCCCAACCACCCCTGCCTCTCACTCTCAGATCAGTCACGACCCCTCTTCTCACTCTCCCATCCCTCACCCTCACACCCACCAGTCAAGGAGGGTGCGCCACATGGCGCGGCACTGCCAGTGGGGCAGGCAGCCTGCCTGTGCTGCGCGCACAGATACCTGATGCTAGCATTCATCTCAGCACCACTACACAGCAACACCTAAACCGAATCATTCGTCTCCCCCACCCCCAACACTCACACACCCTCACACCCACCAGTCCAGCAGCGTTCGCCACATGGCACGGCACTGCCAGTGGGGCAGCCTGCCTGTGCTGCGCGCACAGAGAGCTAATGCCTCGTGCTGTATGGCCAGCAGCACTCGCACCTGGGGGGGAAGAGATGGAAGACGGTTGGGGAAAGTCAAGACGGGATTGAGGTGAAATGAAAAGGGTGCTGCCAGTGGGGCAGCCTGCCCGTGCTGCGCGTACAGAGAGCCAGCGCCTCGTGCTGTATGGCCAGCAGCACTCGCACCTGGGGGGGGAGCAATGGGAGGAGAGAGTGGAGAAGCGCGAGGAGGGGCTTTTAAGTTGAGTCAAGAGAGGAAACAAGAAAGAAACATGATACGCAGGTTATGCAGACGACAAAGCGTGGCATGAACGGATGATTTTGATATGAATTAGCATGAAAGGTATGATTTTATGGAATACAAGTGACATAGGATATGAATGATGTGGCGTGTGATGTTTGCAATGAAGCAAGGCATGAATGATATGCAGTATGAATGAACATGAATGAGCGAATGATGAGAGAGATAGGATATGAATGTCTCTGTGTGTGATGTGTTACATGCGGATCTCTCACCTCTTCCATCTGCTGCATTCGTGTCATCTTTTGAGGCGCCTCAAAAGATCAAAACGGAGAGAAAAGAGGCGAATTATGCCTCAAGTGTGCAATAAACAATATTAATGAACAATGATAATGAACAATAATAATGACCAATAATCTCAAGTTTGAAGAGCTCTATCTCACCTCGTCCATCTGCAGCACTCGTGTCATCAACCTGCCACTCTTCTTCCTCATCCGCTTCCTCCTCCTCTTCCCACCCTCCTTTCCTTGCTCCAGACCCGACCTTCCCCTCATGTCAGCCCTCATTTCGCCTCCACTTTCACCCTCTCCCCTCATCCCCGCCTCACTCTCGCCCCTCCTCCCAACCTCACTTTCAGGCCCCTCAGCAGTTGTCCCCGCTATAGACCTCTCCATCACCCCCAACCTCCTCTTGCTCCTCCTCATCATCATCCCAGCAACCCTCCTATCCAGGGCATGCAAGCAGCAGTGTAATTCCACCAGCAGCAGCGCCAGCGCCTCATGAACCAACCCCATTCGCTCCAGCAGCACCCGCGCCGCAGCGCTGATGTGGCAGTTCAGGACTGGCTCTCCCCCCGCCTGCTGACGTGGCGCCTGCGGAGGCGCGCCCTGCTGCTGACCTGGCACGGGCTGACGTGGCAGCGCGGCGAGCGCCGGGGAGATGTGCGCGAGGCAGACGCGGAGGCAGCGGTCGAGGCGACAGGTGGCGAGAGGTGATTGGAGGAAGGGCAGCAGCGCGGGAGGGTCGTAGATACAGAGCAACTCGATATAAAGCTCGACCATTCGTGGGGATGCTGCTGCTGCTAGCTGCCTCCTCTGCTCCTCCCACCCCTCCATCCCCAACCCCTCATCTCCTCCTTTTCGTTCTAATCCCTCTTGCAGCGGTGCTGCAGCAGCAGCTGCTGTAACTTCCCCTGCTGCTGTATTTGGAACTGCTGATGCTGCGTTTGGGCCTGCTGATGCTGATACACCTGCCGGTGCTGGCAGCAACGGGAGCAGCAGCAGCGGAGGAGGAGGAGGAGGCGAATGGGAGAAGAAGAGGGCACGCAGCAGAGCAAACTGCAGCTGCGGCCGGCCGGCGAGATCGGCACTCACAATCAACTCCAAATCCAGCCGCAGCAGCCCCAGCGCCACATACAGACAAGTGCCACCGTCCAGCCGCACCAACTGCGCCAGGTGGCGCCGGACGGCCAATCGCAGCGCAGCACCTTCCTCCCCGCCCACCACCCCGTGCCTACGGGTGAGGGCGAGGGCTGCCTTTTGGATGAGGCGAAAGGGCATGTCGGGGTGGTGGGCGTCTGTGAGGAGCGAGGAGAGCGCTTGGTGAATGCCGAGCATGCCGTGTGTTCGCATGAACAGACGCGCACACACCTGGTTGGGGAGATGGGGGCACGAAGGGAGAGGGGAATTTCCATGTGTGTAAGAGGGGACATGGAGAGAGGAGAGCGCTTGGTGAATGCCGAGCATGCCGTGTGTTCGCATGAATAGACGCGCACACACCTGGTTGGAAGGGGGGAGGAAGGGGGGGAGAGAGAGAAGGAGAGAGTTGTTGGGAGAACGCGGGAGTGAGAGTGGTGGTAAGCATCCTCTTCCTCTCCTCACACCAACCCGGCCCCATGCTTATGTGTGAAAGTGCAAGGGCTGCCTTTAGGATGAGCATTCCCACCCACCTGGTGAAAACCCGTTTGCAGCGCCAAGGGCAGGAGAGCATTGAAGTCCACACCACAGGAGTCCGGCAGAGCCATCACCAGCCCCTTCATCCGCTCCTCCCTCTGCCTCCAGTCTCCTTTGCCCTATCCCCATGCCCATCACGGGACAGCACAGCTCACCTGGTGGAAGCCGGCTTGAAGCGCCAAGGGCAGGAGAGCATTGAAGTCCACTCCGCAGGAGTCAGGCAGAGCCATCACCAGCCCCTTCATCCGCTCCTCCCTCCATCCCCTTCTTTTCGATCACTTTCTCACTCCCATTTTCTCTCGCCCACTCGCCCTCACCTGGTGGAAGCCTGCTTGCAGCGCCAGGGGCAGGAGAGCATTGAAGTCCACACCACAGGAGTCCGGCAGAGCCATCACCAGCCCCTCCATCCGCTCCTCCCTCTGAGCCCGCCTCACAGAGGGGGAGAGGAGAGCGAGAGCGGGGCGAGAGGCGGGTGACGAGGGGGAGGAGGAGGAATGCTGCTTCTGTACAGCTCCCTTACTCGCAGCAGGAGCACCGGCACCACCAGCAATGGCATCAGCAGAAGTGGCAGCGGCAGTGGGCAGAGCGCGCAAATCAAATGTGACAGTAGCGGATGTGAGATAAACGAAGATGGTGTTGAGAGAAGTTCGGTCCAGCTCCACTCTCCCTGCTGCTGCCGCCTCTGCCACCAGCTCTAGCACCCAGCCTGCTGCATCCCCGAGCCTGTCTAAACACAAGCCTAGTCCCAGACCTAAATCCGAGGCTACATCCGAACGTGCTGCTGCTGGTGACGCTACAGCTACAGTGTCTTTTTCTCCCTTATTGGAGTCCTCGTTACTCCTTATTGCATCTGCCGCCTCGCACCAGGAGCGCACTATTTCTAATAGAGTAAAAACAAGTCTACCACCAGCTGCCGGATCTACAGTAGCATCCTCGTTATAAGCTGCACCCGCACCCCTATGATTCGTCGACGTCGAATCCGCACTCGTCTTAAGCTGCTGTTCTGTACTCGGTTGTGGCTGATCCAGTATGGACACAGAGCGGAGAATCACACGCAGTACCGAGAGGGTGGCGCGGTGATCGAAGGAGAGGAGGCGAGCGAGCGGCGAGCAGAGGAGGGCGTGGGAGGATGGGGAGAGAGAGGAGGGGCGTTGGTGGGGTGGGCGGTGGGGTTTGAGGAGAAAGTTTAGGAGTTCCGCTTGCGCTGAGGGCAGGAGGGACGGAGAGATGGCACCACTGCCTGTGAGGGTGCACAACGGGTGGGGAGGGGAAGAGGGGGGAAACTTTGAGTCGACCAAAAATCGTCTCGTCACACGAGGTTTGAGGAGGAAGTTGAGGAGTTCAGCTTGAGCTGAGGGCAGGAGGGACGGGGAGATGGCACCGCTGCCTGGGGGGATGAGAGCAACGGGAAGGGAGCGGGGGAGAGGGGAGGGGGGTGGGTAGAGGGAAGGTGGGGGGGAGGTGGGGGTGCTAAAAGTAGCAACACGAGGGAATGAGGACCGCGCAAGCAGGAAATTTCAGAGGATAGGGAAAAGATGTAGGTGGATGGATGGGAGGGAAGGAAAGAAAAGGAAAGCAGGAAGGTGGATGGATGGGCGGGGCGGACAGGAGGAAGAGAAGAGTGCAACTACTTGGAGGAAAGGTGTAGAAGAGAAGGAGGAAAGGTGTAGCCGCAGTTACCTGGAGGGAAATTGAGGCCGGAAAAGGTGAGCTTGAGGAAGAGCAGCAGGCGGTAGCTGCGATGGGGGGAGGGAAAGAGAGGAAACGCACACAAGAGGGTTAGAACGCAGGGAAGAGGGAACTCGGAAGGGGGAGTTTGCAACGCGGAGTAGGGGGAGAGGTGTGCGGAACGATGGGCAACGGGTACGTGTGAGACTTCGCTCATTCAAACCTTCTCCACCCTTTCAATTATCAATAAGTCACGAGCTACTAACGGGAAGACCATCAAGAGGCACAGACCAACTCACCCGCACTGCCGACCCTCCTCCCTCTCCTCCTTTTTCTCCCCCTCCTCCTTCTTATGCCGCTGCTTCTCCCGACTCCTCTCCCCGAACCCAGTACTGGGAGCTGCGGAGGAGGAGGAGGCGAGGAGGGTGGAAAGCAGCTGCTGGGCTGGCGAGACGAAATCCGCAAGGGCCCGCGTGAAGAGGTAGATGAGGGCTGAGTGCAGGCTGTGCTGACGGCACAGACGCACCACCTGGGAGGGGACCGAAAATGGGGGGGAACAGGGGCGGAAGGAAAGGGAGAAAGGGCATGGAAGGGCCCGCGTGAAGAGGTAGATGAGGGCTGAATGCAGGCTGTGCTGACGACATAGACACACCACCTGAGAGGAGGGGGTTAAAGATGGGAAGAAGGGGGGTGGAGAGAAAGGGAGAAGCAACATAGGTGCAGGCTGTGTTGACGACATAGACGCACCACCTGAGAGGGGATAAAAGATGAGGGGGGTTGAGGGAAGGGGACATGGAAGGGCGCGTGTGAAGAGGTAGATGAGGGCTAAGTGCAGTGTGTGTTGACGACACAAACGCACCTCCTGAGAGAAATGGAGACGGGAGATGCGAGGAAGAGGGGAGGGACAAGAGGAACAAGATGGTGCACGCATGAGTGAGACGAAGAGGTCGATTGGAGTATGACTAGAAACGAACAGTTGCTTCGTTTCGCCCATCCAAGCTAACCTGGTTGATGTCGAGAGAGGCGATGCCCAACCACGCGCAGTGCAGCACGCATTGCTACACTGCACACATGTTATATATAATTCTCAAAAGAGAATCGAAGGAGGAGTTCACACCCGGTTGATGTCAAGTGAGTCAATGTTCATGTGATTGAAGCGCTTCAAATTAAATCAAGAAAAGAGGTATCAGCGTGCCGTGCACGTGGCTGATATCGCGCGAAGAGAAGTGCAGGCTGGCTGAGTCCTCCCTTGGTTAATATCGCACGAAGCTGAGCAATCAAGTACCTGGCTGATGTCATGTCAAGTGCGGCGATGTCCATGTGGAGCACGCACTGCTGCACACTCATGATTGGAAGGGAGGCAGAGCAACAACGCTACCCTTGCAGAGAGAGATCAATCGCACACACCTGGTTGATATCGAGCGAGGTAATATCCATGTGGAGCACGCACTGCTGCACGCGATTGAGCGAGCTTGAGATGTATCAAAGGCGAATCAATCAAAGGAAGCTGGGTTCACACCTGGTTAATGTCCAGCGAGGCGATGTCCATGTGAAGCACGCACTGCTGCACGCGCGACAGCCACCCCCTCTCACTGTAATGCTCCACCAGCGCTTGCATCACCTGGTGGTGGGGGAGAGAGGGATGAAGGGGGAAGGAGAAGAGCGCACACACAGAGAGATAGAAATAAACCGTCTTACCCATCACGAGACAGCCACCCGCTCTCACTGTAATGCTCCACCAGCGCTTGCATCACCTGGTGGGGGGGGCTTGAAGGGAACAAGCGGCCACTTTCAAGGCGCCTTAAAAAACACAAGAGCGCATGAATGAGCTTCGAGCGCAGACCTCGCCTCATGTCTAGCGGCGCAGGTACATCTAGGCAGGTTTCAGCCTGGAGAAAAGGTTGCGAAAAGGCTGCGAAAAGGTTGCGAAAAGGTTGCGAAAAGGTTGCGAAAAGGCTGCGAAAAGGTTGCGAAAAGGTTGCGAAAAGGCTGCGAAAAGGCTGCGAAAAGGTTGCGAAAAGGTTGCGAAAAGGCTGCGAAAAGGCTGCGAAAAGGTTGCGAAAAGGTTGCGAAAAGGTTGCGAAAAGGTTGCGAAAAGGTTGCGAAAAGGTTGCGAAAAGGTTGCGAAAAGGTTGCGAAAAGGTTGCGAAAAGGTTGCGAAAAGGTTGCGGAGGTGGTACATTCATCTGGCACAATCTCAACAATGACCGCAGGTGCGTCTAGGCAGGCAGGCGGTACCTCCGGAGGGAGCGTGCTGAGGTGGTCTGTGAGAATGTACGGCTCCAGCAGCTCCAGGAAGATGCCTGCACGCACACACCAGAGGCGGGCGGGGGAGCACGGGTGGGTGTGAGGAAGAAAAAGATGTGGGATCTATCTATGCATGGGTGCACTCGAAAATCACCAGACTATTGCATCCATCGAGTGATTTTTGAGAATTCTCAAAAATCACTCGCTATTGCACCCATGCATAGATGTCGGGCTCCAGCAGCTTCAGGGAGATGCTTGCAAGTGGGCACAGGGAGCAGAGGCAGGGCAGCGAGCGATGAGAGATAGATGTTCGTGCGGACATGACTAAGAAGTCACATCTGCCCCCTCAGGGTGAACTTGTCAAACACGGCCCCTAACAGCAACGATAGCTAGCTGGTGCACTCTCTGCAGCACCCTCATGCCCACCCCACCCAGACATCTGCCCCTTCTCACCACGTTACCCCTCTCACCTCGCTGCCCTCTCTGAGTGAACTTACTAAACACGGCCCCAAACAGCAGCAATGGCAGCTGGTGCACTCTCTGCAGCACCCTCATGCACAACCCACTCCGCATCCCCACCCACACATCTGCCCCTTCTCACTACGTTACTCCTCTCACCTCACTGCCCCCTCTCACCTCACTGCCCTCTGTGCGTGAACTTGTCAAACACGGCACCGAACAGCAGGGGCAGCTGGTGCACGCGGATACAGAACGTGATCGCCACCCCAACCGGCATCCCCGCACATCTGCCCCCTGAACCCCCCACCCCTCTCACTCACCTCGCTGCCCACGCTGGGTGAACTTGTCAAACACGGCCCCAAACAGCAGCGGCAGCTGGTGCACGCGGATGCAGAACTCTATCGCCACCCCGCCCACCCTTTGCTTCCCTGCCCTTGCCCCAATCCCTGCCCCTGCCCCTGCCCCAATCCCTCCCACCACCCAACCCCACCCATCTCACCTCGCTGCCCTCTCTGGGTGAACTTGTCAAACACGGCCCCGAAGAGCAGCGGCAGCTGGTGCACGCGGATGCAGAACTCGATTGCCACCCCGCCCACCCGCACATACTCCTCCCTCTGCTCCCCTCCCGCCGCCTCTGCTGCTGCTGCCACTGCCGCTGCTGCTGCTACTGCTGCTGCCGCCGCTGATGCTGCTGTGGCTGAACCGGAGGAGCTTGGGTGGCGGGGTGACAATTCAGGACTGGCATTCACAGGACTGAGCGCTACCGGGCTAAGTACCGCTGGGCTAAGTGTTTTTGGGGTAAGCGCTGCCGCGCTCTGCTTTAAGTACGAGAAAACCTGCTCTATGTATGCTAAGAGGAGAGCCCCCATTTCGGCTGCTAGCTCCTCCGGGTCGCATGGTAACCCTGTTACGCCCACCGCCCTCCCTTGGTAAATCTCCATTGCAGTGTGCAGCGCATTCATCCAGTCGCCGGCCGCTTCCAGAGATTTGATTCTCTCCTTCCAGGAGAGTAAGTGCGCCCGCACCACCATGCCGCCCCCCTGCAAGAGGACAAACGCCGCCGCCCCGCTGCTCCAGGCGGCGACGCTGTTCTGGAACGAGGGGATCGGGCGGCCGCTACGAGACAAAAAGGGGTGGAAGACAAGGCCGAAACGGCCGTGGCCGGCGGCACTGTAGCTGCTGTAATCTGAGTCGGAGTCGTAGTGTAGCAAGGGCTGGCGCTTGATTGGCTGGCCGCCCAGCGAGAAAAGACAAAAGTGCTCCGAAGCTGTGAGGATGAGGAGAACCTGATGTGGGGCGAGAGCAGGAAGAAAGGGCAGCGGGAGGTAGTTAGGGGAGTATGGAAGGGTTAGGTAGTGGAGGAGGGATGAAGATGGAGAAAAGACGGAATGCTGCATGCAAGGACAGTAGAAACATGGGGCCAAGTGACTAGGTCTATGCTGGTGTGTGCAATGCAGCATGACCTCATCAACATGCCCATGCCCATGCCCATGCCCATGCCGCACTGATTCAATACCCACCACCTCACCTGGTGGTCCAGCCACACAAGGCCAGCGACAGTGTAGTGCACGTCCCAGCGGTGAATCACCTCCATGCTTCACCACATGCCCCAGGAGCTAGGTCTTCCCACTACGAGCTTTCCCACAACCCATGCCTTGCCTGCAGCCAAGCCTATGCCTTCTCAGGAATTGATGACTGACTTACCTGGTGGTCCAGCCAAGCAAGGCCAGCAACAGTGGAGTGCACGTCCCAGCGGTGAATCACCTCCATGCTTCGCCCGAACACACTCACCACCAGCACCACCCGCCCCCACCCCAACGCGAACACCTTCTCCTGCACCCATGCCCTCCGCGCCCCTGCTGCTCCCCCTGCTCCCCCCACTCCTGCTCCTCCGCCTGCTGCTCTTCCCGCTGCTGCTGCTGCTGCTGCTCCCCCTCCTGCTCCTGCTGATGGTGGTGGTGGGGATGAGCGGAGTGCAGCTGATGCAGCTTTATCAACATTACCTCCCCGTACCCCTCTCTCTACCCCTCCACTCCCACTGACCCCACTAACAGCCCTATTCCCATCACCACTAGACCCTGCGTCACCACCCAAACTTGCTCGCCTGCCCTCACTGGTTCTGCTGCTGATGCTGGCACTACCACGGGTGCTCGTACTGCTGCTGCTGCTGCCGCCAGTGCCGGTACTAGCAGAAGAGCGAGGGAGCACCAGAGGCGTGGGAGGAGAGGGATTCACGCGAGACGAGGACGAGGGGGACGAGGAGGAGAAAGGGGGTGAAGAGGATGAGGAGGGGGTGGAGGAGGAGGGGACGAGGCGGGAGGCTGCGGGTTTGTGGAGGGGGGAGGGAGGGGGCGGGGCGCGGCGGAAGGAGAGGCCCCAGCGCCAGGCAGCGTAGGGTAGCGCGGTGCTGTTGGGGTCCAGGGCGTAGGGCAGCAGGTCGAGCGTGCATATGGGGGCGAACTTGGGGAGGATCTGAACCTGTGAAGGATCGGACAGGGGGGAGGGAGGAGAGGAGAATTGCAGAAGGAGAGGCGGAAGGAGAGGCCCCAGCGCCAGGCAGCGTAGGGTAAGGTGGTGGTGTTGGGGTCGAGGGCATAGGGCAGCAGGTCGAGCGTGCGTGCATATGGGGGCGAATTTTGGAAGGACCTGAACCTGTAGAGGGGTTGGATTACGAGGGAGGGAGAGAGGGCGAGGGCCTGAACCTGTGAATGGGTGGATACCTGTAGAGCGAGGGAGAGAGGGGGGTTATGATTATGAGGCCCCAGCGCCAGGCAGCGTAGGGCAGCGCGGTGCTGTTGGGGTCGAGTGCATAGGGCAGCAGGACGAGTGCATAGGGCAGCAGGACGAGTGCATAGGGCAGCAGGACGAGTGCATAGGGCAGCAGGACGAGTGCATAGGGCAGCAGGACGAGTGCATAGGGCAGCAGGACGAGTGCATAGGGCAGCAGGACGAGTGCATAGGGCAGCAGGTCGAGTGCATAGGGCAGCAGGTCGCATGGAAAAGAAAAGGAGGGGGGGGGGGGGGGGGGGGGTTGGGAGTCAGAGATGGACGAAAGGGGAGAATCGCAGGGGGAGGGGGATAGAGTGCCAGCACAGTGCAATTGGGTTGGAGGGGGATAGAGTGCCAGCACAGTGCAATTGGGTTGGAGGGGGATAGAGTGCCAGCACAGTGCAATTGGGTTGGAGGGGGATAGAGTGCCAGCACAGTGCAATTGGGTTGGAGGGGGATAGAGTGCCAGCACAGTGCAATTGGGTTGGCATCAATGTATGTGCGGTTGGGGGGTGGTGGAGCAGAGCAGCAGGTGGAGACAGCACGCCTATTTTCTCTCCTGGAACGCGTGCGTGCTGCGCTTGCAACATAACAACACACAACTCTGCACCCCTTGCCAGCAGCAGCACTTTGTCTCTCACCACCATCACTTCACCCGTTGTCATTCGAGTCGACTCAAAAGTCACCTCATAAGTCACCTTTTGAGTTGACTCAAAACGCACCCCTTACCAGCCCACGCAGAGCCCTTACCAGCAGCAGCACTTTGTCTGTCACCATCATCACTTCAGCGTTGTCACCTCCTCCGCTACCTTTTGAGTCGACTCAAGAATCATTTCCTTACCAGCAGCCCACAAAAATCTAAACCCTTACCAGCAGCAGCACTTTGTCTGTCACCATCATCACTTCTCCCGTTGTCACCTCCTCCGCTACCCCCTCCCCCTTCTCCCCTCCCCCTGCTCCTCCTCCCCCTCCCACCGTTCCTTCTACCCCTCTTTGCCTGGCCTCTACTGCCAAACCACTGCTCTTTCCCGAGCCTGGAAGTCCACCCTGCTGTGCTGGCCCTGCCGAACCTGGCTGGTAGGCTTGGGAGGCTGGGTTGGAGCTGGTGGAAGGAGGCTGGGAAGGGTGGATGGGACCTGGTAACCAGGCGGAGAGCAACAGACAGCGACCACCAATCTGGACGTACAGGGTGGGACGAGCAGGTGACGGGAAGAGGAGAGGCGGGAAAGAGGAGAGGAAAGGAGAAAGTGATGAGAGTAAGGGTAAGGTGCGGGAAGGAAAGAACGAGAGATGAGCAGACGGCAGACGGCAGACGGTAGAGAATAGAATCCCAGTGTATGTATGCTACACATTCGTGACACGCGCCTTGCGAGAAGTGACGTTGATGGAGCGGAGAAACGGCAGGTAGGTGACGGAGTGCAGCACCACATACTCCATCGCATCCCCCGTCACCACCTCGTAGCTTTCGGCTGGCCCCCTCATAAGCCAGCACCCCCATCAGCCAGCCCCCCCCTCATGAGCCTCCTCTCGCCTTGAGAGGCACTCACCTTGCGAGAAGTGATGTTCATGGAGCGCAGGAAGGGCAGATAGGTCACTGAATGCAGCACCACGTACTCCATCGCATCCCCCGTCACCACCTCGTAGCTCCTCCCTGCTGCTCCCCCCATGAGTCCCCCTGCTGCTCCGCTCATGAGGCTCGTCGCCCCACTCACCAGCCCCGCCCCAAAATCACTCCCTATGCTTTCCGCCCCTCCTCCGCCTCTTCCCTCCCCGCCTCCTCCCCCTCCTCCCCGTTTACCAGGGCCGGTGGCAGTGGCAGCAGCAGCACTGCCCACACCTCCAGAAGAAGCACCAGAGCCCGCAGCAGCAGCACCAGTACAAATAGCACCAGCAGCAGAAGCGGGGAGTCCCGAGGCAGCGAAGCCAGCATGCACGACAGCAGCAGCGTGCTCCCACACCACCTTCACCACCGGCGCCACCAACCCCCCCAGCGCACTCCCCAGCCCCCCCACGCCTCCCCCGCCCGCCCCCACCCTCCCCCCACCCTTCCTTCCCCCTCTCGCCTCACCACCAGCACCAGCAGCACCAGCAGTAACACCAGCACCAGAAGAAGAAGCAGGAAAGCGAGGGCGGAGGGAGGAGATATCCCAGAGCACAACAGCCCCGGATGCGAGCCCTGCTGCGAGCAGATCAGCTGCAGGGGAGAACGCCAGCACAGACACTGACGACCCGCCGTGCCTCATTGGGGAACTGGCAAAGGCGGACAGAGGGGGAATTAGCTCTGTGATCCGGGCAGGAACAGGGGTGGGCTGATGGGGGGAAGGGGAACCGTGCAGGGCTGGTTGTAGCACAGGCATGAGGAGAACCTTTCCTCCTGCCGTCCCCACTGCCACCAGCAATTCATGCACTGCTACAGCTGTGGCCGACTGCGAGTTGGTCCGGAAGCCTGGTTCGGGTTGTCCCGGACCTGCTGAGTCGGTTCGGTCGGGAGTGACGTCAGCGGGTGCCAGCTCAGCGCAGAGGGGCGGCACGGCGTCGACTTCTAGTAGGCCCACGGCGGGCGGGCCTCTCTCGATACCCTCAAAGCGGATTGGGGTGAGCGGGACTGATGATTGTTCCACTGCTGCTGCTGCTGCAACAGGTGCCACTTTTTCGCCTTCTGCTTCTGCTGCTGCTGCTGTTGATGGTGACGGTGCTGCTGGTTCTGCTGTTGCCAGTTCACCACTAGATGGTAACCCGTTTGCTGGTTCTGTCACTGCTGCTCCTGCTTCTGCTGCTGCTGTGGCGATTCTGCCCTCGCTTGACTCTCCTTCCTTCACCTCCCCGTCCTGCCCGTCCTCACCCTTCCTCCACCCCACCAGCAGCTGCAGCCTCTCCTTCTCTTCCATCGCCGCCAGCTCATCCCTCCCGTCTCCTTCATCGCCATCCGTCCCTTCCTCTTCCTCCACAGAAGCGACGGCAGCAGTGGCAGCAACAGAGGCAGCACCAGCGGCAGCAGCAGCGCCATGAACAGCGGCACTAGCAGCAGCAGCAGCCGCAGCAGAGGCAAATGCAGAGGAAGGAAGAGGGGCAATCCAGAAGCTCCGAAGGTTCTGAAAATCACCTGCCAGGGCTGCTGCTGATACTGCAGCACAGTCATCGTTCCCCATACCCCTGCCTTCACCTTCTTTCTCCTCCCACTGCATTTCATCCCCCTCCACCACCTCCTCCTCTTCCTCTTCCTCTTCCTCTTCCTCTTCCTCTTCCTCTTCTTCCTCCTCTTCCTCATCCGCTTCTTCCGGTTTCTCCTCAACCTCCGCTATTTCCTCTTTGTCCTTCTCGCCTATCTCACCGCTCCGGACGGCACTCGTCCGTGTGCCGGCACCCTCCTCTTCGATGACTTCCTCCTCTTCCCTCGTCTCACCCTCTACCCCCCGTTGGCCTTCACCAAAGGCACCAGCTGCACCAGCACTACCAGTGCCATCAGCAGCATCAGCAGTACCATCTCCACCAGCAATGACAGCGCCACCAGTATGAATAGTGGTAGCAGCAGAACTATCGGCAGCAACTGAGAAAACAACACCAGCAGAGGCACCAGCGACACCAGCCGCACCACCCACATCAGCAGCATGAGGCGCCACTACCACAGAGGGAGCTGCTGCTGCTGGCGTTTCAGCTGCCACTGAGCCCACTGGCTCTGCTGCTGCTGCTGTAGCAGCTGCCACTGCTGCTGGCTCAAAATCAGCTGTAGCGCCGTCTGATGCCCCACTGGCAGATTCATCTGCTGCTACTGCAGCAGCTGGCTTTTGAGTCGACTCAAAAGTCATCTCTGTTGGCCCAGCTACAGCAGCAGAGCCGGCTGATACCCCACTGGCGGATATATCTGCTGCTACTGCAGCAGCTGGAGCAGCAACCGTGCCAGCAACAACCGTGCCAGCAGCAGACACAGCAGAAGATGTGGAAACTGCGGAAAGAGCAGAAGTGGCATGAGAAGCGGAAAGAGCAGAGGACCCTCCTTGACTTATCAGCCCCTGAGCCTGGGTCAAGAGGGCGCGGCGTTGGGCCGCTGCAGCTGCTGCCACCTCGGCTGCAGCAAACGCCGCTCCTGGCCTGATCCTAGGCACCCCACCTCGTGACCGACCCCCATGCCCATACCGACTCCCATATCCAACCCCATGCCCATGCCCACGCCCATGCCCATGCCCATGCCCATGTCCATGCCCATGTGCATGACCATGCTCGTGCCTGTGCAATCTTCCCTCCACGCTCTCCCCTCCGTACCCTCCAAAGGCTGATCCGCCAAAAGCAGAATCCCCGCTGCTCCCCGCGCCAGATAAAGCCGCACTGCCCCGCCCGCCCAGCACACTGACAGGGCAGGAGTTCCCGCTCACTACAGACAAATCACCGAAGCTACTGCCCGTGGCTCCGCTTCCCGAGCTTCGGGGGCTGTCTACGGATGCCGAACCTACTGCATCCACCCAACTTGCCCCTGCCTCCCCTTTCGCTTCACGTCTTCCTCCTCCTCTCTCGCTCTCATTTCCTGTTCCTCCTCCTACTGCTAATGCCCTTGCCCCATCTCCTCCTGCCTCTCGTTGTGCTTCGCCTCCTCCTATTCCCCTTTCTGGAATGTCTGTCACCCCTCCATCCCCTTCAATTGTGTCACGCGTCTCTCTCATCATTATCACACCTCCTCCCTTATTGTCACTCCTCTTGTTCTCACTGCGCTTCCACTGCCCAAAGGAAGGCTCCCGCACATCACACCGCATCCCCTCTTCCTCCTTACCCTCGCCCTCCTTCCCCTCTCCCTCCTTACCCTCGCCCTCCCTCCCCTCTCCACCTTCTTCCTCCTCCCCCTGCTGCTTCTCCTTCCTGGCCCCCTTTTCCTCGCACTCATTCGCACCATGTAGCACAAAAGTCGGTCGAAGTATGGCATTAAACGAAACGGAATCGGAACTTTCCTCCCCCTGCAAATCCTTCATCTCCGCGCCTACGTCTGCTTTAAGCTGGGCTTCGATCCCCTTTCCCTGATTCATCCCAATCACGCCGTTTTCCCACTGGCCGAACGACAGATCTCGACCGTCCAAAGACTGAGGGCTTCCAGGGCTGCCTGATCCACCCGGGCCACGTGGCAATGAGCCATTCGACGCGGCTGAAGAGGGGCATAGAAGGACTGTCGGCTGCTCTATTACAGAAGGGGCAGACTCTAAACGAGGCACGGTCAGAGAACGAGTGCTATCCCCGTTAGAAGGCAGAACTGGTGCTACAACTGTAGCATCATGAACAGAAACGCCCAATTCGGGTGTATTTTCCAAGGTCTCGTCACTAGCACCTGCCACGTCATCGTCGTCATTCGACACGTCATTCAGGATCTCCTCCAGGCTGCGTCCGCCCCACAGGCCCTCGTCGAGATCGTCCACGTCATCCAGCTCGTCGTCGTCGCTCGCTGCCGCCAGAAGCGCGTCAATATCGATGTCGAACTCCACCTTCGCCTCTTTTCTCTTCGGTTCTGGCCCCTTACTCTTCGGTTCTGCCTCATCACTTCTCGGTTCTGGCCCTTTACTCTTCAGCTCCTCCTCCGTATTCTCCATCTTCGCTCTGCTCTGGCCTTTGCCGTTATCGAAACGCCCGGTTCTAACTCCGCCTCTCTATTCGCCTTGATTTCCTACTCCGGTGTTTACTTCCGTTGCGCGCTTGTCTTCCTCGTCGTCCAATCCCAGACAAGCCATATCTTGGGAAAAGGTTCGCGGGTCGTGGAAGCGACTCGACCCTCAACACACCGGCACTCTAACTGAGCAAGTGTCGCCTTCCGCTAACATGTCACTTGCACAAGTTTGAACATGCCATGTGATCCTCTTTAGTGAGCTGCATTTCGACTCCTTCAAAAGAGTTTGGTTTGATTCCTCCAATGAATCACGATCATGATATGATCGCTTGAGGCTACGACCGTGCTGGATCCTTGGTTCGCAAGAGCAGTGGAGCTACTCCCACAATCAATCCAGCACGAGGTGTCGCCTCTCGTGTGGTGCACCGCCGACCCCCCACTGGTTCCTTTCCCTATGCAGCACCATCTATTGGCGGTTGAGAGTCTGCAGTCGCTTCGAGGCATGGACCACGATGATTCCACTTTGGCCCGTTTGACATCCCTTCAAAACCCTAGGGGCGAGAGCGTGGGTCTCTGCCGTTCCTTCTCATGACGAGGCTAACTTCACTGCAGCTGAGTGGAGCATTTGTGCCGCCATGCGTGTCAGCCTCCCTATCCAGGAGCTGATGGTTGCTGGCATGTGTGTTTGTGGGGACGAGTTTGCTGATACTTCTGACCCCCATAATGACCTTCACTGTAAGCATCAGTACGCCCCTTCACGAGTCCATGACGCGGTGAAGTTTGTGGTGGCCAGGATAGCTAAGGGGTCGGGAGGGGTTGTAACAATGGAGGACGACACGTTGCTTTTAGGGAAGAAGGTGGATGTGGCGGTTCGGAGACAGGCAGATTGGCGGTGGGTTTTGCCGCCAACGAGAGACCAACAGCGTAAGGGAGTGCAATTTATTAACGGGAATGGAGTGTTGGCCCCGCCCTCGCTTGGGCAACGCCGACGACCTGGTCGGATGTACGGGAGAAGCAGACGACCGTTCACAGTGGGAGAGCTGCTCGATGGGCTTCGTCGAGCTGCAGGGATCACTGCGGTGTTGCCGTCGACTAGAGGTGCTCGACGGTTGCAGCTGACTGGGTTGGTCGACGGGTGGGCCGTCGACCAGGAGGAGCAGCTCGACGGGGAGGTCGACGGAGCAGTCCGTCGACCTGACATGAGAGCAGCAATCGACGAGGGGAGCTCGGCGACAGCAGCTCCAGTGCTGGTCAACGGAGGGGTCCGCCGACCAGGATGATGCTCGACGGGAGTTGTGGTCGACGAGGGAGTCGTCGATCAGAGCACTAGGTGCTCGACGAGCACATACAACTTCTGATCGACTTTCCCCGAACAAGTCGACGCTGACCTGGTGGTGTCCAGGTCGACCGGGTAACCTGCTCGACGAGTTCTGCGGAGGCACGCGAACGTCGTCGAGGTTGCGATGGCGAAGGCGACTTCGGGCTGGTATCCTGAAGTCGATGTGGCTTGTCAGGCGCAGACAACAGCCGACGGATGCACAACGAGGCGAGTCGGGCCATTCGCCTGCGCGCATCTGCGAGCGTGCGCGCTGCTATCTTCTACGGGGCAACGCTGGACAGCCGCTCTGCTGCAGCATTGGCACGCCGTCGACCTGCTATGTTGGCAGGTCGCTGTCAGAGTTATATGACATAGCTACTGTAGGCTATAGTGGGGTAGCACATATGGGGTACAGTTGCCTAGGGTTTGCCTTTTGTACCCAACTTTCACTTAGTCATTTCATTCCTGTTTTCTTGATTCACATGGTATAGAGCGGGTTCCTACATGGGACCGTTCCTTCCTAAGGCCCCACCATAAGAATTTTTTTTTTTTAGCTGCCCGCGCACATTGCGCCCTGCCCTAAATTTTTTTTTTAGCGGCCCCTACGCTGCCCCTACGCGGCCCCTACGCCGCCTCCCACGCGCCCCCTATGCGGCCCCTGGCGGCGCCCTGACGAGGCCCCTGCCGGCGCCCTATCGCGGCCCCTGACGCGCCCCCTGGTGGCGCCCTGACGCGGCCCTGACGCGGCCTAACGCGGCCCCTGGCGGCGCCCTGACGCGGCCCTGCCGTGGCCTCTGACGCGGCCCTGACGCGGCCTGCCGCGGCCCCTGCCGCGGCCCTGAAGCGGCCCCTGACGCGGCCCTGACACGGCTCTGCCGCGGCCCTGACGCGGCCCTGACGCGGCCCTGCCGCGGCCCCTGGCGGCGCCCTGACGCGGCCCCTGACGCGGCGCCCTGACGCGGCCCCTGCCGCGGCCCTGACGCGGCCCTGCCGCGGCCCCTGACGCGGCCCTGCCGCGGCCTGCTGCGGCCCCTGCCGCGGCCCTGAAGCGGCCCCTGACGCGGCCCTGACGCGGCTCTGCCGCGGCCCTGACGCGGCCCTGACGCGGCCCCTGCCGCGGCCCCTGGCGGCGCCCTGACGCGGCCCCTGACGCGGCGCCCTGACGCGGCCCTGCCGCGGCCCCTGACGCGGCCCCTGCCGCGGCCCCTGACGCGGCCCCTGACGCGGCCCCTGTCGCGGCCCCTGACGCGGCCCCGCCACCTACCTTTCCGGCCACGCCGCCTCCTCTCAGCGGCCCCGCCGCCTCCTCCCAGCGGCCCCGGACGCCGCCCTCTCAGCGGCCCCGCCGAGCCGCCCAGCAGCCTAGCCGCCCAGCAGCTGAGCCACCGAGCCGCCCAGCAGCCGAGCCGCCGAGCCGCCCAGCAGCCGAGCCGCCCAGCAGCAGAGCCGCCGAGCCGCCCAGCAGCCGAGCCGCTGAGCCGCCCAGCCGCCGAGCCGCCCAGCAGCCGAGCCGCCCAGCAGCCGAGTCGCCGAGCCGCCCTGCAGCCGAGCCGCCCGAGCCGCCCTGTCCGGTAAGAGCAGCGCCTCTCTCACAGCACTGCCCTCACCCCACTGTTTGCGCTGCTAGTCTACTGCTGTCATGGCTACCCCTAGTGTCCTCGCTTTTGACGCTGAGGGTCGGGCCATTGACTTTGACGTCTGGATAGATGACCTGCAGCTTTTCTTATAGTGCGATAGGGCAGACGGCCTCTCCCTCTTTGACCTCACTTCTGGTGCCTCTCCTGCCCCCGCCACTGATGCTGACGCAACTGTTCGCTCCCAGTGGGCCACGCGCGATGCTGCTGCACGTCTTGCTGTGCGTCGCCACCTGCCTACCTCTGAGCGTGCGCACTTTAGCCAGTACAAGAGTGCTCAGACCTTGTACGACGCTGTAGTTGCACGCTACTCCTCCCCTGCCACTGCTGCACTGAGTCGCCTCATGCTACCGTACCTCTTCCCTGACCTTGCTGCCTTTCCCACAGTCGCTGAACTCATTACGCACCTACGCACTAGTGACACTCGCTACCGCGCTGCGCTTCCTGCTGAGTTCTGCGCCAAGAACCCCCCCCCCATGTACATCACCCTCTACTACATAGTCACCCGGCTCCCTGACTCCCTTCGCGTAGTCAGGGACCACTTCCTCTCAGTTTGCCCCACCACTCTCACCGTTGACCTCCTCGAGAAGTCCCTCCTAGCAGCAGAGAAGAGCATAGTAGCTGTAGGAGCCTCTCGTGGTGACCCTCGCACCCCCATCTTTGAGGGGTGTTCCCCCTCCCCCCTTTTGCCCTCTGTTGCCTCTGCTGCTGCGGCCGACCTCGTTGGGCTTGAGTCGGTCGGTGCGGCGTCTACCCCTAGCGGGAGACGCCGCCCTGGCAAGGGCAAGGGGGGCAGGGGCGCTGGAGGAGCTAGCGGGGGCGGTGGAGGCGGCAGTGGAGGCGGTGGAGGAGGTGGGGGTGGCGGTGGGGGTGGTGGCGGGGGTGGAGGTGTCGGTGGCGGCAGTGGAGGCGGAGGCGGCAGCGGCAGTGGCGGAGGGAGCGGAGGTGGCGGCGGTGGAGGAGGAGGCGGCGGAGGAGGTGGAGCTGGTCGGGGTGGCGCTGCGCAGAGGGTCGGCTCCGGTGGTGGTCAGCGCCAGCAGCAGCAGCAGCACCAGCAGCGCACTCGTGACATCCCCTCCCCTCAGCAGCTCCGTGAGTGGTACACTGCACGCCAGAGGGGTGGGGGTACTGGTCCGTGCACCTACGTCCTCCGCACCGGCGACCGCGCGGGTGAGCAGTGCGGGGGTGCGCACTCCACCCAGCGCTGCTTTGGCCGCCTGACGGACGCTTGGCGTCACCAGTTCCCTGAGGCCACTGAGATCCCCCGCTGGGGTGAGCTGTCTAGGGCGGGTGTGGCTGTCTTTGACCTTGACTTTGATGCTATTCTTGCTGCCATGTATACTGTGACTATTAGTGATGAGGGTGACTGTTACCGGTGTTTTCCGCCCGACCCGGGCATTGAGACTGCTGCTCTAGGTACTGGTGAGGCTGCTGCTCTAGGTGCTAGCGAGGCTGCTGCTCTAGGTGCGTCTGCTCCCTCAGGTGCTGGTGAGTCTGCTCTCTCAGGTTCTGCGTCGGCTTCGGCCTCCCACACCTTCACCCTTGACTCGGGGGCTTCTCGCTCCTTCTTTCGAGACCGCACCACACTCACGCCGCTTAGCCGGCCAGTTGCAGTCTCTCTGGCAGACCCCTCTTGGGGTCCTGTCCTTGCTCACTTCTCCACTGTCCTCCCGTGTTCGGCGGCCCCCTCTGGCACCCTGTCTGGTCTTTACCTTCCCTCGTTCTCTACGAACTTGGTGAGTGGTGCTGACCTACAGGATGCGGGGGTTCACCAGTTCACTCCTGCGAGTCGGCGGGTGACCCACTGCACGGACGCTCGGACAGGCCGACACCTGGCCACGTTTACCCGTCGGCCGGGGTCGAGCCTGTACACCCTGACCACTGCGTCTCCTCCAGTCACTGCGTCTGGTCAGGTAGCTGCGTCGGGTCAGGTGTTTGCTGCAGCGTCCAGGTCTGGTCCTGAGTCTGCCCCCTGTTCGTGTCGCCTCCTGTCTCACGAGACTCTCCTCTGGCACCACCGCCTTGGTCACCCCT